GAGTCTGGAATGGAGGAGATTTTGATAAGATTGGAATGCGCTGGAATGCGCCCATATGTGGCTGCCTCGGTCGCATACCTATTACAATGTGTATGGGGGTACCTTGGGGAGCAGCGAGAGATGGCGTCATTAAGGGGCCATGTGTTTTCTCCAGATTTGTCCACATTGATAAGAGATTTAGATAGACACGTCTTTACCCAATATACTCCGTACTTTCTTGGGATTGCCGCACCCCCCCCCCCCCACACCACCCTCCCCCCACCTCCCATGGTTTGCCCCCCCCCCCCCCCCCGGTACATTTCCAAGGTTACCTATGGATATGACGACAGAGCTCACCTAGACCATTCTGCTGCAAGGTACCAGACCACGGCATCAGCCCATAGGGCTGGAAGAGATAACTCTTCGGGTGATTTCGGAGGACGACATTGTGATGTTCTCGCACAGTTGGTATTTTCCCAGTTGCGGGGCTTAGTGCCGATACGGGAGTTTATCGAAACTCCACGGTGATCAGGGGGCTTTTCTTTATTGTATGGAAGTCAGAAAGAGGAAGGTGTGCCATGTCTTGGCTATCCATTTTCGCCTGAAGCGTAGTATAAACGGACATATACCGAATTTTAAACACTATAAAGCACTACTCGATGGCAAATTCAAGGAAATAGACACGGAGCAAGTACTAAGTGAAGTAAGAGTAATTCAAAAAGGGGCTCGGTGAGACTTGAAAATTTTTTTTCGCTCTTCCCCTGTGTCAGCTCCCGTCTCTAAAGCGTCCCGATTTGCGCAACTCGGGCAAAAATTTTCTCGGCATCCCCGTGCCGAGTCGGCCTCTTTGTCTCTTTGCGTGTCACCGTGCCGGTTTCTATTCCCAGGAGGGACATGTATTAACTTGGTACTCTCCACACTATCCGTACCTATTATTATCATTGCATACTGTGTGTGTCGTATCGGGGGTTTTTTTTTTCTTGGAGAGAAAAAAAATTCATTACTACCGTGCCACCCCGAGATTCTTCCGAGGTTCGGAAGTTAGGAGTCTGGGGTGAGCCGTGGGATGATCTGGATGTGCCGGAGGTATGTACCCATGCAGGTAATCCTCTAGGCTACTCCCGTCTCATAGCGCTGTAGACAATGCTTGTCTAAAGCACAGTACTATTGTCTGCCTCGGGAATGGAAGAGCCTCGGGATAACGGAACTTCCTCGGATATAAGGGTTAGGTAATTATTGGGGCTTCTCCTGATTTTGTGGTCTAATCATGTAGCGGTGAGGCCCTGTGGAGTTTTTCAAGTATGGCATCTGATAAAAATTTGCTGTCTGAATCTGAAATGTGTGATTTCCTCTCTTTCTGGTTCTTATATTTGCCTCTCGAGAAAACGGACGTCAAAATATTGAATAGGACAGACAGTGTCTAAACAAAGATCTGAGAATAATGAAAATACATTCGATTATGTCAAAAGAGAAAGCTGTATAATTATCTCATATATATTCTTGAATCTTTCATAGTCTCTAAACTATTGGTGAGGCAACCCTAATTTGGCATCCGAGATCTCTTTCAATTCCATATCGAGATTCTAACGCATCAATAGTCGATAACACACCCACTAGTAGGTAATTTATGTCCAACTATTGATATTCGCAATTTTATTTTGTTCTTCTTCTCGGGTCTGCTCTAATTATCCCGCTCACCCCATTCCTTCTACTCATATCTTCCAAGCCACGCTAGTCCATCCGACGCCGTGAATGCAGCGTTGGACGTACTACAACATAAAATGATCTCTCACGTGGTTCCTTGGGAGAGAGGCAAAGCATGAAATCGGAAAGGTTTAGGGACACTTCACTCACAACGCCGAATTATATGAATACTAGTGTAAAGCGTACAACATATTTCTCGCACAGCACCGCGCCATAACCACGGATATACCGTACTGCGATGATGGCTTACCTGGAACCTCTACCTGCACTAGATATACAGGCTTGAAGAGCCACTATTGTCACATCACATCCATACCAAGTACGGGTATATGCGCGGTTTCGGAGCGACCTTCTATGCTTCACTTTGTAAAGGTAATGGAGGTCACCAATCACTTAGCCAGCGGTAATATCTGTGATACTACCATCCAATTAGAGGTCTTAGCCTCCTTTTCAAAGATCCTTCTTCACTCTTCACAGTGTGAGCGAATGAAATAGAGCGAGGTCTAAGGAGAGAAAAAGGAGAGAAAGGGACCCAAGGGGATTCACATTGTGAAGTCATTGTGGTTTGGGTAGGTACGATTAAGGCACGAAATTGAACGACCCCGATGCCTGCGATCGTAAGTACATAGAATGACATATACCCAGACTAGACCTAGACTATATTCGCTTGATAAATCTCAGAACTGTTTTGCCATTTTGTTCTTTAGATCTATTAGTGCTATGGTTTTTATATGCCATCATCTCAATGTAACTCTCAACTACAGCAACATTAGAAGGAGAGCCGACAGCTCTCTTTGCATATCCTGTAGTCTTTTCTGGATCCAGAGAGGAACACGACTTGTACAATATAAACGACTTGCAAGTATCGTTGTCTTGCATGGGTATATGCTTGCACAACGTGGGTATACAACAGCCCGTTTTTAAAGCAGGTTGATCGCAAATCATGAGCTGGCAAAAGTTTACCATTACCAAAGCAGTAGACAAGGTATTGCATTTTAAAGCAGATTATGATGAAGTACTAGACACACAATGTCCTCAGGCAAAGATGGGATGGACTGGGCTTGATAGGCCTAAATATTGGCGAAGACAGGCAGTCTCGAGATGTTTGATATACTACTTACCACAGAGGTAGATGAGTCTGCATTAGTGAATAGAACTACTTACTATCCTCTGTCTCTAACCCTTCGCCTGTTAATAAAGCCATTGAGGTTGGCAATCTATGTATGTTATAGCACCTATCTTCTCCCAAGTATCGTCTTAGAGCTTCAAGGGTGAGTCTCCCACCGCTGTCGTATGTCATCACCTGTTTGGATTTAACTAATGCTAATGTGCAGCAGTGTCTGGTCGATCTGATTTGCTTTCAAATTAATTTGTTATGCCGTTGCGAGAAGTATTACCTAATTAGGAAATACTCTCCGTGATTACTCCTATCTTTGCTTTTCGCCTCAGGCACCCCGGCTGGAAGCAGAAATGACGTTTCTGCCACACCCGGCCGCCCGGGGAAACGAGAATCTCGAGTGTCGAGTCAAAGCTAAGAGCGCCATCCACCCAATCTACTTTATACAGCGAGTCTTTTCATGATTTGATCCTACCAGCAACATATCAATCCAGATCCTAGACATTGAACAACACCCCCATTCCAATATCCAGCCTCGAGCTCCGGGACGCAATGGCACCCCCGCGCCAGCGCACCACAGCTATCGTGGACGACTCGAGGTCTGAAGCCTCAAGCGGCACGAGAGAATACCAAAAGTCCACCAAGTCCCGCAGACCAGCTGCCGCAAAAGAGAAAGTCTCAGTCACCAGCGCGCCCGTCGTCGACAACCAGCACGCCGAGGAACAGCCCCGGGTATGTTTCATCCCAAGTGAAAGAGATCAATCCCAACTCTGCACACAGCACAGTTAAGAGGCCATAAACTAATACTACTTTCCTTTCTATAGCTCCCCTGGACCGACCTACCCCTCGACATCCTCCACTCCTACCGCCACGTTCACAAACTCCCCACGCCCTCCGCCTTCTCAAGCGACTACTCCCGCATGATCCTCTCGCAAGGCGTCGGTCTCCGCTCGCCAACCTCCCTCGCCGCCCGCCGAGCTCAATCATCCTCATCCCAAAACCACTCCAACTCTCACTCCCACCGAACCCACACCTCGTCGGACTCCCTCTCCGACTCAAACTCAACGCTGCGTCGCACCGTCGGCCAGGACCGCGTGAGCAAAGACCAGTTCGCGCTTGTTGTCCGAAAGCACTTCAACAGCGCTGGTCTCTCAGAGCAGGAATCCATTGCGCGGTTTTTGTATACTGTGCGTGAGGACAGGAGGGGGAGGCAGTTCCGATTGCGGTTTCAACCGTAAGTCGGGGAGTGAGTCACTTGCTTTGGTCTCTTGATCTTTTTTTCCCATCCTTGGTAGTGGGGAAATGGGATTGTGGAGCCTGTAATGGAGATAGGGCTGTTCTGCTTCTTATTCCGCCGTTCTGGTGCTAGCCCGTCCTGGTTGATGGTGCACTCGAGTCGGTGCGGTGAATATACATCGCGTGTGTAGTTTATTGGGCTGCCTTGCTTCGGGGATCCGGCGGCCTGTTCTCTTTTGATATTAAGATACCCATTGGCGTTCAGTGTGTTGATCTTGGTTGTTTTATCTTTATTTCTTGCTTTGTGAGTCACGGACTCTTTATCATGTATACTTTGCATATCATATAATTGTGCAAGACACAGCTACACTCCTCTATTGTGTCTTTCTCGGTACAGAATATTCTTTATTTTGTGGTCATTTTATCACATAGCATGCTATGGTACGTATTTGAGTGTGTTCCTAAATAAAGGATATAGTTATATCAGACCTGCCTGGCACCACACATTCTCAACACCCGACTGCAACTATATTAACTAAGATTTGGTCAAAAAATAGTTTACCATGATCGAATCCTCATAATATAACCAAATATATATTACCGTTATCATCATTCAATATGAGGAAGATGCAGAGCACCGCGTGAAAAACTTATTCCAGAAAGCAGAACCCTACTTGCTAGCATATAATTCATTTATCATGTACATAAGAGCATGCACGTCCTCTCCAGTAAACAAAGAGGGCAAAAAAAAATCAGATGGGTCCAAACCGAAGGTGAAAATAGGACAAAATACTTAGACAACATAATAAAAACCGCGAAATAGCAAAGAATCAATCGAGGGCGACTTCAAATCGGCATATATGCCTCCCTTTCCATTTTGCCAACTAGATCCAACCAAATCTAGCCCATTCCACCCTGCCATATAGCCAGTATTAGCAATTTCTCAGATACAGGGAAGACGAGTTTATTTCCAGGCATTAAGACCAGCCCATGGATCGGCGGAGGAACCGGGCTGTGACTGTGGTGGTGGTTGGGACTGCGAAGGGGTCTTGTGGTGCCCGTACGGTCTGCTCTGCGCATAGCCACCAGGACCAGATGGGTATATACCACCTGATGTAGGAGGGTAGGTTGTCTGCTGGGGGCGCGGCGGAGGTGGAGGCGGGATGTAGCCCTGGGGAGCCATATAGTGCGATGGTTGAGGTCCAGCACCAGGAGCCGGCGTGCCGGAATTTGAGTAGCCGCCGTACGGGTTGGGGGTTTGAGAGAAGAATTGCTGATTCGGGGGTGGGGATACGGGGGTCTGGTAAGGATATGCCATGGGGTTGTAGCCCTCGGATAGGGGAGCTGCGGCGCCTTGCTGGAAATGCTGGCCTTGGTAAGTTCCGGGACCACCTCCCACGTACTGCCCGTAGGGCGCTGGAGAGTGTGAGAGGGGCACGCCGGGCATGGTAGGTGGGTAGCGGGGTGACGGCTTCGGGGACGGACCGGTGGTTCCATATGCCGGCGTCTGAACAGGCGGGGGTGGTGACTTGACTTTCGAGGGCGGTTTTGCTGACCCTGTGGAGGGTAAAGCCGAGGAGCTCTTAGGTTCCGTTGATAGACGCTCCATCAGCTGGCGCAGCTTCTCTCGCTCGCGATCTTCTTGCTCTGAGGCACCACTGGACTTGTCGCGGCTGCTGAGTAGTTCAGCATTTCTGCGGGCACTGTCGACATTTTCGCCCATGCCCTTTTCGCGCTCAATCTGGCTGAGAAGCTGCGCGCCCTCTGATCGGCGATTTCTGATGAAGGTTTCGACATTCTTGCGGAGACTATCGACATTTTCGCCCATGTCCTTGTAGAAAGTTCTTGCTTGCTTGATACCGGACGAGAGGCCATGGAATGCTTCGTATACCTTCTTGTATCGAGCTAATACGGAATTGCGTTGTCTCATCATAGACTTGTACTTCGAATTCTCGGATTGAATTCTTTTGTCTTGACGGAGATTATTGTGTAACCTTTCGAGGTCTTCCATCAAACTCCTTGATTTCGCATTCGCCGTCGCAAGTCTCGCTAGAACATCCTTGAACTTTTTCAACTTTTCGTCAAAAAATTCGGTTTCACGGTCGACAATCAATTTTTGGTTTAAAAGCACTTCATGTGAGATGTCCTCATTGTCCCCGTGGATCTAAAGCACATATAGTTAGAATGTTGTCGTAGACAGATACGCTGGGATGCTCACCTCATCTTTGAGCCGGGAGAGAGTTTTGGATCTCTCTCGGTCCACGCCGTCCAGGTCCTCTAAGATCTTCTCCATCTTCGCAATCTGCTCTGCAACAGAGGCGCTACCCTCATCATACGTATCATCCAGCAGAGTACCTTCCGCCGGACTGGTGACACCGTTTTTGCTCTTACCATGCTTCGAACGGGCTTTGATCAAGGCTCGCTGGAAGAGAACATCGGCCTCATCTGTTTCGCCAGCAGATCGCATTTCGTCAAAATCGCTCTCATACTGCCGAAGTGTGGAAGACAACTGAGAATCACTCGCGCTGGCCTCATTGACAGTATCTCGATACGATCGGACTTCCCCTCGGAGTGTGGTGTTTAGTCGAGAGCTGGGCTGTTGGCTCCAATCTGCTCCATACTTCGAGCGCATCTTCTCACACACGCTTTCTTCCAGATCTAACTGCTTTGAGCACTGATCTAACTGGGATAGCACTTCTGCCTTGCGTTCCTGCAATTCGTCGAATGCCCTGTGGAAGGGACTGTGCCCAGCAAGTTCTGAACACCAGCGACAGAAGTCCTCGTCCACTGGCATATCTTGGTTCATGCCTCCCTTCCAGACATCGAGAATGCCTGGCAGTTTGAGGTCGTATAAGCGAGTAAACTTCAAGCTCTTGGCATCCTCGGCCGCTTGAGTCTCCTCTCGAAGCAACTTGGCCTTCGCTTCGGAGTAACGACTGACCACCTCAGTTACACTTTGAGGCACTAGTTTTATGAAGATGTCTGGCCCAGTGATTCGCTCAATATCTTGCCCTTGGTACAATTCATTAACCTGAATCGCCTTGGCCGCAGTAACCCTGGCAACTGGCGCAAGACCGGCCTCATTAGGCACTGGTTGGTGGTAGATGAAGTCATTGTCTTTGACCATGGTGGAAAGTAAAGATTGCAAATTTGCTTGATTATTCTTGATAAGATCCAAGAGACTGGCCCCTGACTCTGCCGTCAGGTTGGTGTTTGCTGGAGGTGACGAGGGGAATGTCTTTGCCCAGCTTAGAGCAATGGCAGACTGCTTATCAGCCATCTGTAAACGAGCAATAGCAACTCCATGAGATCCACTTTCACCGTCAGCAATTGCTTGATAATATGACGCTATTGACCCCATATATGCTGCCTTGGCCTGCACAACAATCGTCCAGGACTTGTCAAACACATTCTTATCGACCGCGTTTTGCATTCTCTCGGCACTCTGTGAGTAGAGGTGCGCAGCTTGTCCAGCCAGCTTGGCTAAGAGACCTGGCTTCCTCTGGTCTGCCACTTGTTTCTCAAAGAACACCTCTTGGGCTTGAGCTAGTGTGACATGTATCAGTGTCTCGACGGTGTGCGCTTGCAGGTCGGTTGATGGAGGATATACGAAGTTCACATTAATATATGTAAACATCCCGGCGGATGCCTGGAAAGAGTGATAGGCGGTCTTAAGGCCGGCATCGTCAGCCCTGCTTTGGTTGGCAGCATGACAAGATAGGATAGCGGCGACGTTAAAGAGAATAGATGCCTTTTCGTAGGCCCGGGAGAATTGAGTGGTAGATGTGTGAGTGAAAGCATCGTACCTAAGAGATAGATACATAAGCACAAAGCGGAGTATAGACTAGAAGAATCACATACCAAGTGAATGACATCTGGAGATGCTTGTCATCGGCGGGGAACCTGAGGTCCAACAGCTCCAGCTGATGGTAGTATCGATACAGCAGATCACGACCGATAGCGTTGTCTTTCCCTATGCCCCTCATGTCCTGGCGAAGCCGGTTGATAGTCGCACATTCTTGATTGTATAGCTCGGGATCCTCATCATGGGTCAGTCGGATACAGTCCTTGAGTGGCTGGATCCAATCAATCTCGTTGGTCTGCTTCAGCGGACACGAGAGCATCGGGGACTGAGGCATTGTCGGATAGGTGCCAGGAGCGATATGCTCCCATCCGACAACACGAAAACTGTGCGAGGTGGAAAAAACGCGGGGCAGGGATGGTCAGAAGCTCCGTGTCTGAGGGGATCGGAGTCAAGGCTGTGGGTGTGGGGAAAGGAGGCGGAACCTCAGCGCTGATGGTCCTGTGTCAATGACGTCGGTCGATTAGGTATTCTTCGATTCAAGCACCTGCGCGGTTTAGAAGATGACGAGACAATATGATAATTTTTGAGAAAAGAACAGAGTTGCCTAAAGTATTGAAGTGTGGGAGGAGGGAGAGAGGTGGGATATGATTGATGGGCGGCGAACTCCCCAAAACAACTAGTTAACTAGAAACACATAAGACACGGCCATTGAACGAAACATTTGAATTTTCAAGTATTATAATATAATTAATAGACTATGGCCATAGTACATTCAGAAGTAGAGAGCTTCTTAGACATCTATCGGGTAATAGTAATACAGTATCCTGCCCCCCAAGACCTGGGCAGAACAGGTCCCCAATATCGCCGGCGCTATGACATGGGTGAGGTAAATACAAACGGATATAAAGTACATGATGATTTACAATTTTCTAGCTCGACTTCTTCGAGCTATCCTTGCTAGCATCGCTGCCAGCATCCTTGTTTTCCGTGTCCTTGGAGTCTTTGGAGTCGGGCTGCGATGACTTGGAATCACTATGCTTTTCCGTGAGTCGATGCCAGACAGACTTCAGGAAACCTTCGTTTTTGGCTGCCTCATCGGTGCTACCAGAAGCAGAGGAGGGGCTACCAGCGTGATTAAGTTAGTACAAGAATCGATATTCAGCATGAACTGTTCATCTTACCTATCCTTGTTGAAGTTCATTGTCCGCTTCGCTGTCTTGTCGTTCATCTCGTCCGCGAGGACTTCCAAAATGGTGCGCTGATTGCCTGTCAAGTACTTGGGCATGGTAACCTTAAATTCGACCTTGAGATCGCCATTGGGGGTGAAACCGCGGCTACGGCCACTAAGCTTCTTCATACCCATTCCTGACAAAGTAATTCGGTCACCGGTACCAGTACCGGTAGCCACCTTGACCTTCACTTGATTTTCAAGAGTTGGGATAGTCACCTCACCACCAAGGATGGCAGTGGTGAGTGGAATCGAGGCGGTGTAGAGGATGTCAGACCCGGAGCGACTGAAGCGATGGTCTGGAGCAACTCGAATAGAGACATAAAGATCACCAGGTTGGGTGCGAGCACCAGGCGGAACAGCTGTTCCAGTGGGTGGGGCATCGCCTTCGCCGGTCACCCGTAGACGCATGCCATCTTCGACACCGCCGGGGATGTCTACCTTAATAGTCTTGCGCTCTCGGGTCACGCCATTTCCATTGCAAGGGCTGCACTCTGATCCGCGTGGAACAGACATGCCGACACCTCCACAAGCATCACACGTGGCGGCGACTTGGAAGCCGCCCTGCATAATATGAACGCGGGTACCGGTGCCGTTGCACTGACGACATTGGGACCGCTTGGCACCAGCCTTCAATCCGTCACCTTTGCAGGTTCCGCACTTGGTCAACGGCGTGATGACGATTTCCTGGGACGTTCCCTTCGCAGCGTCCATGAACGAGATGTTCGTTTGCACCTCAATGTCTTCGCCGACCAAAATTTGTTCCTGGAAAGGGTTGCGCCCACCCCGGGGTCCACGGCGGGCTCCTCCGGTAAAGGCTCCAAAAAGATCCTCAAAGTTGATGTCGCCGGAAAAGCCCCCGCCAAAGCCACCACCACCGCCGAAACCGCCACCGAAACCATGGAATCCTCCTGCACCAGAGAATGGGCTGCCGCCAGCGTTTGGATTGAACCCGCCATTCTGATCGAAAGCGGCTGAACCATACCGGTCGTAGTTCTCTCGCTTCTGGGCGTCGGATAGCAACTCATAGGCTGTCTGGGCCTCGGCAAACTTGTCTTTGGCCTTAGCGTCCTTGTTAGTATCGGGGTGGTACTTCTTGGCCAAGCCATAGTAGGCCTTCTTGATGTCGCTGGCGGATGCTTTCTTATCCACGCCTAGAACCTTGTAAGGATCGGAAACAGCCGCAAGAGGAGAGGTAGTATGGAAAGCCTGCCAATCAGAAAAGAAAAAGTTAGCAGCCCGAACCGGGATAGCCCGCGGAGACGACATACCCTAGCCGATATCACCAAAGATTCCTTTCTCTTGCACACGCCCTCCCGGAGACGCCTAGCCGGAGAAGGAGAGGCAGTTGCATGGTAGTTTCTTGTTTGAGTGGATGATTGAACATTAGTGTTGGGAGTCTTAGAACATTGTCGCTGAGTTCGCAACAGACGCGCGGGGAGAGCCGCGGCCTTGGGAAATGCCTGGGACGGATTCATGGATAGTAATAGCCGAACAATGGTTGAACGGCAATGCCAGTATGAAGGAGGGATATAGGGGAAAATATCAAGAAAAAGAATGATAATTTGAACACGAGAAAGAATGATTTTCAAGAGCACCAATGACGTTTCGATCCAAGTTAAGCTAGTCTCCGGATCACAGAAGCTTCGAGTTCTTTGGGAGAGAGAAGTTTATCGGAAAAACGTGTAACCGGACGATGATGAAAGAGTTGCTTACCGAAGCAATGGAGTTGCTCCCGAGGTCTGACTACAGAATTCCAGCTTTCACTCTATTTGTATCTAATACTTATTTGCTGTTCTTTCGGATCTGTCCGGGCTGTCACGGTTCTCGACTATATCCTTTCTCTTCTTTTCTTCACCCCATTGCCCGGACATCCACCTCATACTCAAGGAGCATGCTCCGCGGCCAGACCCTCCCCTGGAGAGCTGTGCTCCATCAAACACCACGACCGCTCCTCCGACGGCCATTTCTTGCTTCACCGAGATATAATGCAACCTTTCGATCAACACTAATCTCGGCCCGCCTTGGTGAATCTCTTCCCTCGTCTTCCCGCGCCTTCTCTGCGAGCTCCATTCGGCGGAGGGAGAAACCCCCGCCAGAGGACCCTAAAGACGAATCGGAAGAGAAGGATGGGAATAAAGCCAGTCATGATGATAAGGAAACGGAACGGGCTCCTGAACCACGGAGGAAGGGAACAGACTCCGGGAAGAATGTCCCTTCCGCAGATCAGGTAGCTCCAACGCGGAGGAAAGACCGGTCATCTGATAAGGACCGCGGAGTAGAAGAGGAAGCCAAGAAAGAAGCCAACGCATCAGATGGCAAGGGGAACTCGAATGACACACCTTCGCCCATCCCACCAAGTGATGGCCCGGCCGACTCTAAACCTAGCGGCGCAAGCAGCGGTGGTAATAGCGGTAATGATGATAGTGGGAAGAAAGGCAAGAAGGCCTCCGGGGAGAAGGCTTTACAAAAGCCGGCAGTTCCGGATGTTTACCCGCAGGTGATGGCAATTCCCATCGCGAAACGCCCGTTGTTCCCTGGCTTTTACAAAGCGATCACTATTCGCGACCCGAATGTCGCCGTTGCGATTCAGGATATGATGAAACGGGGTCAGCCGTATGTCGGAGCGTTCCTATTTAAGGATGACAACGCCGATGGCGACGTGATTGAGAAGCTGGACGATGTTTACGACACTGGAGTTTTCGCTCAAATTACCGCCGCATACCCTCTCCGTGGGGAAGCTAGCGGCGTGACAGCAGTTCTCTACCCCCACCGGCGTATCAAGATCTCATCGCTACTTCCCCCTGGAGAAAACACCAAGGCCGGTACACCTCCACCCACACCTACGTCAGAAGACAAGACGACGGAAAAGCGAGGTGATGTCGTGGCCAGCTTCGAAGAAAGCGCACCCGAGCCAGCCCCCAAAGATCATTATGAACCCACATCCTTCCTGAAGAAACATCCTGTCAGCCTCGTCAACGTGGAAAACTTGGCCGAAGAGCCGTTCGACAAGAAAAACCCAATTATCCGCGCGGTTACCAGTGAAATTGTTAATGTGTGCAAAGAGATCGCGACCTTAAACCCTTTGTTCCGCGATCAAATCTCGGCATTTTACACCGATCAATTCCCAGGAAACCTAAGCGACGAACCAGCTAAACTGGCAGATTTCGCTGCCGCTGTATCCGCGGGTGAGCTCCATGAGATGCAAGAAGTTCTTGAGACAATGAACATCGAGGAACGTCTCCCTAAATCCCTTGTCGTTCTGAAGAAGGAATTGATGAACGCTCAACTACAATCCAAGATTACCAAAGATGTTGAAGCCAAAATCCAGAAACGCCAGCGCGAGTACTGGCTGATGGAGCAAATGAAGGGAATCAAGAGAGAGCTTGGCATCGAATCTGACGGCAAAGACAAGCTTGTCGAGAAATTCAAGGAAAAGGCTGAAAAGCTTGCTATGCCTGAGGTTGTCAAGAAGGTCTTCGACGAGGAGATCAACAAGCTGGCACACCTTGAGCCTGCTGCATCCGAGTTCAATGTTACTCGTAACTACCTAGACTGGCTAACTCAAATTCCCTGGGGCCAGAAGAGCGTGGAAAACTTTGGCGTCAAGAACGCAGTCAGTGTTCTCGATGAGGATCATTACGGGCTAAAGGATGTTAAGGATCGTATTCTTGAGTTCATCGCTGTCGGCAAGCTTCGTGGAACTGTCGAAGGAAAGATTCTTTGCCTTGTTGGCCCACCCGGTGTTGGAAAGACCAGTATCGGCAAGTCGATTGCTCGCGCTCTAAACAGACAGTACTACCGATTCTCCGTTGGTGGTTTGACTGATGTGGCAGAGATCAAAGGCCACAGACGGACTTACGTCGGTGCTTTGCCTGGACGAATTATCCAAGCTCTCAAGAAGTGTCAAACTGAAAATCCTTTAATCTTGATCGATGAGGTTGACAAAATTGGGCGTGGTCACCAGGGTGATCCATCCTCTGCCTTGCTCGAACTTCTTGATCCCGAACAGAACAACTCCTTCTTAGACCACTACATGGATGTTCCTGTGGATCTTTCCAAGGTCCTCTTCGTCTGTACAGCCAACGTGACCGACACTATCCCTCGCCCACTGTTAGATCGTATGGAACTCATCGAATTGTCAGGCTACGTGGCAGACGAGAAGATGGCGATTGCCGAAAGGTATCTCGCCCCAGCCGCTCGGGAACTGACTGGTCTGAAGGATGTGGATGTGATTCTTGAACGGGATGCCATTGAGGAGCTGATCAAATCGTACTGCCGTGAGAGCGGTGTCCGTAATTTGAAGAAGCAAATTGAAAAGGTCTACCGGAAGGCCGCATTCAAGATCGTTCAAGATCTAGGTGAGGACGTGATGTCCGAGGAGGCGGCACTGACCGAAGCGGGCAAGGCTGCTCAGGAAGAGTCCAAGGAGCATGAGCCAGCGGATCCCGCGCAAGTTCCGATTGAGCCAGAGAAGTCGACAACGGAGATTCCTCGACTAGCCCTCAAGGTCCCTGACAGTGTCCATCTCAGCATTGGCAAGGGAACCTTGAAGGATTACGTTGGACCTCCGGTCTTTACCGCCGACCGCCTGTACGACCAGTTCCCCCCTGGTGTCACCATGGGTCTCGCATGGACCAGCATGGGCGGAGCGGCTCTGTACGTTGAATGCATCCTTGAGAACGCATTGAACCACAACTCGCGCCCGGGGCTCGAAATTACCGGCAACCTGCAAAATGTCATGAAGGAGTCCACTCACATTGCGTATTCATTTGCCAAGTCTGTTATGGCGCGGCAATTCCCTGAGAACCAGTTCTTCGAAAAAGCGAAGGTCCACTTGCACTGCCCTGAGGGTGCTGTTCCAAAGGATGGTATGTGAAACTTATATATGTGTTGGTTAATGTACATCGGCGGCTAACCATACAAATAGGACCCTCTGCCGGTATTACCATGGCTAGCGCTTTGTTGTCTTTGGCTCTAAACCACTCTCTTGAGCCAACCGTTGCCATGACCGGAGAGTTGACTGTGACTGGTAAGGTTCTTCGCATTGGAGGCTTGAGAGAGAAGACTGTGGCTGCTCGTCGTGCTGGTGCCACAAAGATCCTTTTCCCTGCAGATAACACATCTGACTGGCTTGAACTACCTGAGGTGAGTCATAAATATATCCATTTTCTAATGACCTGAGCTGACTGTTTCATCCAGAACATCAAGGAGGGTATCGAAGGCCACCCAGTGAACTGGTACTCGGAAGTGTTCGACCTTCTCTTCCCCGGTCTTGACCAGGAAGCTGCCCGTACGGTTTGGCAAAAAGCCTTGGCCAAGCCTAAGAAGGATAGCCAGGGCCAGGGTGATGAAGAGTAGCATGCTGATACCGTTTCGGTTTGGGTTCTTGGGTAATGTCGTATATACCTGTTGTTTTATGTATAGCTCTGTGATTTATTGTGTACATGGCGTCTTTGTCTTCCGACACGGAATGCATGGTTGGAGTTGAAGGACTAGTAGACCTTTCCCATGTGAGATGTATGGACTAGAGAGCCAAACAAAGATTACTCCACTCAAAGTGTTTTAATATAGTATATAATCCATGTGCATATGTACTCCGTACTCGTAAATATGCAGAGTATATCGAATATTCAAATTTTTAGGGCTGTCAAGAAAAACAACAGGGCGTGAACGGAACCCCCAATCAGGCATAAGGGTCAGGCCGCAACGCATCCCCGAATTTTGATCTGTGCGCCGTTTGATGAATCATATCTTTATTCTATTATTTTTTTTTCTCCCTCAACCCTTGTGTCCCTTAAAAGGGCTTCTGATTGATCTCCTGCAAGGTCCTTTTGCCTCCAGACATTTGAAGCCTTGCAGCCGGAAGCATCTCATCACCGCTATCAAACGGCTGCAGGCGGTTTCTTAGAAAAAAAATTATTAGAGAGGGAAAAAAAAAAAAAAAAAACTTATACCTAAGAAATCTCATCTTAACCTCTCTCTCCCCCTTTTGCACCCACCCTTTTACTTTTATGAGCTTGTGCTGGGCCGGTCTCCCAGCCTCGCCCATTGCAACCCGACGTTGTGCGACACTTGGACGTTGGACCTCGACGTGAACCTTCCAACTCTTCAAACTCGAGAAGGAACTACTTGGAACTGGTGGGACGAATACCGTGTGAGTGTGTCAGTGCGACGCCAAATTTCTCTGCGCCCTTGACCCTGTCTCAATTCTTATGGACATCGGAGATTCGGCCAGCGGGGTGTTCGAGTCGTTCCTTGCACGACAGGGCTTGCCGTATGGCCATCTCTGTCCCCAACTCCTGTAGCCCGACGCGGCTGGCTTTTCTGGACGACAAAGGTGGAAATCCGCCAAAGCAGAGCATGTGGCACCGGTTGGGTTTGCGAAAGTTATGGCAGGGCCGCGATGATCATCGAGACACGTCTGCCGGGGAGAGTCAAGACGAGATTTCTCCCCGCCCTTCGTCTGACAACTCCCGCACCAAGCAAGGCAATTTGACACGTCGAATTTCGCGAAAGGTTGGTGTCGGTCTACCGCGAACCACGCCCTTTAAGCGACAAAGTTCCGATCTCGAGCGACTAGCACCTCGGGAACCTGATCACCGCCGTGCCCTCTCCGCCGACCGCCGCCCCTTGAGTTCCCAGCGAAGCAGGTCCCCACCGCCAACCGTGGGCCCCAGACAATCCGCGCCCGAGGTTCAGTGGCTCGGCCCGACACCCACAACCCCGGTCGATGATGCCCCTGAACCAGAATCTGAAAACGATGCCCAGATTAACGATATCTCCGAAACTTCGGATCCCGAAGTGACGGATAATTTCGCACCGGAAGAGGAAGAGGAGGATAATCAAACAATTGATCTGGATATGGAGCTGGAACAACGGTGGATTTTGAACCTGAGCATGCATTTCCGAGATGGGTCAGAGAGGGAAAAATTCTTTGTGACGTACGCGGAGACCCCGAATAGATGGCGCCGAGTCACGATTTCCTGCGATTATCGCGATGCACCGCCCTATTCACTGGAGCGGGAACTAAAGGAACTGCGATACCAACGCGACAAGTGTGCGCGGATCTACGAATCTATTCGCGAGTCCCTTCTTGCGATCCAATTCTATGAAGGTGTCACGAATCTCAGGCTCGAGACGAGCGATGACCGCTTACACGTTCATGTTACGGAGGACGTGAACGAAACAATCCCGTACCCGCCCATCTCTAGTGTCAGGCATTTGGTCAACGCTCCTATGATCCCGGAAGACTCGTTACACTTCGAATCTCATTTATCCGGTTTTGTTTACAAGATAAACCTGGACGGACGTTTTTATATCAAGAAGGAAATACCGGGCCCAGATACCGTGGACGAGTTCCTCTACGAGATTAACGCTTTGCATGCGCTGAAAGACCGCCCAAGTGTTATCCAGGTGGAAGGAATCGTGATCGATGAGTGGCGAGGCGTCGTCAAGGGTTTGCTAATTAGCTATGCAGAAAAGGGTGCACTGGTTGACATTTTGTATGAGCAACGTGGGAGAACGAGCTTTGCCCGACGCGAGCGATGGGCAAAGCAGATTGTCCAGGGCCTCTGCGAGATTCACGAGTCAGGCTACGTACAGGGCGATTTCACACTCGCGAACATTGTGGTAGATGCAGATGACAATGCGAAAATCATTGACATCAACCGCAGGGGATGCCCAGTAGGATGGGAGCCTCCGGAAATTGCCGCTAAGATTGAGAGCAACCAGCGCATCTCCATGTATATTGGTGTCAAAACTGATCTCTTCCAATTGGGCATGACGCTGTGGGCATTGGCGATGGAGGAGGACGAACCCGAACGACAACCGCGACCTCTTCGACTAGGTGATGACGCGAAGATTCCAGACTATTACCGACGGATAGTGGATATATGTTTAAGTCCGACTCCGCGACATAGACTCTCTGCAAAGGAGCTTCTCTCTTTATTCCCCCCACTGCCGGAAGCACGGGTACCAACACCTGTTCGGCTATTGGAGACCATTGCCAACGATTCCAGGCCCTCGCAAACTCGGAGCAACTGGGCTCAGACTCAGTCTGGGCTTGGACTGACATCGACAGGCGGCATGATACAGCAAGACGACCATTATTACCCCCAAAAGGAGTTTTCCGAAAATTCTTATGGTGATATGCAGCACCCCATCTTCTCTGAAAATCACGACCTTGTCAAGCGATCAACAATAACCCTCTCAGAATCGAAAGGAGACATGGGATTCTCATCTAAGCCATCTTCTTCCTCTACATTGAATCACCACGAACCTCACAGCCATGATGAGTACGTGGACTTATCCCGCAATTTCAATTATGGCTCATCAATCTACCTACCCTCCAACAGCCAGAACCTAGAAGCTACTCCAGTTTCGCAGACAAGGTCAGCGGGCAATGGTTTCCACAGTCACCCATTGAAACCATCAGCCTTCCCAGACGAGCCTGCCTATCTTGAAAGCGACCCTGGGAACAATCAGCAAGAGACACCAGATGAGCTAACCCCTAATGATCCCGGAAGTGTGCTTGGCTCTGCAATCACCGCCCCTCCGCTCCGGTCCCCAGTCAGTGCATCTCTTATTGAGTCGCAGAAACAGGAGTCTCTGAATCGACCAAGTCCGAAGGCCGCCAATGACGAGGGCGACCTTGAAACCTCAATTTTGCCCATCAACCCTACTGTGCGAGACTCCAGTATATCAAGCGGCACTCAAGCCATCCCCTTTCCGACAGTCCCATCCTCAATCAAGCATGTAAACCAGGACGGCCGGGATCAGCCAAGTCCAAAGGCCACCAATGACAGGGATGACCTTGAATCGTCCATTTTGCCTCTCAGCCCTACTTTCCGTGACTCTGGCAGCTGTGTTAGCCTTCAATGCGCCCCTTCCTCAGTGAAAGATTCTCCCATTGAGTCACCAAAGCATGACTTGGCGGATTTACCATCCGCAAAAGTCAAAGACAACCCTAAATCCACTCAGCTATCGTCCTCCCTTCTATCTCTCTCGGAACTACCCATCAACCCTACTTTCTGTTCTTCTGGAACTTCCACCGACGCTTTGGCTACCACCTCATCGCCGAAATCTTTGCCTGTTAAACCGTCAAGGCAGGATAACCCGGATCAACCACATACAAAGCCTACCACCTATATCAAGCCCATACCCACAACACCACCAGCCTCGAGATCTTCACAGCCTCTCCCGGCATCGCCTATCAATCCTACCCTGGCTCGCTCTGACTCTTCGGTCGAGGTTCCGAGCACTCGTCTATCATCTTCTCCTGTCGAGCCGCCAAAGCAGATTCCTGCGATTTCGCCTCGCGCAAACCCCGATATCAACCCCGAATTTACAGAACCGGCGGCCCCGACGTCAATTCTTACCCATTCGGAATTACCTATCAGCCCAGCCTTCCGTTCCTCCGAGACTTCTATCGACACTTCAAGTGGGCCCTCGTCACATGTTCCTTCTCCTATTGAACCGCCAGAGCCGGGTCATGCGATTGTGCCACGCGAGAACGATACCACACCCAAATCACCGTCAGCACCATCTCGATTTTCTTCAATACACTTTTCGAGCCTCCGTCACACTGGGGCTTCCATTGGCTCGATGGCTACACCGTTCGCAACAAGTCCATCTGTCGTCGGGATTGGACTGCTAAGGCGGCCATGGGACAAACCATCTGGAAATGATCCAGATGCCAAGCCCGCATCGGTAACGCCGTCAGGGTCAACCTCATCGCTTGGGAGTCCTATGACTCTAAACAAGCCAGACAGCGCTATTTCGCCAGCCAAAACATATCCCGTCGGACCACAGAGGCATGAGCCTTTGGGCCAATCCAGCTCAAAGACAACCGATATCAATCCTGCCCGAACAAATACATCGAACTCCAACCCCAATTTGCTTGGTTCGAAATTGCCCATCAGCCCTGCTCATCCAAATTCAAAGCCAAATTCTACTTATGCCGAGGTCGAGATGACATGCGCTATTCAGGGCCCACCTTCAAGCCAGGCCAAATCGAGCATTTCGAGCCAGGCACGTCTTTCCTCGAATCGAATCTAGTCACCAATATATCACCTACGAACAACTTCGTAAAGCCCTCAGGGGAAATCCCACACTTCAAATCAGCGCAAGGTCACTAATATTTTTTACAAAACAATCTTGCTACATCGGCCACCCACGACGCCATGACCCTTTTCTCCGAACGAGCCCCATATTCGGGGCCGAGCACTCGATACCCTTTTGATTTGCTCTGCTTGTACAGTTTATGCCTCGTCGTTTGCCTCGTGTTATTCAGCTTTTGAAAGCATTTACATCGATGGCGGGCGAACCCCTGGAGTCCTAAAAAGTCCTTTGTTTTTTTGTTCTTCTTTCTTTGCATTTTGGCGGATTTTAATTGGTTTTTGTTCTGGTAGCTTTTCTTTTGTCTATTTCTTTTGTCTATTTCTTTTGTGCTGTCTTTTTCTTGTTTCCTTGTTGTTTATTTATCTGTTTTCTCTCAGCGGAGGCCCTTGTTCTGCGTTCTGGTGTTTTCACCCGGAAGATGTATATTGATGGGATTTTTTTATACCTCTTCTTGTCTGACAGGGCTGTATTATTTTTCTTTTTCGTTATTTTGGTAATGCAATTATTGGCTACGACTGGTTTTCACATTCTAGCCGTAAATGGGCCCTATGTGCCTCCTATGGAGCACTGCCTTCTTTTTTCTTGATCATAGGCAATGAATTCTCCTCAGTTTACAACCAAACAAGATTCAAAACTCTCCTTCCAAGGCTCTACACTTGACCCTAGTCCCCGTCCAATCAGAACAATCTTGCACTGAAGTGTTCGAGACTTATCCTGGGTGTCTATAGGCTCTGCATCTCGAATCTCGAATACATCCCGCACAGCTTGGATGATCCTGCTTGTCCCGTCATTCAGAATCAGTATGCCCTTTAGCCGATGAACCTCGAAGTCCACTGGATATGGCTCGGTTGAGACTGATTTCGCAGGAGCAGGGAACGTTGTATCCCACAAAACAGAGCGCAGCCACGCATCCACGCAGCTGACCTTATCTGCCGGTATCGGAGGTGTAACGATTGCAGTGGTAGAGATTGCCTGGTCATAGTCAGAATCATGAGAGAACTCCCAGGTTTTTAGATTTCGGCAGATGTAAACATACCGGGTCCATATGGCTATGTCCCTTCTTACTGAAGTCCAGATCTGCTAAGTGATCATAAGCATGCAAATCCAGCACAACGCCCTCAATCTGCGGCGTCCGGCTATGATCCGTCTCATGAATCTTAGCCACACTGTTGATAGAGGTAACACGATCTCGCACAGCCTCCAGCTCCTGTTCTGTAACCAGATCTGTTTTGTTGAGGATCACTACATCTGCATGTGAAATTTGCATATGCGCCATAGACAGAACAGGGCCAGAACCATGGTCATGGTTCACGTCATGCGACTCGGCCTTCTCTTCAGGCGCAGGCTCATCCAGCAAGCGCATTATGTTCTTTGCGTCGACGAGGGTGACAATTCCATCTAGGTAGATAGAGCTGCCGAGTCCTTCATCCATCCAGAAGATCGGGGCGATGTTGCCCGGGTCGGCGAGACCGGTTGTCTCTAGAAGGATGTAATCAAAGGTGCCGCGGCGTTCCATCAATGACTCGATGGCCATTACGCCCGAGTCTTTTACAGAGCAACAGATGCAGCCATTTCCGACTTCCATCCATTCTGTCACTTCTTGGCCGCCCTGGTTTACGGTCATTGGTTTTTCGATATCCATTGCTTTGTGATATAATGTCAGAAAGTAAGTTTCAATCTTCTTGATTAGATTACTTACAGTCACCAAATTCTGTAAATGTATTAGCAACTGGTTATAACTCATATCCAGGTATACCAGACGAACCGTTCATAATCACGGCAATTTTCTTGCCGTGTTTCTCTGTCAGGATATAGTTCAATAGGGTCGTTTTCCCCGCTCCCAGGTAGCCTGGTCAGCATATTAGTCTCATCCTATATGACTTAATTAAATATGTATTCCATTAAATCATACCGGTGACCAGAGTGATGGGCACGCGAGCTGTTGGTTCTTCATCTACCGATGTTTTGTCTGCCGGCATTGCAGACACATCGATAAGCTCCGGAGGAGCATCCTCATCTTCGAAGTTGGCAGACATAATGTCCTAATTCATGAATGTTGTGTAAATATATAGAAGAACGCGGAGTCTGAAGAAACAGAAAGCCCGTAGATGCGGCGGATGACGTTGTTTCCTAAAATAGACATTAGGGCACAGGGCTCGGGCGGTCAGCCGTTGTTATGTTGATGGCTGGCCTTCAGCGCCTGCGTCTATGCTCTCAACACTCGACCTTTTCTTCATTGATACAGTTTTAACGAAGCGTCTCGCCGCCATCCACTCTTTTATTTGTATCTTGCTTTCTCTCGTTTCATCTAGTGCCCTCGTTATACTACCATCATGACTGCTGCGGGAGTCTCCCCATCAAGCTCCCCGCGGCTTCCCAGTCCTCCTCCATTTACTGAGGTTCAGATTGGGCCTCAGTCACCGTCCGTTGGTGAGGCCTTTGGCAGAGATGCAGACCTGCTTGGTGTTGCGATGGGAGAAAATGATGCCTCGACACGCAGAATCCGGCCAGGGACCAAGTCCGCCGACATGGCATCTGGCCCGCCGGTGATTCCCATTTCGCAGGTTGGTTGCTCTCCACTGGCTGTTTTAGGATATTACTGACCAATACAGATTGATTCTCCATTCCCGTTCCAGGAACACCTCAAGGCCAAGTTCCATGAGCTTACGAACCCCAAAGGATCCGACAAACTGGTCCCGATCACAATCGAAGATGCGCAGAAGCTGGCAAGCCCCCCGGATGAGGATGTCGATGAATCGATATGGCTCTACGAACTGTGCCGTTTCTTCACAATAGAAGCTAATCGCCTAATCACAGGCTTTCTTGAGGAGAGCCCGCCCTGCTCAGTGCAAACTTGTCCCGAGATGAAGGTCAACGAGTGGCAGTATATTTGTGCGGCGCACGGTGAACCACAATATTGCTGCGCAATTGATTATTGCTGCCATACTCTAGATTGGGCCATGAACATCCTCTCATCGGACCAATTCAGTCGAGTGGATTTGAAAGTTCATAGTGCCAAAATCTTGCCAGATATCTTCCGTCGTCTTTACCGCATCTTCGCACACGCATGGTTCAGGCATCGTAACGTGTTTAAGAAGGTGGATGACCGTGACGGTCTGTACGTCTTTTTCAAGACTGTTTGTGTTACACACAAGCTTCTGAAGGAGAACCAGATGTACACAATTCCCCCTGTGGCCGGAGGACCCGATCTACCGCCTAAAGAAGAAAAAGCCATCAACAGCAAAGCTCGCACTATTCTGCGCAAGGAGGATGAACCCCCATTCGGTGCTGCTGTGGAGAGTCAGGACCCGGCGCTCGTCACCGGCGCGACCACCCGTCGGCACAAGCACAGTCCTTCAACAGGTTCGCGTGTCACAAGTATCGCCGAGGATGCGGAAGATTCGGAGGAAATTCCGCCCTCGCAACTGCGTGGGCCCCTGAAGCAATCGCCCGAGCCGCGACCTGTTTCTGTTTTGGAAATACAGAGCAAAGAGGAACCTACTACCGCAGATGACACACCTACTGATGTTGGGGAACCCTCTGAAGAGCGAGTGGAGGAATCTCAGGAACAGTCACCGCAAGAACCCTATGAGCAGCCGTCTGAAACTCCTGAAGACCAGGAAAAGATCGAGCGAGTTGAGCACACTGAGCAAACTAAGCAACCAGTCTCTGAAGAATCAGCTACAAATACAGAATCGTCCATCGATGAGCATTCTACGGAAGAAAAGACAACTTCCAGCGCAGAGGCAACTCCAGCTGAAGAGCCTAAAGCTAAGATTGAAGCGGCACAAGAGCCTTCCGTTTCCCCAGAAACCAAAGACGAGCCAAAGAAAGAGGAGTCTTGATATCAACTCTTTCTGGAACATCTTACGCCAATTCCACACTGATGATAATTGCTATTTTATGCTTATTCTTCAAGTTTCCCTACTTTTATTTACCCTTGCGATTGGATGAGTCGCAATTCTTTCCAAGGTTAGCTATCTGATACTCTTTTTGTAATATATTTCAGGATGTTGTTTATGGCCAATGGCCAATGTCGATGATACCCATTTACCTTTGCTTTCTGGATACATTCATGGATAAAACAAGTATATAATGTAATTCGTAGATCTTCCAAGGTTGGAACATTGGCCTGCCTCATATGCCAGGTACCTACGTGCCCAGGTGGTAGGGTTGATATCTTGATAAGCGCTTATCAACCCGCCGACATCACCAGAAAACGAGACAAGGTTTAAAGCTTCCCAAATCCACCTCCTATATCCAACTCCAAAATGTCAGCTCTCAAAGGCGCTGCGCCAATCTACTTCGGCCCATTTGTGGTCACACCACAGGTGAATCTGCCCCTGCCCCAGACAACAGTCTCAATCAACACATTATAGCACAGAGCTAGGCCAGATACGACAAGCATAAACAAACTCCCCAACACATCACCCTAACTAACAACTCACCCACAAATCCCCAGGTCTTCCACACAACTCCCTTAACCTTCGCCCTGGTAAACCTGAAACCAATCCTCCCAGGACACGTCCTAGTCTCCCCCCGGCGCATCGTCCCCCGCGTCACAGACCTCACCCCCGCCGAAACAAGCGATCTCTTCCTAACAGTGCGGCGAGTGGGTCGCATGGTAGAGCGCGTATACGGTGCTACGAGCTTGAACATCGCCGTTCAGGACGGCGTGCATGCCGGCCAGAGCGTACCACATGTTCATGCGCATATCATCCCCCGCAAGGCGGCAGATCTAGATCACGCCGGTGGTACGGATGCGGTTTACGATTTGCTTGATGGGGAAGAAGGGGATTTGGGGAAAGTGTTCAAGACTGCCCTTCCTACAGAAAGCGGCGGTCAGTCAACTGAGGATATGATTAAAAATGCTGCGAATCCAGGGAGGAGGTCTAAGTTCCCAGCTGTGGATAATGATGCGCGCAAGCCTCGTGATGAAGAGGATATGAAGGCCGAGGCTGAGATGTTGGCGCGGGAGATGGAGAATGAGCCTCTTGATTAATTTGGTCCATTTCTTGGATACGAAGGTCCGAGGCAATTGTATACATATGGTTCTAATAGAGACAGGTATGACAGTTCACCAGTAAGTGAGATGCTCAAATTTTGGACGGCTCCGCTACCCAGGTCGTTGGTGACCTGTTGATAACTAGAGTGTTGGGAGATCACTTAGGCAGGAACGAGGGGTTCTCCCATAGTACAGTAACTATTTGAAGGTCGTGCATATTCAGGAAGACCCTTCCAATGCCATCCACGACTCTAAAGGCATCATCCTTGAACACTAGTTGGTCGTTCCTCCAATCCTCGGCAAAGAAGTCGGCAAGTATCGATATAGTCGCATCATCGAGGACCAGCAAACCAACGAAAACAGAGTCAAGTTATAATACCAACGTAAGTACCTAGCTTTTCGCATCATACTGCACCTACTACTTCATAAAGATCATAAAGATCATGTAATTCTCATAACTCGTCCTCTATGGTATCTAAAGTACCCAAAAAAGAAACGCAAAGATGAAAATAAAGCAACCAACGCCGAAAATGCAGTGGGTCTCTAAAAAGATAATCCCAGGGCATGCCAGACTCCCCTATCACTTATTCCCTGTAATGGCAACTGCGCGCACCCCGCATGCAGATTTTACGCCTTCTTCAATCTCTCCTGAATGACCTCCGCAGCCCAGGCCTGAATCTCTGGCAGCCGAATGCGCGAGGCGACGTGAGTGAACTCGGTGAGATCAACCTCATTCGAGCGCTCGTACTCAACCATCTGCAACAGCAGCTCCATCTTGTCGATATCGTGCACGAAGTGGGCCTCGAGAGTCTCGTCCTTCTCGTATTCCTCAAACACTTTCTTGATTTCCTCGCCCGACAAAATGCCTCCGGGGACCTTGCCAAGGAGGGTCGTGGTGATGTAGTCCATAACGGAGGCCTCGCGACGAGCCTTCTCGGCCTTGGTGATGTGGTAGTCGACTGGAGTGATATCACCAACAAGCGCCTCGGCCATGTCGTGGATCAAGGCCATCTTTGTGCAGTGCGGGATGTTGATCTTGGTTGCCAGGGACGGCGGGGCCATCATCGTCATGATCGACATGCGATACATATGGTCTGAGATGGACTCGCCATTGATACCGAAGCGGCGCCAGCCCTCGCGCTTGGTGGTCTTAAGGCGCTCGATCAAGTGGAAGAAGGGGACGGGTGACGTAGAGTTCTCCTCTGGTCGGTGGGGGAGCGTGGAGAGCACTGCAGATGTCAGATTTGCGGGGTCTAAGAAGAGGAATTAGGGGCTTACCAGTCTCAGGCGTCCACTCAGAGTTGTCGGAGGCCATGGTTGATTTTAGTGGAGAGATAGAACCACTGAGACCCTGGGAGGAAGGAAGAGACACGGCCAAAGAGGAGAATCGAGGAGAGGAAAAAACAAAGAAAGAGAAACAACGAACGCGGGACTCTGATAGGCACTGCAAACAGTGCAAACATTCGTTATCTATGTTTACTCTCCGCCGCCTGTTTACTAAAGTCCCCTTCGACACAGGATGGCTGCGACAAGGCCTGTTCGGCCAAAACCCCTGGACTGGCAGGGTCCTTCCCATTTGGATGTGTTTCTTCGCAATTTGAAGCTATTGCATCTAGATCAACGGGAGGAGTGGCCCGGCATATCTCTCCGTACCTTGGCCCCGACATCACAGAACCAACGACAACGAATTCGACTGATAGAATGGGCCCTTTATCACCTCTATACCATTTGGGATCCGGAGGGTGCCCAAAATGTACAGTTCAATTGTTACCTTCCAAGGTTGTGGACTTTGCTGACATCCCCCACAGAAACTCCGACCCTTCTTCCCCCCGTTAGAACCTCTACAGTCTGTCAACCTCCGCGCAGCCTTGTTTCGGTGCCTAGGTGAACTAAAGAAGAATGGCGATCTGGGAAGGGAGATTGTCCTTCGCAAAACCATGCTGGATGATTGCAAGGGCGATAAATTCGAGGAGCTACTCGCTGGCTTCTCCACCGCCGTTCTCCGTAAAGTTTTGGCGGTCTCCGTGGACGAGACGCTTGAGAATCATGTCATAAAACTTTCGACTGCCACTGCCATAACACCAACCGATTATCAGAATCTCCTACCGCTCATTCTTTCCCACCAAGTATCTCTTGGTTCTATAGGAGAACGCCATGCCCGGGTTCGAGACGCGTATCATCGGTTCTCACAGCTACTAGATGATAAAAAGGTCGAACTTACTGGACGTGCGAATCAAGAACCAGTTGATGGCGTGAATGATATACAGGGCGATCCCGAGAGCTTGGTACGTGAGTTACAGACAAATTGGCTGGGCAGCGAGGAATGGGCCACTGCACTGCTCGAAGGCGGATCACAAAGCAGCACGGACGCTTTTCTGGAACTCCCTTTCTCGGAGGCATGGATGCGGGCAACGAACTCGAATGCCAGCGGTTTCAACAGTGGGTTGAAGCAGGACCTTGTCCTTGATTTGGAGGCTCGTATTGTACTCCAACGAAGTCGACTGCGCAAGTGGCATGAATACAAAAAGTCAATCTCAAAGGAAAGAGACACCGACGAAATTAGCACAGCCTCGCCTAAAGAGCCACGTGTGCTATTCCGGGATCACCAGTCTCTCACAGTTGCTAGTATATCTAAAGCTGTTCGCCAACCCGGGGATCGCGGACGGACGTTGAAAGGGCCAGAGAAATATCTCCTATCCTCTGTAAATGAGGCCTTATCCCGTATCAACGGCAAATCCCGCATCAAGCCTGCAGTTCTCACACCGGAGGTGAAAACGAGTAGCAAACTACATTTCAGAAGCTCATCGAAGATCGTCAGCTCGCCATCAAGGGTGGCAGAAGACCACACCCCTGATATTCCACCAGACCTAGAAACTCCAGAGCTCCACCCCGAGCCCGAGCCCGAGCCCAAGCCACTTCCAGAATCAGAGCATATTCAATCCTCTCCCCAAATCGTCCGGCTCTCCCCAGATCCCCCCTCATCGGATGAAGAACCAGCCCCGGAACCCATCAAGCGCACCCACACCTTAGCAGAGCGCACGCGCAGATCAATGTCTCTCCTTCCACCTGTGGCCCACGAAGCGCCACGGCCACGCCGCAGACCCCGCCCATCTTTCCCGGTCAACCAGTTCGTGACTCCGCGGAAGACTTCTACACAATCAGCTTGTTCGAGGGAAATCTCACGTGCTTCAACCCCTCAGGATCAGCTCTTTGAGGAAGATGCTGAGTACGCGAGTGTCTTTAAGTCGCGGCCGCGCGTGGCACTTAGTCCTATTTCGTCGCCGGCTGTGCATGTCAGTCCCTCTTTTGAGGAGGAGGGTTTTGAATTGGATTATGAGGATGGGGATATGAGTGAGAGTAGTGAGTGGGGTGTCGATTCGCCTCTGGCTGCTCCACGATTGAGGGGCTAGTTTGTCAAATTATCTCAACTATTCGGTGAAGCATTGTCAATGAGTAGTTCGAAATTCTACATTCTGTCTAAACCCCCTTTGTCAAAGCTCTAGTTCCAGACGGACGTGAGACGACCGCGTAGATATAGCCCTTACATTTGTTTCAGGAGATGCCTGCGTGCCGGAAGTTAAGCCAAATTCTTTCATCAACTCCGGAAACTATATGTACGTGGGTAGCCCTGGAGCCCTGGGGAGTTCAGTAAATTATTAAGCTTTAGAGTTACGTCCACGGGTATCAGAACAATAAGGGTGGGCCCGAGGCGGGCTCCCCCGGGGGTCGCTTGGGGGGCCCCGAAGTTCATGTTAGAACCATCTTAGGCTATTCGTATCTAAATCAGATAACATATAAATATGTGGGCATTACTAAATTCTCTATTTACCAAACGTCCAATAGCTTTGGTCTGTCTTATATCTAATTATATATATAGTTTACGGTATCTTCCAGGGTTGTTCTTACCCTGGGGGTAGGATCAAGGCAGAAATTTAACTATGAAACAAGGATGCATGGCAGGTAATTTCAAAACGGATGACAGCTCTGGAGTTTCATGTCTCGTTTCTATCATAAAATATGACCTCTTCTCATACCTAAGTTGTATATCCCGTGATTGTTGTCTTAAGGTTTACAAGTATTCATAAGTTTTAACCTGAAGTTGATTTCGGATCCTAATATAGAGATTCAAACAATACTATTGAGCAGAACAGAAAAAAATACACATATAAGCTTCGAGGTAGTTGCGTAGTTCAACATTTGAAACTGAAGAATACGAATGCCGCGGAACTCGGCTAAGCTCATTTCTAGAGCAGAATAACAGCCTAATTGTTCTAGAAGCATCCCGGGGTGGATGCGATCTATGCCAGGAATACTATGCCGAATGTCTCCGTTATAGCAGTAAAGAAACCTCTGGAGTAATCAAAATTCTTATTGGATAAGTTGAATGTAAGATCATAAAACAAATAGACGGTGAATGATGACCCACACGTGCAAGATCGAGTGGGGAGTAAGGATGATGCGATGGCTGTTTTAGTCTCCGAAGATGAAACAGACATGTTAGAGATAAATTAGCGACCTCGGTTTTTAAGATCTGCGATGTCAAATGCTTGCAAGTGCTCCTTTCCTATATGCACTATTACCACATGTAGTAAAGCGACCTCGGGAGTTTTAAACTAAAAAAAGTACGTTAAATACTACCGCATCTGAGAATTCTAGAATGTCTGCCATAACCAAGACCAAGATCCCAGAAACTTGCCACGTTTTGTATGACAAGGAGCAAGTCCAGGAGGCCCTTGCTCTCTGGCGATCTTACTCTTTGTAGTGTGTAAATGTTGTAATTCTTCCCGGGCATTGGTCTTGGGATAATTGCCCCCGCCCTTGTGCGCTGCTTGGGCCCCGATATTTTCATGTCTGATTGTTCATATTTTGTGGCTGTCCTACAAAATTAAAAATAAAACTGAGTCTTTCTTCCCAGTAAGGATCTTTGGCGTCAACTTCTCCCTCATGGCGCCTTCAGCCACATTCATCCACTCCCTTGGTCATAATACCTTGGGAAAGATAGATATCACTGTGCAGTCAGTCCTTTTGGCTATTGTCTTTATTTCCGTTGGTCTACGGCTATGGTCACGACGATTGCAGTGGATTTCGTTAGAGTTGAATGACTTGTTGATTATAGTTGCGACGGTAGGGTTATCTATTTCATTGCTTTCTTTTCAATATGTGGCGCTGTTGGTTCCCCGCAAAATCTCGACAGGGCTGACTGTAAAATTATAGTTCTTCATGGTCGGTCGCTATGTGGTGGAAATTATCATGGTCCTACTATGTGGAATGGGACTGCATTCCACCGAAGTAGACCATGTGGGAGGGGCCGAGATTCTTGTCCTATTCAAGGAGGTAAGTCACATTGAGTGGCATCCATTGATTTATACCGATCTATGTTTGTTTCTTTAGCTGACCCTACTATCAGCTTACATATGCGAGTGATCTTCTCTGGGTCACTGTGCTTGCTTTGATCCAATTGTCGATTCTCGACTATTGTGTGCACAGATTCGGTCATCGTACTATTACTTTGCTAGCATATGTTATCATGGGTCTATCCTCGGCTCTCTGGGTTGCAGCCTTCTTTGCAACTGCGTTTTCCTGTAATCCGCCAAAGAGAATATGGCATGTCGACACTCCGGGTCATTGCAGTAATCGCAGAATGTTGCATATCAGTGTCCATGCAAGTGAAGCAATTCTGGGCTTCTTTATTGTTATTCTTTCTACTCCTTCGATATGGGGCACCCCCTTGTCGAAGACTAGGCAAACTGCACTGGTTTGTATCCAGGCTCTAGGGCTAGGGTGAGTAACCAACACCTGATTATGGGCATATAAATATACAGTACAGAATGTTAACTAACCAATGTTCCAGCATCATTTCCATTATTACTGTCCTCGCAAAACTCGAGCTCGAGCTCGACCCAGGAACCCTAACCCAAGGTTCCGCCAGGAAGTCAATCCTTTCATGCATCGTGCCTCTTCTGGGGATAATAGTTGCCTGTCTCCCAGCCGTGGAGCCAGCCATTCAACGGATGTTCAGAATACCCGTGTTTCCATCCCCTGTCCAAACCTCGATGCATGATCCCACCTTTGCGAGGTACTGGAGGACGACAGTTCTTTCGGGTAGGCGGTTGGAGGAACCAGAGATGCCTCTGGTCACTATTACCCAACCTTTCAAGGCAAAGATGAGCCATCTTGCTCCTGGACATATTCAGGTTACTTCACATTGGGAAATTCATTCGTCGCGGGGTTCGGCGAGACTTGATAGATCACCCGTGCGGCAGGCCTAGGGGGTTTTATATCGAGAATTTCGTGGTTTATATAGATTCAATTATAGACATCGGGTCTGGTATTCGGAATAGATTAAGTTCATTTTGTTATCCACTCCGAAGTACGGCAATAAATGCGCTCTGTATCGGCCACCCACGTCATGTGCATATCTTCCTCTTCCAACTCTTCCGGTGTATCTATTTGCTACTTTTATTGCTCTTATATAAGAGGACTGGGATATATAGTGTATTGAATACAAAAAAAAAATCTATACAGAAATCTAGAGCCTAAATCAGATTCCAGGATATGTATATATCCCAAGCACGAGGACATTTTGATACATATGAACAGATTCCCTAGCTTCCTACCTTACCTTGAATCCACTATAACAACAATATATACCGAGCCCATAATGCTGTCTTTCTCTTTACAGTTTATTCAGTAGCCCTAGAAAGGTGTAAACAGAGCAAAGCCACTGCGGACCTAATCCCGGTCTATACTCTTAATCTGGAAAGTGTGCATATGCTTTATATATCGTCGTCCGCTGACATCTTTCATCCCAACTCATTGTGGTTGGCCAATTGGCCTAGTGGTAAGGCATCCGTTTCCGGTGCGGGAGATCGTAGGTTCGAATCCTGCATTGGTCGTCAACTTTTTGCTTTTCTCCCCTATAGATACAGGGAGGGGAATGCATGATTTTTTGCATGCTGAATTTATTGATTGTTTGGGGGATAGATAACCTGTTGTCTGGTTATGGACTGAGGTAGGAAGCAAATCACGTGCGAGCCAAGAGACAGTTTATATGAAAAGACTGACTGAGTTGACTGTTTTTTGACTGTCTGCGTGATATGATTGATGTTTGATGAGACTTGCATACAGTTATAATGAACATGTGAATCTCTCTTTGTTAGTTAGTTAGTATAGGCCCTTTTGTGCGGAGTACGGAGGGAGGGAGTATGTATGTACAACAAATATATATATCATCTCATCCGAGCAAATGTAAAAAAACCAAATAAATAATCAAATCAATCAATGCCCACCTAGATAATATGAGAGAATGCTTAATTAAGATCAAGTAAGAGCCTACTCGATATATGTATGCAACTAAACAAATAGCCTCCTTCCTGCCTTAGATTGATTGCCTCAAAGGTACAACATACAAAACATCCATGCACCCAACCACCCGCCCATCCCTGCCAAATGAGGGAGTATAAAAACAGACAGCACCCGCCGTTCCAATCCAACAAAGGTCAAAAGGAAAAACCACAAACTAGATGGATATTTAGATAGATCACATAAAATAGAGGCCAAAAAACAAAAAGATAACGACCAATGCAGGATTCGAACCTACGATCTCCCGCACCGGAAACGGATGCCTTACCACTAGGCCAATTGGCCGCCTTGTGTATCATCTGCTCAGAGAAGGCCGTCATGAGGACAACTAACCGCTGGCTCTTTGTTGGAGCTGACTACCTGTGAACATCCAGTAGGTCTGCATATATATTCCTGCTGGCAGATACTAATCGAGGCTTAAGCTGATAGCTGTCTTCCATATGAGCATTCCGAGTGACAACCACGAGTCGCAGTAAACATATCGATGAGATCCCAGCGGGTGACAGGAAACCCTAAGTTGGAGGATCAGGAACAAAACAAGCCACCCCTTAACGAGGGCGTAATGCCTACCACCAATCAATTTCCCAAAAAGGAACTCGCAGAATTAAATAACGAGGGCGCAGGTACCACCAGTGTAGGTCCCGGGCCCTGCATCGTCTCCCACGATCAGCCAGGATCATCCCTTGCATAGAAGGGAGGTGAAACCATGATCGACGGGGAAATTTGTCGAGATTAAGCATTAGCACATTCCTCTCGGAGGAGAAAAGAATTCAGCCACCCTGTTAGAAGCAGCGAAAGAAGCCACTAGTATTTGCCGCGAGGGATGTTGATATCGCCGCACGGGCAGTTGAGGGACGAAATGACGCCCCTTCATATCGGAGCGATGACAGAATGTCAGCAAGACGATCCGTTCTGAAAAGATTAAAGAAAGTCTGGAATCCCTCGAGGTGGCTCGCATTCCTGCAGACTTTCATTAAAATCGCTTCTTTTTTTTTGTCGCTCGTCGGCACTTCCTTTCTTTCAGCTCGATACTTACAGGGCCTATACAGCCGACACAATGGTTAAAACTACGTATGCCCTTACGCTTTTTGCAGCTGCCAGCTTGGCGGCTCCAGTTCCGCAGCTCAATGGCCGTGCCGAGAAGCAGGCTTCAGTCGAGCACAAGAACCTCATTGAGGATATTCCTATCCTTGGACCTCTTCTTGGAGGGGTAAGTGCCATTCAACTCTTATAGGGAGTGGGTTGCTAGAAAGAGACGGGACTAATAACAATCGACCAACAAACAGAAGCAAGGTGTCAAGCGCGATGATGCTAAGCCTCAACACAGCAATCTCATCGACGATCTTCCGATCATTGGAGGTCTTCTTGGCAACGTAAGATTGCCGTTTTGGTTTTGTGGTAAAACTAGAAGAGTACTAAAGGTAGTCCCAAACAGGCCAAGCAGAACAAGCGCGGAGATATTGGACAAGACGGTATTAGTGGCTTGCCCTTACTCGGAGGGCTGTTCGGATCGGTAAGTGTTTCTAGCCTGCATTGACTTGAAGGGCTTGGTATTAACGGAACCCTAGCACCAACACACTGGTGGCGCGAATGGCATTACCAAGCGTGGAAACGGCGGCCAGAACTATGGCCAGAACGACGGTCAGAACTATGGCCAAAATGGGGGTCAGAATGCTGGCCAAAATGCCGGCCAGAACGAAGGTCAGAACGAAGGTCAGAATTCCGGCCAGAATGTAGGCCAAAACGGAGGAAACGGCTGGAAGCGCAGCCTGGAAAGCAGCCTCAGCAGCCTCCCCATCGTCGGAGAGCTTCTCAAGGTACGACACATCTTCTAACCATTTGAAAAAGCTAGAACCAGAACAAGAAATCTGACATGACATGACACGGGCCAGAATAAACCCTCTCACAAGCACACCGAAACTCCGCCTAAGCAACTCAATACCCGCGAGGCTGGCCGTCCCAAGGGTATCTTCGGTCTCCTGCAGTCTCTGACTAGCGGCGATGTAAGTTCTAACCTTCGGCGACACTTGTATGTATACAAGTGCTAATAATCCAAATAGCCCGTCAGCAAGAGCCACAAACGCGCCGCTGAATTCGATCAACTGGAACCAATGGACGACCTCCTTGAAGGAGCCGTCGCGACTGGTCTGGATGCTGCGTCTTCTGCTAACCCTTTTATGGTATGTCATTCTACCAGTCTCGAGGAAGTCTGGAGAGAATCCGAGTCAAGCGATTGTACTGACACCTGGACAGATGCGCCGTGATGAGTCTGCCGCCCCCAAGGCAAACCAGGCCCCGCAGGGTAACCAGAAGGGATCCCAGGGAGCCAAGGAGAGCAAGGCCTCCAGCGGCCTCCTCGGTACATTAATGAGCAAGGACGGCCCTCTTGGTGCTATTATGGGCAACGCCGAGCACGGCGTTGGCCTTTTCCCAGTACGTGTCGCTCAACGCATATAAGCAAACCGTGAAGCTAACATTCGTCCAGATGCGCCGTGACACCAACGAACTTGAGGCCCGGCAAGCGCCCCCCATCCAGGGCGCCTCACTGACCAGTGTCCTCCTTGAGGGCGGTGCTTTGGGAAAGGTCACCAAACTTCTTTCTGGAGGTGCTGAGACTAAGCACGATACCAACTCCCCTTCTAAGGTCGGCGACATGTCCACTGCGGGTCCTCCCAACCCTGCCTCTGGTGCTGGCCCGCACTCTGGCCCTGGCCTTGCTGCTCAGAAGCAGGGACCCAAGGCTGCTTTTCAGTAACCTAGACACGGCACGATTACGTTATGTTTGATTTTCAAGGTTCTATCAGTCGAAAAACTGAGGATTTTATGAAATTAGTCAGATTAGCCGACTGAGATTGGGGATGGGCAATAATCGGCTATGCTGTTCAACTGTTGAGTTCTTATTTATTCTTTCAAACAAGATCAAATGCGTTACTTGATTCAATGATAAACCGAAGCTTGAGTGAATAAATCACAGGCAATTTTGAATTCTGGATACAAAAAGAAACCCGCAGGAAAACCCTGCTATGTAGTGAGACAGGCAGACGAAGCTGCAAGGAGCGCAAAGAACCAAAACATAGAAATCGTAAATCGTAGTCAAATCAAAACCGGCATTTCCGGTTCGGAGCACCCAGTTAAAGAGCGCCCTTGAGGGGGGTATCAGGTCGTTACACGCGATGAAAACAAATACAGCCACACTCGAGATGGAAGATCTGAAAGGCAAAGAACAGCCTAATCAGAGTCATACATGTCCACATCGTCCACTACCACCGTCGTCCCCAACGCCTCCTTACCTTCCCGAATCATCGCCTGTAACTGCTTATTCAATCGCTGGATACTGGCATCTTCTTCTCGTTCCTTTCGGCGCATCTTAGCAGCCTGTCGTTGTATATCAGACGCAGGAGCATCCCTCGATCGAGGGGATGGAAGGCCCTGTCCTTTAGTTGGCGAGTGGGGTCCGGTAGAAGAATAAGCGGCTCGTTTAGCGAGCCGGGGCATAACGGTAGATTTGCGACGAGGACTCGATGCTTGGAAAATGCGTCGTGCACGGAGTGACGGGCTAGCTAGCTCGCTGCTACCCATGGATGGATCCGAGCTTTCGGGTACCACGACCCAGCTTCGGTCGACCTCATCGTCTGGATATTGACCGGGTACGGGTGTCGAGCAGAATGTGTTCGGGGTGTAGATGTCTTTCTCGGCGGATGGGCTGGTTGAGGGCTGCCAGCTAGATTCGAGAGTTGTTGCTGGTCCAGATGACATGTCATAGCCCTGTCCTCCGCCTGCGTAGAATCCTCGGAAGGCGCCAGCCCAGCATAAATCGAGGACTTTGCTAACGGCTTTGATCACGGTCTGGCCCCAGCCTGTGGAAGTCGTGGTACTGGGGCCATCGGGGTTTGCGGATACGATGCAAGAGTCGAGGCGGCTTCGCTTGCGACTGCCGTTGTAGTCTGCTAGGTTTGTTGACTCGTCGCTGGAATCGAAGGAGGGTGGAAGGAAGGAGTCGCGGTATCGGTTCGGACGGTAGTCTAGCTCGGCAGAAGCGTGGAAATCGTTTCCTCCGCTTACTGAGCGGTAGTTGGAGTGGATCATCGGAGACCCAGTGAAACTGGACTCAAAAGGTGAAAGTTTCTCTGTATTACGTGTTCGCTTGCGACTAACTGAAAGAGAATAGAGTGATGTGGAAGCTGTGGAGGCCGGTACTTGGAATAGCTGAGAAGGCGCATTTGAGAGGTCGAGTTTAGGTGAAGCAGAGTTGAAGATATGCATATTGGACATTTTAGAAGAAAGAGAGATAAAGAAGATCAAAGATCAACTAAAAGATCAAAAGATCATAATCAGAGAAAAAAAAAAGTGAAGAAGAGGAAAAGAAAAAAAGAGGAGGTTGGATATGCGGGATTACTCCGTTTCTTTGTCTCACACCTTTAAAACCCCCTACATGTCCATCTCTAAAATGTCTTTGGATTGAAATTACAATCTTTGGCTGGTCCATTGTACTCCAGCTTCCTCCAATCCTTGATCACCATCAACTAATACACACCATCCCTCGCTACCTTGTCCTCCATCTCCCGCGATCACCGCCTCAAAGTGACCCTTAGCGTATTCCAACACTTGATTGTCAAAGGTGCCAGGTTGTAACCAGACTGCAGGGATCCCCACAGAATGAGCTTCCTGCAGTACCTTGAGAGTCACAGCCGGAGGAGTCACCACTGACAGGGAAGTCTGTGTCGGCGATGGCAAACTGGCCGGTGAGGGGACGGTATCGTAAGCACGCGAAGGGAGGGTGATCTGCGCTGCTCGAGGATTGAGTGGTGTGACCGGTAGGGAGTGTTGATGATACCAGGCGAGGACTAATGATTTAGTTCTCTATACGAAATGCCAGAGAGTGTGTTTCCTTACTCTTGTATCCGAACTTATGAGCGTCATTGCTGGCCCCCGCCACCGCAAAGCGGGGGGAAGAGAAGAATCGCTTGACTGACATGATTTGAATGGAATTTATGTTTTCAAAGAGTTAAAATAGATTTGTTAGTGTTGATAATAGCAAAATAGTTGTGAAGGTGCAAAGTTGCAAGTTCCTAAGTCGCAAAGAAAATCAAATCCAACGCAACCTCGGCCTATGACTCTCTCCCTTCTCCGACATTCGGCTATCCAACTTCATTACTTTCACATCACATTCGCATGCCACCCTTCGTCCCCCGCAAGCGCGTATCCTCCGAGGACCCGCCCCCGGCCAAGCGCCAGGCCCGGCCCGATAATTTTCAAGCTCCATTCCACCTCTCCGACTCCGACTCCGATTCCTCTTTGAGCGATGCACCCGAAGATCTCAACAAGGGCAATGCCACGCAGGCATCCGAATCCGAAGATGAAGAAGAGGATATCGACTGGGAGGATGCGATAGACACAAAAACCACCGCTACTACACCTACCGTCGCAGCTCCGGAGCTACAAGACCTAGAATTGACCCTAGATCAAAATGAGACACACGTATCTGATCTTCTGGATGGTAAGAAGGGGCCTAGTAAAATCGAGCGCCAAATCAGGATTCAGACACACTGTATGCATGTCCAGTGCTTGCTTTTCCACAACGCCATTCGCAACGCCTGGAGCAACGATTCCAAAGTCCATGAGATCTTGCGAAAAAAGCTACCGGAAGGAATTCGCAAGGAAGTCAAAAAATGGCGCATAGCTTCGGGTCTAGAACTCCCGGAGCCAAAGCCTGAACCGCCCAAAAGTAAGAAGAAGGGCAAAAAGGCCCAGAAAAATAAAGACTGGAGTGATGAGTCGGAGCGACTGGAACCAGGCCAACCAGACATGAGCCGTGGTGATCCGATAATTACATTGATAAAGGTGCTGGTCGCATACTGGAGGAAGCAATTTCGCATTACAGCACCTGGACTGCGAAAGTATGGATACCGGCCAGTTTCTGCTCTTGAATCTGCAATAACCGACTTTCGTGAGGAAGAACATGACCCGGAGCGCCACGGTGAGCGTATCGCCAGTCTTGATGAGTTCCGCGCGACCGCCGAGCGTATGCAGGGCTCGCGGGATGTGGGCGCACAGCTCTTCACAGCTCTCGTCCGCGCTTTGGGCATCGAGGCAAGACTTGTGGCCAGTCTACAGCCGCTGGGCTTTGGTTGGACTAAAGGAGAGACTTACACACCTGCACCCTCCAAGGACACTGAAAATGAAGAGGAGTCGGAAGGATCCGAGCCTGAGACTGACGTAGCTGAAAATAAGCGACCGGCGAAGAACAAGCGCAAACAGTTTGACAGCGATCTACCATTTCCTATCTACTGGACCGAAGTTGCCTCACCTGTCACGAATGAGATCATATCTGTGGACCCGCTAATACTTTCCAACCCCGTGGCACCATTTGGAGATACAGATTTACAAGCAAACTTCGAGCCTCGTGGTGCAAAAGCAGAGCGAGCCAAACAAGTTATATGCTACGTTGTCGCCCACTCGTCAGATGGTACTGCCAAAGAGGTCACGACAAGGTATCTTCGACGGCGGACCTGGCCCGGCAAAACCAAGGGCTTCCGAATGCCCTTAGAAAAAGTACCCGTAGGTCCACGGGGGAACTACATCGCCTTCGACTGGTTCGGGATGGTAATGCGCGGATACCAGCGAGCCCGCAAGAGCAAAACAGCAGTCGACAAACTCGAAGAAAGCCGAGATTTACAGCCAAACCAACCTGAGAAGAAGAGAACAACCCAAACTGCCGACACCCTTCAAAGTCTCCGAACCTCCACCGAGTTCGTCCTAGAGCGTTTCCTCCGCCGCGAAGAAGCCCTCCGTCCCGGCGCAGAACCCGTCCGAACCTTCATCGCCGGAAAAGGCGCCCGCGCCAAAGAAGAACCTGTCTTCCGACGAGCAGACGTGCTAAAATGCCTCTCTGCCGAAAGTTGGCACAAAGAAGGTCGCCAGACGAAACCAGGCGCGGTGGCCCTTAAACGCGTGCCCATCCGTGCAGTAACTCTCATCCGTAAACGCGAAGTCGACGAAATGCACCGTCAGACCGGCGAGAAACCCCTGCAGGGTCTATACTCGCGCGATCAGACAGAGTATATCGTCCCGCCGCCTATCCAGGACGGCCGAATCCCCAAGAATGAATATGGTAATATCGATTGTTTCGTGCCGAGTATGGTCCCTGCGGGTGCAGCGCATGTCCCATTACCTGGTACTGTGCGAGTGTGTAAGAAGCTTGGAATCGACTATGCGGAGGCAGTGACGGGGTTTGAGTTTGGGTCGAAGATGGCAGTGCCGGTTATTCAAGGTGTTGTTGTTGCGGCTGAGAATGAGGGGCTACTTAGGGATGCTTGGAAGGCTGAGGCTGCGGAGAAGAGGAAGAGGGAGGAGCTTAAGGCCGAGAAGAAAATTCTGCAGACGTGGAGGAAGTTTTTATTCGGGTTACGGATTATGGAGCGGGTGAGGGATGAGTATGGGGGTGATCCTGATGCTGATCGGGAGCGGGATTCGCATAATCCTTTCGCTGTACAGAAGAAGCGGAAGGAGGAACCTGATGACGGTGATGAGGAAATGCCTGATCGAGAGTCATATAACGCAATTGATCATGGCGGTGGATTTCTTCTTCCTGGTCACGAAGATGACGACGATGGCCTGATTGTTGATCATCATGATCAGCAGCAGGGTTATGCAGGTCCATCTCACAAAGATGCCGATCATGCCGATCATGCCGATGGCACTGATGATAACGAGCCATTCGAATCTGGATGTCCTACTGCAGACTCACATGTGTCTATATCCTCGGGTTCAGGTAATGAGGTGGATAATGGCAAGGGTGAAGACTCCGAACCTGAATATGTACCGCGCAGGACACGTCGAACGCGAGGTCCTTAATGGAATGAATGTATGTACTATTTACAAAAATATTCGGCCGCATTAGCGGCTTTGTGACGTCTTTCCAGTAATCTTTTCAGCAGTATCTTTAGTAGTCTTCTCATTACTACGGTCTCTTGCGCAGTCCAGCATGTATCTAATAAATAGCGAGCTACATCGGGATAATCAGATCATAATCATCATCCCGCTTCCCTTGTGCAGTCTTTTTGTAAGGGCATTTGAACAACAGGCTAACGCGATTTTTGGACTCTACACGCACCGTGAGCCATTGCAAGATTTGTGGGAAATGCTGCTATCTGGCAGCTTTGAACACTTCGATTCCACTTATATATATATATCTATAGACTTACGACCGGGAGTGCTCGAAGACTTCCAAGAGCGGCTTCTACGATTTTCAAAGTTCAACAGTCTAGAGGCTTTGCGATATAGAATTATATAAAGATGCCAACATACTTATTTGTGAAGTACTGCAAACGGTATATATAATTGTTTACACACCCTTCACAGCTGGTCATCCCACAATAGTGAGTACAGTTTAGCCAGCTGTAGTTGGGGTGGATGAAGCTGCAGAGTTGACAGGGCCTGAGGTATGGCACATATACATAGAAGAGTCTACACAATCAAGAAGCAAATACCTGCTGTTAAGAGCGAGATTTTCTCTTTATGGCTGATTGGATTGAAATCCGAGTAATGTATTTCCAAAACATCCATAAAACTATACTTGCAAGCTTGGCACAAAGAGCGAAACCAAACCCATCGAAAACACTTTCAACCATTGGAACATTGACGATAAAACAGCCAACGGGAGACAAGGCATTAAGCATCCATGCGAGCTACCCAGTCACTGCAGTTGAGAGACAAGCATGCACCGCCTCATTTGGAGATACCGAGACGTGACCGAGCAGTTGGGAAGCCGCCGCTTTAAGGGGGGCCACCGGGGCCACCGGGGCCGCCGGGACCACCACCGTTCTCATTCTCAACACCGCCATCCTCGGTGTAATAGGCCGCAGGGGTAACGGTTGAGTCCTGGGTAGAGTCGATACCAACCGTGATCCAAGCGAAGATTCCATCGGAGACATCGTCGCCCAGATAGACGTATTGCATGAGTGGGTCAATGGTGTCGAGTTCTTCGCCAAGAATTGAGTCTTCGACATTGGTGGTCAATTCCTGCGTGTTGCTTGAGTACGGGGCGACTTCCTCAACGGCGGTGATAAGATCCTGGTCGAAGAAAATCTGTCCGACGTGCGACGAGTGCGTGGTATACAGACCGGAGATGGTTCCGTTCGGGAGAAGCTTGGTCTCGTTGGCTGGGTGAGTGAGGACTATTGATGGAGTTAGTGAATATTGCAATAAATTTCAACTCGCAGCATGTGAAAGGTAAGTTGTATAAGCAATGAAACTGCAGAGAAAAGAAGACATGAACGGAGATTCTCGTAGCTGGGAATCTTACCATGAATGTGAGTTGTACGGCCAGTGTAATGGCCTGGGAAGGTCGAAAGGAATTGGACGACACCATCCTTGTTACTCTTTTGGACACCTCGGTTGAAGGTCGCGTCGAGGTTAGCGTCATCGCCAGAGTTGCCGTTTCCATTGGCGACAACTCCAGAGTAGACACCCTATAATGATCGACATTAGTGGGACGGTTCACATTGTAATATAGTGAGATTCGGACTGGAGAATCTACTTACGGTCGAATTGCAGTGCCACATGTCCAAGTAGATCTCCGGAATAGGCTCGCAGGTGTTGGTGTCCACCAATTGGATGTCCATGTAGAGAGGAACACCAGCCTGGGACTCAGCGATGTTTTGACGAACTAGTTCACCCGTGACATCTAAGCTGCATCAGCAAAATTCAATCATAAAGTAGAGACGGGAGGCTAACAGTAAGGCCCCTGAGTGACCTCAGGTCCGAGGATGCAGGTGGCCTCAGCGCCAAACAACACCTCGGGGTCGGTAGTGAAATCCACTCCAGTGAGGTTGGAGTGATGAGAAGTATCCAGGGGGCTCCCAGTGCTACGTGCCTTGAGATGGTGGTTGGCTACCAGCTTGTTAGAGTGTAGTATTTGCAATTGACTTCAAAACATACTAGGATGAAGACCAAGGCGGCGACGTATGTTCTTCACGGCCATGTCGCGACGAGCAACGTTTCGGCTTTGGTGGCCTCGACGCTGAAGGCGAGAGGCACACTGCGCAAGGCTGCGAGAGTGAACAGGGGCATGTTTCAAGAATGCAGCTCGCTCAGCAGCTTCAGCTCGGACATCATGTCCTGGGTGAGCAGACACAATGCTAGCCAGAGTAGCCAGGCCGATGGCAGCAACAGATGCAAGATGAACCATGGTCGAGGTATCGATTTGATAACACGCCTTCAAAGGACCGAAAGGTGAAAAATTCAAAGTAAGGAATTCAGACCAAGGCTGTTAGAGTTGACTGAATGTGAATGAGAAAGTTGAGGATACAACAGCTGGGTTTCTTGTGGTGTTTTATACCCTCCTTTTGCCTCACGGTATAACACCCCCGCCGGACCACGGCTCGATTCGGCATAGTTCTGATTGAGATAAAAGACATTGTTATGCAGCTGACGAAGAATAGGGAGTTGAATTGGCAAATGAAACGCGTAACATTTCTCAGCGAGTAAGGCTTCCTGTTAGCTGCAAGCCCCCGCAGCGGAGATCCAACCATCCATCAATGAAATCGCGAATCGTAGGGCGAAGGGGATAGGACACCAGTTCCGGGAAAGTTCGGTAGAGTGTCAAAATAGGCACGTATTTGATTCTGCAGCAACCCTAACCAACCTTGATGAAATCACTGTCGATCATGCTGGCACTAGGGCCCTGCCAAGGAAGGAAAGATGAGCCACTGGCGTTGTCGCAATTCTCTATGCGGGGAATTAAGGACGAGGCCAAAAGTAAGATATTCATAGAACAGGTCTTAGTCTGTGTGGGACTGGACCAACTGATCGACCACGATGACGAGGCTCCTTTCATCCACTTTTTAGCTGGTGCACCCGGGATTTGTAGTTGTGAAAAGACTGTCTGTATGAAGAGACATAGCGACCGGATAACTAGCGAGTAGTCATCTCCGTCGGTGCCCGCGCAAGGCCGTGGTAGCGTAGCATATTGGTCCCAGACTCGTCACGGATAAGTTCAATGTCAAGTGACAGATATGCTCCCAGTATACCCCCGCCAATCAATTCCAATCAATTTGAGAGCAAAGCCTCCATGGAATCTTCGATGTAACGGCCAGGCCCTTCCTAACGTGCGTAGGTAGTATACGTATTCGGTCTTGGCGGTCGGGTCCCCTGACAACAGTCAGCGGAGAATGGAGCTCCGAGGGCTTTGCCTGCGTACGGAGTATTTGTGTCAACAATCAACAATAAAAATGTCGCACTCTGATTAATATTGTCAGGAAATCTGGATTCCAATTAATGAAAAGACACGTGCGAAATACTTGGCTTTATTAAGAGCGAATCTCCCATTCAATCTGTATCCTTCAGCACTTCTGTTGGATTTCTAAGATTTGCCAAGACGCTGATATAACCCCAGGAAAGGGCTTGGCAATTGCTTGCTATTTGAAGATCTTCTGATGTCCGAGAAGTTGACGAATGTTGTGGATGTGGTTGGTGTGGATGTGAATGTGGGTTTCAACCTTAAAGTGATAGAGAATGTACCCATCAGTTACACACAGCGTGGCTGTTTTTCCTTGGCAGGCACGCGGTCTGACGACTTCATCTATATTTAATTATCTACGGAGTTGAAATGATTCCCTACATTTCCTAATAACCAAGCGAAAGAAAGGATCAAAAGCAATAAGAATTAAATTGATTATGTTACATGCATTCGTGGATATCGGGGGCAATGGCGCATGAAACCGTCAACGCATGATAAAAAAAAAAAAATAGATCCGAGCGCGACCTCTGAGAGGGGGCTGGAACTATGTAAAAAGCACAGAAGAACAAGGGAACCGCCGTGCCAAGGACTAGGCCCATGGACTAAACTTCCTGCTGGGTCACGCTGGGTGCCTGAGCAGTCTTCTCCTCCAGTCCAATCTCGGCAGCAAAGGTGGTCGAGGGCTTCCACTTGGCGGAAGTGCGGGGAGTGGTCTCTTCCATCATCTTGTCAACCTGCTCCAGCGTCAAGCCCTTGGTTTCGGGAATGAGGAAGTAGGTGTAGACCAAGGCACAGGCACAGAGAGAACCCCAGATAAAGAACACCTTAGGACCAAGGTTACCTTTATCGGCCTCAGTCATGTAAGGGGTGATGACTGCGATGATGCAGTTCCAGAGCCAGTTGGACGCGGTGGAGAGGGCAACACCGCGGGACCGAATGGGGAGAGGGTAGATTTCACCGATAACGACCCAAGCACCGGGGCCCCAGGTGCTAGCAAAGAAAAAGATGTAGATGCAGATGAATGCGATCATGGAACTGACAGCACTCTTGTTCTGCGTTTCGGTGGTGACACCAACAATTGCGACAATGAACTGGCACACAACCATACCCAGGGCACCCCAAAGGAGTAAAGGACGACGTCCGAATTTCTCGATGGTGTAGAAGGAGATGGGGGTAGAGAAGACATTTACAATCGTGGTGATCATACTGATCAGGAAAGGATCATCAATTGTCTTGAGATCCTGGAAGAAGGTGGTTCCGTAGTAGAAAATGAAGTTGACACCGGTCCATCTATAGTTTGTTAGTTTTCTCTTCAATAGCAGGAGGAGAGAAAGGCATACTGTTGCATCATCTGCAACGACGTGCCAAGAATAGTCCGACGAAGGTTGCTGTTAGGGTGCCAGAGGCTTCCGGTGAAGCAGCTGAACCAGGTGGTCCAGTATCCACCCTGCGGGATTGACATCATTTCGTACTGGTTGTTGGCATCGATCTCATTCAGTTCGCTCTCGACCAACTCTGAATCCTCGGGCTGGCCACGGATACGGGCCAAGACAGTGCGGGCCTTATCCTTCTGACCCTTGCGAATGAAGAATCGAGGAGACTCGGGTAGCAGAAACAATCCAAGGCCCAAAATAAGAGCCCAGAGCATCTGGAGAGCAATGGGGATTCTGTACGATGCACTGGTGGTGTAATTCTGAGTGCCATAGTTGACACACGAGGCCAACATCAAACCAATGGTGATGCAGAATTGGTAACCGGAGACGATTGCACCACGGACCTTGCGGGGTGCAATTTCAGACATGTAGAGAATGATGATAGCAGAGACGAATCCAATACCGAAACCGGCAATCAAACGACCGGCGACGAGGAGCCCCAAGCTGGCAGAAGCTGTCTGCAAAACCACACCGACGATAAAGATAGCGCAGCCAGAGATGATAGTAATGCGACGACCGAACCAATCAGCCAGATCACCGGCGATGAGGGCACCAAAGAAGGTTCCAGCGGAGAGAATGGAAACGATGAGCGACTTTCGAGAGGCAGGGATAGTGGTAGCATCCTAAGTGTGTCGTTAATGATATTCTGGAAACTGGGCAGGGACGTTGAAACCCACATCACCAAAGAACTCATGGATGAAGTACTCCATGCCGAGAACACCATTGATGTAACCAGAGTCATAACCAAAGAAGATACCACCAAAGGCAGCAAAGGCACACATCAAGTAGGCCTTGAATGTGACTGGGGCCTCAACGCGCGAGGCGTCGACAGGCCCAGAGATGACTGCTCCACCAGGCATGGTAGCGAGTCGATGAGGATAGATATGGTTGATAACTCTAGAAAGAGTTGGAATGAGATGTCTTAAAAAAAATAATGTAAGACGAGAGATGGGGATGAAGGAAGAGAAGAAGGGATTGGGGAGGGGAAGAAGATTTATATTCTTTGGGGGGTGACTGCCATTTGAGCTTCATCCCCATACCTTCCCCCCCATGTCAGGAAAAAAAAAAGCAAAAAATTACAGGGAAAAATAATTATTTTAATCCATATTCGGTTTGGTTACTATCGGCCACAACAATAAATCTAGAAATCGGCTGGAATCACTTGTGTAGCCAAGTCGGCTCTACAAATTTGACCACACGATACTCCGTAGAAACGGCAAGTATAGGAAACCGGGGAAGTGCTGCACGGCCCAAGCCGTAAACTGTAAGCTTGAAGACCTGATTGGTTAGAATCCCCAGAATTTATCCGTCGATCCCTGTCTCATCGGCTCTTAGAAGGCCCAAAGTGAAACAAAAACCTACAAAAACCTCCCAACTATCACATATTTGGACGTCTAGAATTATCAACAGAGCCTCGGGTTAAAAAAAAACGGAGATATCCACTTTGGGATAGACGGTCCGCGGGGAAATCAAATCTAATTGGTTGGTTACCATGGGACTGTGCGCCACGTGCCCCGTAAATATTCTTTTTTTTTTTTTTTTTTTTCTTTTTTTAACTTTCTTTTTTTTTAACTTTTTTCCTTTTACGTGTGACTCCTATATCTTCCCCAGGTTATATTTTGAGCTTCTCGCTTATACCACAAATAAGAAAAAAGTGGCTTATGAGTCAGTTGATCGAAAAGAGACTGACTTTTAAAACACTTTTAAAATGAAAACTTAATATATTCACAATGTCACATTGAAGGCAAGCCGTCCAAAGCACAGACCTTAGGGACGCCACAAAATCCTACTCTCTCCTTTACTTTAAGGGAAAAGACAGTCTTGGCGGAAGACAAGCTGACTATAACGCACTACTAGTATGGATAGAGTAAACCGTAAGAATAATGGTTTTATGCCGTTTATTTACTATTCAAAAGTGCATATGTTCCTAGCCGTGCGTTAGTCTAAAAAACAATCTTAGAAACAAAAAGGAAAAACAAAAACATGATCAACATTGTCAAAGTGGCTCACAGCTCGGGCATAGCCGAGCCACTCAGTGGGTCTATCAGAACACAAGATTTTCCATGGCAAGAGATGGGCTTTGGAGGCTTTTTCCCACGGGGAAATCAACCAGTTACATATAACAAACCCATACCTGTCTTAGCTTTTCATCTCCGCATTTCGTCTTGGCAATCACGTGCAGACAAGTTTTTCTTGTCTATCCCGTGCCAAATAATCGCTACGAGATGAATGACGGGATATTGTCGGCAGGATTTTGTGCCTTTTTTCTTGGCTACCTTAATACTATCTCCATGGCGCGCTTGAGCGTGGCCTGTTATTCGATGATTCCCGAATGTGACTCTACTAAACTTCCGAACTCTTTCCCTTCTCACTCCATTCTGGAGCGCCCAAATCTAGCAAATGCTACCCCGTATTCCGTGCGCACTCGGCTTACGGAGTACGGAGGACCCGGTAGAAACATTTCCATGTTCTCGGCTGAAATGGTGCCACGAGCGACCCACATTGACCATAGTCCTGGTAGGAACCGAAGTTGAGGAGCTTGGGAGCGAGGGCCCCGACCGAAAAAAAAAGAAGAAACGGCGCAAGCCGAGTGATTCATCTCCGAGGCCGGTGAACGATTTCCGTTGGAATGATGATTTGTGTGGTTTTGAAGGGAAAATGGCCATGGTACAGGATCTCGGTTGTCCCCGAGTAAGATGTACTTATGCACTTACTCCGTACTCCATACTTATTAGACCTTGAGAATATGGAGAAGTCTCCGGATCCCACAAGTTTGGTTTGGTTTATCTGGGGGAAATACTACCCCGGCACTTTTCTTTCACACCGAATCTGGTCACCGGCCGGTTACCGGTAAAAACTTATATTATTCTCTATTATGTCCAATTTCCTTTTTTGGGTTTCAATACATGGCCTCGGCTATGATTCGTGTACTTTTTCTTCTCTATTTTTTTGGACACAGTCATCTTGACACACTTTTTTTATTACCGGGGATTCTATTTTGATTGTCCCACGTTGTACCTACAGGGGTTTCGAGTCGAGGGCCTGACTGTTCGGTTGCACCCGCATAAAGACTTGACATCCTAGTCCGTACAGAAATAGGAATTAGGTAGATTTCATTTTCAACAAACTAACAGGCTAACCAAAACTGTGTAAACATGGCTACAAAAACTACATGTCATGCCAGGACTGAATATCAAGTCCCGCCAACCCGCCTGTGTTTCGCCAATCCTTAATCTCATTCACATAACTCTTAATCCCCTCTCCCCATATACTAAATTGTGCCGCCTGCAAGGCTTCCTGTCCTTCAAATTGGAGTCCTTCCCGATTGAAGTATGACGGAGTGCAATTTAGAACACCTCCCAGTGCTCGCGTTCTCATCAAAACCTTGGAAGTCCATTCATTTTCCGAATGGGAACTAGGCTCAATGGTAAACCGGGTGGGATTTGGGTTTCTTTCCGAGACCGACTTACCGGCTTCGGAGATGATGTGGGCGACATGAACGGCAAGCTGATCAAGGACATAGACCTGATTTGCCGAGGCTCCCGTTTGATACGGACCCGAAAAGAACAGGTTGGGGAACCCATTAGTCATTACCCCGTGGAGTGAAGTCAGCCCCTTCTGTCTTTTTTCTTGGAGGATCTGGTTGTCACGGCCGGTCACAGTCAGATCCCCCAGATCGGCACTACCTCCAAGACTGTAGCCGGTCCCAAAAACTATAGCATCCAAATCATACTCTTGGCCATTTGCCAAGATCCCTCGATTTGTCACGGTGCGGATCCCTTTCCCATTTGTGTCTACCAAGGAGACATTAGACTGGTTGAATGCCTTGAGAAAGTTATCACTAAAGCACGGCCGTTTGCACCACCCGGGATACCACGGCTTCAAGGCCCGAGCAGTCGCTTGGTCGGTCACTGTGGCTTCCACACGATGCCGAATCGCCTCTTGGCGACGAAGGTCTAATCGGTGCATCCGCTTCAGATGGTCCTGGTCAAGACCAGAGGGACTCCCTATCAATGCACTAAAAGACTGCATCTTGCTCCAACCGTCATCGACAAGGTCTATATCTGGGAGGGGGTTCTCATTCGAGAGGAAGGCGTTGAAATTTTCCATGCGCTCTCGTTGCCACCCAGGGCCTTCTTGGATCATTTTCATCCACCAGGTGCGATCGGTGGAGTGGTTGTGACGCCAATCTACAGCAGAGGGTGTGCGCTGGAACACAACCACTTTCTTTGCCCACTGGGCAAGGTGCGGGATCGCTTGAATAGCAGATGCACCAGTTCCGACAAATCCAATCGTTTTGTCGTGTAGTCTATGCATGGCTGGGCTGCTCGGACTTCCTCCAGTATAACCATAGTCCCAGCGAGAGGTATGGAAAACCTTCCCCTTGTAGGTCTCAAGGCCGTCCAATTTTGGTAACTTCGGGGAATTCAGCAACCCGGTAGCCAATATGACAAAATCAGATTGTATCGAAGTGGTTGGTTGGCCATGTGGTGTGATATGGACTGTCCATTGACAATCCTCGCTATTCCAAGCTAAATTCTTGACTGTGGTCTGGAACAACGCCCGTTCACTGAGATTCCATTGACAGGCAATGCGATTCGCATGTTCTTTCAATTCCGGCCCGGCGACATACTTTTGCGATGGCATGTACTTCGTTTCCTCTAGCAAGGGCATGTAAATATAGCTTTCAACGTCGCAGGCCAAGCCGGGATACTTGTTCCACCACCACGTTCCTCCAAAGCCACCCGCTGTGTCCACGAAGAGGATGTCAGTCGCACGAAGAAACCCTGACTGGAGTAGTCGCACTGCAAAGAGCAGCCCTCCAAATCCAGCACCGACAATGAGCATTCGGACCTTGTTCTGCTGGAGCAGATTGTTGTCGACCGTGATATTTCCATTCAAATGAAGATTGTTGGTGGATTCATCGCTCAAGCCCACATATTGGGTTGGTCCATCCGGGCGCAAGCGCTTCTTACGTTCCACATCATACCGGTCTTGTGTCTCCTGCAAATAAGGCTCGTTCGTCTTGGCTTTATCGATGATAGGTTGGTCGAGGGCGAGGGCCTCTGGGGTAGTAATGGATTTCTCTAGTGTCATGGCGAAGTGGCATGGAACGATTCCCTGGATGCAAATCAGCAAGACGAACAGGGGTTTCTAGATGTCATTGTGAGTTGTGTGTTAGCTGTTCAATGAAATGCATGGATATGCAACTGTTTGGCAATCGTTTGTGTTTTATGTGAGATTGCCCAGCAATTCAGTACAGACTGGGAAGGCAAAAGCAAACAGAAAAAGAAAGCAAACGGATGGAAGAAATGGTTTGATCCAGAGGGTAAAGTACATGTGAGCTGTAGAGAGTCCGATTCTAAGAGGCTACCCCGTGCATATTAGAATGCGGCCATGCTATCGGCTTCGGATTCGCCGTAATAGGCTACAGCAACACAAGGTACATACGATAGATCATCATTTTGATGACTCTTGAATTCAATAGAACAATTACATTTCCACTACTCCGTACGGAGTATTAGAATCATAAATCTTCTATAATAAATACCTAAAGAAGTTTATATAGATGCAGCATGAACGGGTTTCGGAGCTGTTTCCCCTTTTAACCATTCATGCGATAGCACGAGTAACGATTTTATAAGTTGAGATGGTACAATTTTATATTGTTGTCCGGAGGAAATTGGACGGAATCTATCTCCGTATCTAATTTTTGTCAGATCTTGAGATTGATAACCAAATGGTTGTACCTTTTAAATGTGAGCTCCAATGAAAGGTACATTTTGAGCAAGTCAACTACGGAGTAGCTGTGGAGACCTTATACCCATGCGGTGTAGGGTCTCTTGGCAAGGGCCTGGTAATAGGACACGATGGGGACGAACAGGCTCCATTTAGGCTTGGCAGTTTCCCAGTTAGTTCGAAGGGGAAAATTAGACGAGATGAATCTGACCCCATAACAAGTAAATGCGGAAAGATCCGACTGATTGGATCTGTATGAGCCCCATGTCAGCACTAATTATCTAGGACGAACATTGTGGCTCCGGCTTTCGGGTGTTCGACTTGGAATATAAGTAGCGCTTCTCCAGAGACGCAATGATGAGGAAAATCTGTTTACCGCGTCAAAACTGCCATTATGAGCCTTCCATCCCGCGCGCTGCTAGCTCTAGTGGCCCTTTCTTCTCTGTCGCTAGCTAAGGAGGTTGGTTATTTCGAGCCATCCTCCTGCGCTGACCCCAAGAGCTTGACAATCTGCTATGAGAAGGTTGATGCGAACTACTCGAACTGCGTAAACAACAATTGCGCCGGAGGAGGTCAAGCGTGCTACAATTCATGTGGTGGAAGTACATCCTGCATGAACGAGAAATGTCCTGGCCTGGGACTCGACTGCATCAAAGCTTGTGAATGTGAAAAGTCCGCCCTCCAGATCGATTGCGCAGGCCAGAGTTGTTGGAACCAGGTAAGAAATCCTCCACAATTCGTACCTCAAAGTCTGACACACCTATCTTAGGTCTACTCTTGCGAGTACCAAAGTACAGTCATAGACTTCCTCGGCGTCTGTCTTAATCCTAACCGAGATGGTTTACCATATTGGCCGACACCCGATGATGCCCCCGATTCCTGTTCCTGCAACCTCGGCAAAGTCGAACTAAAAGAATATCTAATCAACAATCAACTCACCGAGTGCTCGAATAACGCTACAAACCTCAATCAAATGACCGATACTCAAGCTATGATTGATTACGGCCAAGCGTGCATGTGTTGTGGATGGAGCGCTATTATCTCCGCGTATGATCTCACTCCAGGGCTTAAAGGAACCCTTTATTGCCCTTCTGTTGCTAATGATAATATTTAGTATCTGGGATACCTGCCCTGACACTAAACCCTCTCTACTGAGTGCAGATGAATGGTTTGCCGCCGTTCTCAATCCCGGCAAATGGGAAGAATGCGGACCATACCTCGAGGCGTATGATTGTGCCAACGACCTGGGCTTTGGGCGTGCCGATGCCGGAGGGACTAACAACTTCCCCCGTCCCAACAGCATGCCGACCAATGGAACGAAAACCATGTCTAACGTCGGCGGCACCGTCTCTACCCCAGTCAGTGGTGATACCTTCACATGGATGTTTGGTTCGGCTACCAACGCGGTGATTCATACTGTTACTGTGTCCGCAGCAGATGCTACTGCTACCGGTACGAAGGCCGGTAGTGGCGCGAGTGATATTACCGCAACGGGTAGTAGTGCAACTGGTACAGCAGAGAGTGACGCAAAGCCTGGGATGGGATCTTCTTTGATCGTGCCCTCTTGGGCAATCGCTGGAAGTGTTGGTGCCTTGATACTCTCGGCACTGTAAGAATTAGTTTAATGTGATGTATGAAGATATTTAGAGTCTGTAAAATCATAGACCATCTCTGGTTGTTCTAGAATAAGCCAAAATCTTAGATTGCTTCAATTCAATATATACATGTACAGTAGCCGTGAAGATGATCTTCGTATGACATGCGTTATAAAACCTAATGTTTCTCGGCTCTTATAGTCGGTGTCCTGGCCTCAACGTCTATTTCTCTCTGCACTAAATACCTGTCTAGGTACCGGTAAATCGGCAATCCACTCACTGGATAGCAATGTCTGAGCAAGAGAGATAGATCTGACCCGTCTGGAAAGAGTTCCATTTCCAGGAGAGTAAAGTGTGGTTGGAGACGTAGTCGGGAAGCTTGACCTTCTTCGAGACAGTGTAACCACCGGCGATTGTTGTCTTGCAGGAGTTTAGTGCAGCATTGTCGACGCCTTTGCACTTGGTATCTTCAAAGCCGTTGCACGTAAACCAGTCATTGCGGTGGCAAGCCTCGCCCTCTTTACAGTCGGGACTGTAGTCACAGGCCTGTCCATCCACACCGGTGCATGGAAGAAGACCTTCATCGAAGCAGGCCTCGGCAGCCTGTTTCTCCTTCTCGGTTGGAAGGTAATCTGGGTCCAGGAATTTGTCGACGATAGCCTGATCCTGGCAGATACGGTAGGTGAACATACCACCGTGATCACCGTTGTGGTCAACACACCACACGACGTCAATGACATCACCAGCTTTGTATGTCTTGACCACCTCCTTGCCCCAGTCCTTGCCGGGTTGGTTGTAGTCGACGCTCACACGGGCATTGTATCCGCAGGGTCCGCTACGGCCAACAGGGGCGGCATCGAGATCGGGCCAAGACTGAACGGGCTCGAGGATGGTGCACTCGGGACATGTGTCGGTTCCAGCCTAAATATTGTCAGTCAAAGGAATGCCTTTGATGCTCAGTTCATCTAGGAATCTAACATCAAATCCGAGCTTTGTTCGACTATCCGGAGTGACCATGTAGCCATGTCCAGCAACAATGGTGGACAACGATCCCACTAGAATAACAGCGGCAGACTTCATGATGTTGGTTTAAGATGTATTTTGCTCAAATGTTGGAGGCAAAGTGAATGATTGAAATCTGATACAGACCAAACTAGGTGTTGGGGGTAGGTCCTTTTATATTTATGCTTCGTTGCTTCGAACTTTGAGCCCTATACGGAGTACCCATTAGACAATTCCTTTACATGCCCCGATCCTAACTTTTCTACAGGGTACGGACAAGAAGGCCAATCATGAAGAGTTGTTTTACGAGGCAGAAGAACATTTGTGAAGAACCTGTCCCAACTTGGCCTTCGTACTCCGCAGATGATCAGCATCGACACTGCCAAGTATAGGACGGGTGACCGGCTTTTAAAAAGTATGACAAGGGTAGTTGACTATCACCGTTGAAATTGAGATTGTTGTGCAGGGTGGAGAGCGCCGCAACGCCATTGAGGGAATCCAAGACTTGGTAGTGGCTGTTGCTTGGCTGAAGGATGCGACGCCCGATATATTCCCGCCAATCAACATATTCCAGGCCAAGGAGATTAGATCGATGTGCAGGATGAATGCAGAATGCATAATTTTAGAAATGTTCTACAAATACCCGTTCATCTATGTCATACAAGATATTCAAAGTTCCCTTTTGTTTTCCTTCACCGTAGCTCATTTTTGGAAGGGACCTCTTGATTGGTAGACCATGCTCTTTTAATCTAGCTGAAACCCTTAGCTTTGCCATGAGAGTGGCTGCGGGGTATTTCAGCCCTTTTAACGCCATGGCGCGAAAGATCGACATCACAGATTTGCGGGGGGTTTCCCGACTATTGCCCGACCACTCACTCTGTGCATTTTTGGTGATTCAGATGCATACCCTTGATCGCATGTTGCAAGTCTACCCTCGGTAAGTATTAACCCGAAAAGTATTGCCTAGGAACTTTTGTCGCGGCCCCTATCCGGGCACGTTTCGGCCTACTGACTCGGAGATTACTCCCTTTTCTGGTAATAGTAATGTATATCTCGCTGCACCTAGGGTTGGAGGTATAAGATTGGGGTTGGTGAGCATTGATACTGCGGCATTCTCATTCTGCACGATGAGACATATGCTTACTGGATGGCAGGGGCCGGAAATAGATGTGGTCTCTGTTTCGGAACTGTGAGAATGTGAGTGCAAGAAAAAAAAGGTATGTTGAGGCTTAAGTCAAAACAACGGTTGTAGTGACTATCCAGTATATCCATCCCAGGCTTCGAAGAAGTTGTTCTTGTGACCGAGTAATATCGCTTTCACTCTAGTACTTCTCAGCCTGTCCCTTCCGTTTTAGCGCTCAGTACATGTAGCCTTTTGTCATATACACCGAAGTCTCCCCGAGTAAGTAAAGGTGAAACCGTAATTCGCCGTCTACTATAAAATCGAAAACCTTGTTTGTATGACAAAGTGCGGTGAAGTGACATATATATTAACCCTGTATTATAGACATCCACTGTGACGGCTAACACCCTATCCCACAGGTGGGCAATTGATAGGAACAATGCAGTGTCCTCGTTATGGCACTACCAGGCCAGCTAGTCCCGACCAGAGTGTTTCTTCTCATCCATACTGGGCTCCATCTCCTCTCTCGTAGGCACGGTGTCCAGTGCATCAAGAGTGATGTCAACACGAGGACCGGTGAAATTCTTCCTTCCGTCCACAAACCACTGGAACACAGAGATGCTAATAATAACAGCAAATGCCGCAACACAGTAATCTAGACGGACAGCTTAGTTAACAGACTGTCATAGATAACGTCACAGGTAAACTCACTCATACTGCTTCCCGTGACCGTGCTTGACGGAGGGAAGACAAAAAGAACTGTGGTCAAAGCAATGTATGATAAAGCAACCTTGTCAAGATCAGAAATGTTTCGCTTTATTTAATTCTCATTCATGACCGCAACATACCGTATCGACAAACCATCCAACTGCATTGGGCAATTTCCATTTCCTTTCGGGGAGACATCTACGCCCCTGAAGACAGTTGATTGCAATGGGTATTCCATAGGATAGATCAAGAGCCACGACTGAGGCAGAGATAATTGCGTTGAAAGCACTGAATTGGGTTAGTTATCATTTGTTCTATCGCCCATAAATGGCGATTCTTACCTTGTAGAGCCTAGGAAGATACATCCGAATGCGATAACTACCACAACACTGAGAATGAGTGCGTTGAGGGGCAACTTGAGTGTTGGGTGGACTTTTGCAAAGAACCGAGAAGCAGGAAGACCGCCATCCCTGCGAGGAATAAATATACGCGTTGTGTATTGGAAAGGATATCAAATACCTTGCAAAAGCAAAAATCATTCGGCTACTCGTGGTCATGACGCTGATAATAGCAAAGACCAAGCAGACCAGAGGTAACCTAGGACTAGTGTTAGCGTAGAAGAATAAAAGAGTGAAAGTCTCGAATACATACATCAAAAGGCAGATACCTCCCGCGTTACTTTTCGTGGCATCGATCAGGATCTGCAGAAGAGGACCGGCTGCGGAGGTTGTGACCATTTCCATGTTTCCTGCGACAAATAGAAGGACGATCAAAAAGATAGAACCGGTAAACACACCGATGCCCACGCAGGTAACCATAATCTTAGGCCCCTCAATGTCCGCATTGGGTACCTCTTAAAAGGCAATGCGTCAGTCTTTTTCTCTATCCGCTCATACCGGGGTAATTGTTTACCTTCGATCATGTGTGCCACCGCATCCTACATACAGTTAGCTCGAAGCTTTGATACCGCAATAACCATGACGACTTACAAAGGCAGTCACGCCAAGCCCTCCTTGAAGCAACTGGAGTATCTGTCAGTACTATTGTAGAATTGTGGTGAGTGCAGTAAACATACACCTAGCATCCATGCGACACCATCAGGCCCTAAGCTGAATTAGCAAAATCGTAATAATGGAGTTTTCGGGGAATCGCACAGCCTGTTGTATTTACAAAATCACAGAACACGAAGCTATGGATGTTAGTTCTTCGCCATAACTCGATATCACCAGCGGGTCTCATACTAAGCTGAGTTATAGTTGGGGGCGGCGCATGCGAGACATGTAATTGAGACGACCACGAAACCTCCAATCGACCACATGACTGAAAGTAGTTAGAGATAGAATGGGCCAAACTGGTCGGGAATAACGCACAAGCACCACGGTAGATGACTGGCAATATGGAGTTCATGAAAGCATTAATGATGAATGAACCAATTGTCAGTCCAATATAAATGAGGAATTGATGCCAGCGTTGCGGGACGTAGCTCTATGTATCACGTTAGTACTGCGACAAGGGTACGAAGTGAGTTTACTCACCTCGTGAAGAACTGAAATGCAGCCAACGATAAGCTGACTAGAAAGAAGGGAGTTTGTTGCAACGAGAGCAACCTGCATATATGTTAGCTTAAATAACTATATTAGATGAATTCCTTGCCTACCCAGCCTGCCACGTTGATCCAGCCTGTAACCCATGATAGAATTGGTACTGCGCTTGGCCACGCGACTTTCGATTTATTAGTATGGACTCGACGAGTTATTAGAGCGCAACATACTGGCTAGAAACAAAGTTAGCTCTAGTCCAAGTCTATAGTGTTGTAGGTATGGAATAATTTACCTGCCACCCAATGATACTGTCCACCGGCTCTGGAAAAAAAAAAGAAAGAAAGAAATCAGTATGGTGTAAACATAAAGGACGGAAGACATCTCGAGGCTTACGTCGGATATGCCGAGAGAAATTCAGCCAGCGAAGTTGCGATGCAAAGGTTGCAGAATCCTGCAGTAATTAGTCCTAGAATTTGCGTGTCAGTGAAGTCTCAGAAACCAAAAATTCTTCCGAACAAGCCTACCCCAAATCACACTTGTGCTTCCGCCAGATGTAAGACTGATCGACAAGCTGGCCGAAAGTGCAGTCCATGACTAGTCTCGTTAGTTTAAATACCCCGGTCGCAACCCATGTCTGACATACATTAAGAACCGCAAAGGCTAAGCCAAGCATTGACCTAGTAATTCCCATTAGCATCAAGCTTTGCATATGCTAGCATATCCATCTTACCATGTTGAATGACTACGTTGGAGTTCAGGCCGATGGCCCAAAGCCGCCAACTTGGCATCATCGCCTTGGAGTGGACCGTCTTTCATAGTGGATCAAAGATGAGAATATTTACGGATCCAAGAGCTGGGGAAAGGATGAATCTAAGTAGGTCCCCAAGCCTCCTCCGTATCAGGAAGGCATTGCCAGATTATCTCAAAGTACCGACAAGGGGCTATTCCATATGCGGGGAAGCTGCACAGCTATGGATTACCTTATCTCATGAGGCGAGCGTTCATACGCGCTAAGATGCTCGGTTGGTCGCATGTACTTGCCCAACATCGTATAGTCTTGTTAACACCAATTAAAAAGGGCAAAAGGGGGCGATTATATTAATTATTCCCCGAGGGAATTATCCCAGCTTAGAATGCAATTTCCAGATAGCAACGTTGTGAGTATCTGCATTCTCTCCACTGTGGATTCGCCGCGATTACCCCGAACAGATAGTAAGATAACAAAGTATTAGGTTATATATGGAGTATCACCCAACGGAGTAGACAACTACGTCCTACAATATTTGTGCTTGATTTCCTCTCTTGGCGTTCTCTTTCCCTATTAGTGCTCAGGTCTTGCTGCTTTGAGTAGATCTGAGCACACCCCTGAACGCCCTCCAGGGCTGACCTCGGGATCCACGGATTCGCCGAGAATTACATAAGCGCTCTGGCCCGGGCAGGTGCATCGAACAGGAACTGAATTATATTCAGACGAACTGCTTGTAACCTCAAAACGCTCGTGTGCTTAGTTCTCTTCGCTATCAATATTTCCATTTCCACGTTGATGCTCGACGGCTGGTAATATGGGTGCCCAACATAATATGGTGGGGATATTGCTTGAATAGCTGACAAAACAAAAAAGAATATCACTTCGAGGGACTAAAAATGATAGTTTATTACTGTTGTGACGCAAGGCTTGCTGATAGCCTAATATTGGAATATTGGGACTACTGGAAAGGCCCAGAAGAAGAGAAGGGAAAGTCTGAACCAGTCGATGCTTAAGGCACCAAAAGGCACCCTTAACACCTGGGTTCCGGTGTCACGATTGCAAGCCAATTCTACCATTGGTGTAAGTATTGATAATGCGAGATGTATCACACACTGGCTAACAATCCTTTGAGATATAGTCCAGGTCGGAAAAGTACCTTCTTCTCCAGTTTCTTCGATATTCCCTTACATTGGACAGTCCTGAGTCTACTAGGACGTGCGCAGCCAAGATTAAAACAGAACTAATCTGATTCGATATTTTTCTGCATGGTTTTCGGCAACACAGGCGTGCTTGGCGATAGCCACCGGGAAGTTGCCCGACCAGATAAGCTTCACCAGTCGCCACCATCCCCTCGCCAGCCCGCGTTTCCCCGCACTCAAAAAGGTTGATTATCCGGTGGAGTGCGGTCTGAATATGGGGAGGAATACCCTAGAGATTTCAGAACTAGGTAATAGGTCGTTTGCATTGAATCAAAGATTGTGGGAGGTCAAGAAGGTAGGTAGGATGAGGAAGGTATAGGACTATAGGATTATGACTACCAAAAGTACATAGATTAGGAATGCCGATTAATTCTAGATAAGACATTTCCCACACTAGAGAGGTGACGGATGCATTGGCCGTGACTTAGCTATGGGGTTTGAGATGCTAGGCTTATATAGTCTCCCCTCTTCCCCAGGATATGAGTGCCCAATTCACTCTCACCTTCCTGGCACATGCACAGTCTATAAACAAATATGTCATCTGATGAAAAGAAAGAGGAGCCTTTGACTCCCATTGCCTTTAGTGCCGGTCAGGTCGACGAAAGAGCCCATGATGCCGTCTTCGGCACAATCACGGATGATGGCCCAAACTATCGCAGTGTATGTGTCGTCTATGATAGCAATAGTCTCTCTTGCTGACAATATGTTAGGTCGGTTGGCTAGGCACGTCTGTGCTCATGATGAAAACACAAATAGGTCTCGGTGTCCTTTCTATCCCCGTGGCTTTCGATGCACTGGGTGTAGTCCCCGGCGTGATTTGCCTCTGTGCCATTGCCGCAATTACAACGTGGTCCGACTATATAATCGGCGTCTTTAAACTAAACCACCGCGAGGTGTACGGTATTGACGATGTCGGCGATCTTTTCTTTGGTAGGGTTGGCCGAGTCATTTTTGGAGGTGCCTTTATTCTCTGTAAGTTACCTCGACGCTAAACATTCAATGCCACTTACTGATGCCTCCTAGGGTGGATCTTTGTTGCCGGCTCTGGCATGCTCAGCGTCTCTATTGGCCTCAACGCAGTTTCCTCCCATGCCACCTGCACCGCTGTCTATGTCGCTGTCGCCGCCATCGTCGCATTTCTGTTCGGCAGTATTCAGACACTAGGGCGTATCTCATGGCTCGCGTGGCTAGGACTGTTTTGCATTCTAACTTCGAGTGAGTAATCCTCTCCACGAGGTGGATTATTCTAACTATCCCACTGTTCTCATCGTTAGTATCGCCGTCGGTATCCAAGGCCGCCCTTCTGCCGCACCAATAGACACTGTCTGGGTCCCCGATTACAGAATTTTGAACAGGGATGTATCATTCACTGATGCCATCACTGCAATCTCAACCCTCATCTTTGCTTATGCTGGCACCCCAGCATTCTTCTCCATTGCATCTGAGATGCGCGACCCTAGCCATTACAACCGTGCCCTGATTCTTTGCCAATCTGTGGTCACTGGATTCTACCTCGCTATCGGCATCGTTATATACTATTTCTGCGGATCGTACGTCTCGTCTCCTGCACTCGGGTCGGCTGGCCCGACCGTGAAGATTGTCAGTTATGGCTTCGCGCTGCCGGGGTTGGTCGCCAGTACACTACTTTTCATCCATGTGAGTGCTGTTCGACCCATCAGTCTCCTTTTTAACTGTACTCATAATCCATAGATCACGGCGAAATACATTTTCATCCGTATTCTCGGTGGTTCCCGGCATTTGGTAGCCAATACTGTTATCCACTGGACCGTCTGGCTCGGCTGTACCTTGGGCACAACGGTAATTGCTTATATTATAGCTAGTGCTATTCCAGTATTTAGTGATCTTGTATCACTTGTTGGTGCCTTGCTCGGAACGCCTATGTGTTTCCAGCCGATGGCCGGCATGTGGCTGTACGACAACTGGAACAAGGGCAAGAGTTACCGAAGCACTAAGTGGATAATGATGGTTGGGTGGTGTGCTTTCATCATGGTAGCTGGAACGTTTTTGATGATTGGGGGCACATATGGGTCTATTGTCACTATCATTCATAGTTATAAGAAGTCTGGGGGTTCAGCTGCGTGGTCTTGCGCTGACAACTCAAGCTCGTAGAGCGAGGCTTCTCAGGTGTCGGAAGAACAAAGTCTACTGGATGCAGAAAGCTCTACCATAGGACCATTTAAGAGGCTGCTGTAGCAATTCATACTATGCCGCATGAATTCATGAAGCTAGGAGGGGCTGACCATCCCCTAACTTTGCTCCTTAACTCGAAGATGTATATCAGGCTTTACGGGGACTCCGTCTTTTTTGTGACCGTCTTTAAATGTGACAAGGGAAGAATGACAAGATCGGCTATCGAACTTGACAATGAACGAAACCTAACAGGACCATAATGGCTCATTATCATTGAGCCAACGGTCGTGGAGAATACCCGTCATTATTGGACAGAGTGATTATTTGCCTTAAATCAGACGGTAAACCTTCACAGTAACATACAAAGTCTTTGCAGGTCGTGTGATGTGGAGGAAGTCCGGTAAGACAGTACAAGCAGTGAAAATTGGCTGATTTATACTAAAAGGAGATTCTATTTATTCTAACATTCGTTCCGCTTCCATTGAACAATGATAAAGCTAGTGAAAGGAGCCATTAATCTGGACGAACGTGCCATTGATCCCCGACCCTGAAACCCACTGGCCAAGGATCACTTTCGTCCAACACCATTTGCTTGAATGAATTAATCCAGGCACTTCCTTTGATGGTTGGTAAGACAGCGTCGTATTCGCCAAGCTTTTGTGTCCCACGGATGTGGCACTCAAAGGTGCTGCCAATGATACTTCGATGGACGAATTTCTCACCAACCGCGAGCTGGCCACGAGCGTGAAGCACAACCATCCTTGCGCTGCTCCCTGTGCCACATGGGCATCGATCAAATCTCCCGGGAGAAACCACAACGGTATTCACGGCCTCCATTGTATCTCGCTGGAGGGGTTCTGTAAATTCAAGAATGCTAACTCCCTTGATACTCAAATTCTCCGGGTGAACGGGGATGAACGAGGCGTGTTGGAGCGCATGCTTGATTTTCTCTCCGTATTCAATTAACTTTGGACCGTTCTGGTTGTCGATACGGATTCCAAGCCGTGTCGCGTCGACAATTGCGTAAATCATTCCTCCCCATGCAATATCGACAGATACAGTTCCTATCCCGGGGACTTGTGCTTCGTAGTCCAGAGCAAAAACAAAAGAAGGCACGTTCTCGAATGCGACAGCCTTGCACTTCCCGTCCTCGCAGTCCGCGGTGACAGAGACTAAGCCTGCTGGTGTTTCCATGACCATTTTGGTAATAGTTTCAGTCATTTTCACCATTCCTGTTTCAAGAAGGACGGTGGATGTGGCGATAGTGTTGCCTCCAGACATTGGTGGGTACTCGTCACTTTCCATGATCAAGAACCCAACATCGGCTCTGGGGTCACAAGGAGGTAAAAACAAGATTTAGACACATTGTAGCACGTCCACGGGGCTCTTGCATGAGAAGCTGGCGGATGTGGTCTTCTTTGTCACGAAAATGAGCAAGTTTCTCGCACATGGTGTTGCACCCTGAAGGATTCAGAACACCCCCGACGATCACGTCGCAAACCTCACCAGCACAGTGACAGCCGACAACATTGATGGACCTGTTGAATTTCATTTTTATGCAATTGAAAGAAAAGACCAACAGTGTATCAGTATCCCGCAGAAGAGAAGCAGACAGTATCGGCGAATACAGCTCTCTTTATTGTTTCAAACCAGCTAGCGGAGTATCCCGCTCTCCTACCCGAGTTATATCTATGGATGTCTCCAAAGATATGAACCCCCCACAGGCCAGGTAGTGCGGAGAATAAGCTAAACGCTCGGGGCTCCATATCCTGACTTTGAACGGGTATAGATATGCCTGTCGGCAGTGCAAGCGATTGTAATATTAGGGATTGGAAGAAACACTTTTAATTTCATCAATGTCCAGAAAGAGATCACATAGTATCATCCTAATCTGTGTACGAGTAATTTCATGTATATAATCTTATCTTTTGATTTCTGTATTGCAAAGTTGGTATATCCTTTTCACTCATTAGTTACTTCGGCTCGGGAAGCTAAGCGGGGGATCCGCAATATCGGCAACGTTACCGACTTCTGCTTTCCTCAAACGTCAGATATCTTTACATCTGTGGGGTTCATAACATTCGTAGACTCGCATTCAATTTCCCGTGGAGCGATGGATGCTTTGTCATTTTGACCAGAATTGTGTGAAATTGGGACACAGCCTAGGCATTGATCTATCAGATCAATTTTATATTGATAGGAAGGATATTCCTGGTCGCCATGGGTATAACTATGTCTACACAGTCAAATTGTAAAACGTACTTTGCACAATTGTTCCTTGCCATAGTTAAGCCCTAGTACTCTAGACATATCATTATGCTCATAAAGTTTTCACATGGCAGGTTTTCTCAGAGAATGTAATTATAGGAACCCTTATTTATAGATCCCCAGGTAGGAATCCGCACCCACTTTTCCCGATTGGCCCAGAACTTCTTCCCCGCGTTCTCATCCTCATCGCTGCTCCTATGACAAGAAACAAAATGGCAAGTGAGAAAGTTAGAAAACGATCCAAAAATGTGTAAGTCTAAAGAAGTGAAGAATTCGATGCAGTCACTAATGATTCAGATGCGTGCGATGCCAGAGACTAAAGATCAAGTGCTCTGGCTCGACGCGGTGCCACAGTTGCAGCAAACTCAATATACCCTGCATTTTCAACCACATGGACCGAAAGATGCTGGTAACACGGGGGTTAGTCAATACAGGGCGCTTCTCTATGAAGTGACTGACAATTGGGCTAGGTACATTTCAGAGCTGCAGCAGAAAGCTGCGTGCGTCGAAAATCAGGATGGTCTTTTTAGTTCGAGTGGGAATCACTTCGGTCTGTTCTTACTGTCCTGGTTTGCCTTGGCCGAAGCTGATTTATAGCAGAGCCCGAGGAAGATACCCCCGAAAATGAAACTTTCGATCAATCTGATGATCCGGCTGACTTTCATGAAGCACAAAATCCCGAATCTGGATTGGTTAATCCATTAGCAACTGGTGAAGCCGCCTTTATGTCCTCGGGAAATGGGAGAATGTGTACGTTCATGTTACGTCCTCGAAGCGGTCACACCTGACAGATATCTAGTTTATTTGGGAACGTCTTCAAACTGGTCATTCACTCGGCGTGTACTCAGTATCACGCATCAACATGTGTACAAAGAATCGCTACCAACGGAGACGTTGATATTTGAGGGAGCTGCCTGCGACTTGAGCGAGGACGAACGAACAGATCTGATTCTAGAAGACCCTATTGTTCCGAGTCTTGACCATGCCCTCCATCTAATCAACACCGTCAATTTCCGCTGCGGCCAATTGTACCACCTGTTCGACGAGGAAGAGTTCATGGGATCACTGCATGACTTTTATTCTGGTGGTAGGCAATCAAAAGAAAGCCTGTGGTATCTTCTTTTCCTTCTTATGCTAGCTTTCGGGAAAAGCTTCCTTCGAACAAAAGGAGGTGAAGGGAAGCCCGCAGGGGTTAAGTACTTTGCCAAAGCCATGCAGCTTCTTCCCAACCACAATCGACTGTACTCTTCTCCGCTAATATCGACGGAAATTTTATGCTGCATCGCTATATATTATCGGTCGCTTGATTGCTGAGCTGTGTCCAAGACAAAGCAGGTGCCGAAGCAGCAATACCGTCGTAAGCAGTCGGATAGCGCTGTGCAAGCATCATCTATTGTCTTCCACCTTGAGAGCAGCCACTCCAGTACGAATACTCAGGGTCCTTGCTGTAGAAGCTTTTGACAAGGCTCTTTCCAATGGTCGCCTGGTCATTCAATGAAACGTAGCCTAAGTTTTGAAGGCTGTAGAGATTGACGTTACCTGGGCTTGTCATAGCCCAAGGTTCCGGGGATCCTGCACTCCCCAGTCCAGCATCCGTTGTTGTAGCGGCATATCCCTCTCCAACAGCCCCTGGCATGAAAAAGTCTGACAACACAAACTGGCCAGCGGACCAGCCTCCTCCTCCTGTGGCTTGCAATCGTTCATTCCAAGTGCCAGTCAGCCATGTCTCAACGGTAATGCGGTCATCATGCCCAGGGTGGGTGTATGTGATGGTCACATTCCAAAACTCAGTGTTTTGAAGCGCAACATCTCCATGGTTGTAGTTGAAGGAAGTAGGCACGTTTAGTGTGTAATTTTGAACCCAGGTTGCGGAGAGTGAGAGAATGTCAGCTCCAAAAACCACAGGGGGTGGTATAGTTGCAGGCGAACAAATAGTGGTATTAGAAAGCATTATGACAGTCAAACAAAAGGTCTTTGAATATATTGAATTATCAAAAGCTGGCGCCCTTGGGTCAGTTTATATATTCGCGACTGCTAAATTAGTCAACTGCTTCCAATTTTTTTTTATGGACGTAACGAATACGAACTGCCCTTCGAGTTCAAATGTCTTCGATGCCTTTAAAGTCAACCTTGGTAGATCGCAGAAGTTATAATAGTGGATCGGTGGATCAGTGGATACAATCCACAATCTGCCTGGATGTCATTGGCCACAACAAAACGAATGCGAACTTCCTAAAAGGGTTAACTGGATATATAAGGGTCTTTGAATTTCTTTCAATAATTTCAAACTGAAGCGAGAGAATATCCATTCATTGCCAACATTTTATCAAATGGCAAATTCTACGCAAAAGGTATACCGGGCCTGACCTAGTCAACCCCCTGCCTACCACCAAGCAAATGCAGGCTCGTCTGAGATCACACAAAGCCGAGAATGGAACTATTCTCTTTTTGACTGTTTTTCCCCAGGCATACTCTGTGAGTATCCCCTTTAACACCCCCTATTATTTTCACCTAACAATACCTAGGTTTTACGAGCTGTTGTCTACCTTGTCTGACATACGGCAAACCCCGAACCAGACTCAGAGACCCAGAGCTACGAAGCTTTAGCTACATCAACGGCCCTGTAAGATTTCAAAGAAATTGAGCGGTGATAAGAGGCTAATCCTGGATAGTGTGCCATTTGAAGTTTTCTTAGTCTCGGCGCCGTGCAATGGATTATGCAGACCGTCACCCGTGGTGAGATGCGGGAACAATATGACATTGAAGGTTCCTGCTGTGGCTGTGTGTCAACCTTCTGCGGTTGTTGTGCTCTCATCCAAGAGGAAAAAGAAGCAGAGCTTCGGTCCAGACCCGAGCTTGGCGGCTACCAAAAACCAACTGGCATGGATATGCCCTAACTTCCCAATCTCCCCTGAGGGCCCTTCGCCATATCAGCTTATACCTTTTTGCTCATACCGTTACTGCCTGACTCTTGATTTTTTCTCTTCATCATTTACCTTGGTTTAATAACTTTGTCCATTTCCAAATGGATGTACGCATTCTTCAGCCTAAACCATGCCTGTCACACTTTCATTTTCAACATTTTCATTTGTCTTTACCATCCTTATTAGCAGAACAACCGAACTCCCATATTTCTCTGAAAGTCCATTTGATTTGTAGACATATCAAAATCCCAGAGAGACCGTATACCTGGATACCTATAACCACTCCCTATTTTAGAAAGACTATAGTAGTATATTTTAATAGACTTCCGCTTATCCCCAAAGGATCGTTATAGTTCGATCGTAGTTTTAAAGGCAAGGAAGGTACATCATTTGACCAAACACTGGAATATTTGGCGAATGTAAAGTTGCTTCAAATTGAGTATAAACGCACGTGATCAAAATGTACAGCATAAACTCCAATATATGCCAACACATGTGGTGCCTTGGAATCCGCCAAAGCCCAAATCCTTCAAACTCCATCCCAACGCAAATCGCAAAGCAGAAAAGTCCATTCCTCACTTCAAGATTACCGGCATCTTGAAGTACAGATCGGATGTTCACCGGACCTTGTATGTGTCAAGTGCATGTTGAACATCATGCAGACTGTTCTTGTCGCCGTATGCGTCCATCAACTGTTGGTTTCGCGCCAGGCGTTCCTGTTCCTCCAGCATAGATTGTTCCTGCCGCGACTTGGCTGCGACGTAATAGTTATATGCGCCGAAACCTGGGGAAAGTCAATATGAAAATCCTACAACATAGGGAGAATACGTGAATATTAAACATACCGAGACCAATTGTGGCCATTAGAGGAATCAGTCTGAAATGAACAAAATCAGTTCAATGTACCAAAAAAAAGGGGGCGGCTCAACTTACACCCGCCCATTCCGAGCTTTGAAACTGGGGGTTGGAGGATTTCCGTATTTGTTCGCACCAGGAAAAGCAAACTGAGACATGATGTATATTTTGTAGAGTATTGAAGCAAGACCTTTAGATATTTAGGAAAAGAAGTCAAGAAGTTAATGAATTCAACACTTGGCGGAAGAAGCGGAATGCGGGGGAATCATGACGTGAAGGTCCGAGGATCGCTTCCGAGGATCGCTCCCGAGGTCTTATATACCTGCGTGATCATGCCACATTTCCAAGGCCTCATCATACAATTGTTAGTATGTTTCAGTTTCAAGGTTACATTGTAAAATCATATCATAATTGAATCATCGTGTCTGCATAGAAAAGATTAATCCTGTCTCAGTCTTCATATTGTCGTCTACAATTTATCTTAACTTCAAAACTTCGAATTCCCAGAAATATCATAAGGGACCTAAGACATGAGACCTGACCATACAAATGTCTTAGTTACCATTGTTCTGAGGCGCAGGGGTTGCTGGACCCTCCGGTGTAACATAAGCCTGGGATAATTGGTTAGCGTAATCCGGGGAAATTAGCCTAACACGTCACGCTTACCTTGGTCATTCCACCATCAACCACAAAGTCTGTTCCGTTCACAAAGCTGCTCTCGTCGCTAGCCAGGAAAACAACAGCATGGGCCTGCTCAATGGGTTCACCAAAACGGCCAGTGGGGAAGTGCACCTCCCGACGGAATCGCTTGGCCTGGTCATCACCCAGCCAGTCTTGCAGAAGAGGGGTGCTATACCATCGTGAGCTTTGAGAATAGAAATCTAGTCGGAAGTAGAACTTACTTCAGGGGGGCGGGGCACAGAGCGTTGAAACGGAATCCCTCACGGGCATGAACGATAGCCAACTCCCGAGTCATCGCTAGAACCGCACCTTTGCTCGCAGTGTACGCAAGCTGGGGAGTGGCAGCGCCAACTAAGGCAACGACACTAGCTGTGTTGATGATACTGCCACGGGTCTTCTTGTGACGACGCAGACTGAGCACGGCATGCTTGCTGCCGAACCAGACTCCCTTGACGTTGATGTTGTGTGTGAGATCCCAGATCTTCTCGGGGGTATCGATAGCATCTGCATCGTTGGCGTGCATAATTCCGGCATTGTTGAAGATCACATCGGTGCCTCCCCAGCTATCCTGTGACTCAACCATTGCCTGTACGTCCGATTCCTTGGACACATCACATCGGATCGACTCAACTCGAGGGGCACCAGGAACTACTTCCTTCACTTTGGCCAATGCCTTGGCAAGAGCGGGCTCGGAAACATCGGCCATGAGGACATTGGCACCCTCGCGAGCGAAGAGGATACTTGTCTCAAGACCGATGCCACTATCCGGGTTCGGAGCTGGTTAGATTTTTGTGGAAGGTATCTATCAGGGATAAAACAACAGACATACCCGCCAGCACCTGTAATAATGGCATTTTTGCCTTGGAGACGTCCTCGGGGAGTAGTGGCAGCCATTATGACCTTATCTTGGAGCTTTGTTTGTCTTCTCGAGGGTCTAGGTTAGCAATGACTCAACCACACTCAACCACTAGGGTTACAGCAGTATAATATATTTATTAGAAGACTCCGTGGAGGAGGCTACTCACATAGACTGAGAATAATCGAATTAATATGAGAGTTGTCAATAACACCAATTTTGTTGCACCAAAGGTATACGCGGGGCAGGGGCCCCTGGAGGGTGGATCTTGTTAGGTAAGCGGTGACGATATTGGCCGAAAACGGTAAGGCGTCACCGATATCTCGCTGATAAGCTTCCAAGCTGCCCATCCCGAGGTCGGTCACTTGCTCGATCCTGCACTTGATTTACCTGACTTGGGGGCTGACTTGGAACGTGACTTTTATTCTTCTATTACCATTTCTCACTTTCTCTTACCCTCGCGCCGTTCAATATCTTCGACCATTATACTCCTTATCCCACCCTTTGGCCCCGATCCGTCATGTCGAACCCCGCGGACCCCGAGGTCACAGCCGAGAATGTTGCCGAGATCCTCCAGAATGACACAAAAGTGAAGGTGGCAGGTGTAGATGTGGATGGTATGCTGCGTGGAAAACTGATGAAGAAAGACAAGTTCTTATCTATTGTCACTGAGGGTTTCGGCTTCTGCTCCGTCATCTTCGGCTGGGATCAGCATGATGCGACGTATTATAAGGAGCTGGCTATCAGCAACAAGGAGAATGGATATCGCGACCTTGTCGCAGTTCCAGATTTACGCAGTTTCCGTCGCATTCCCTGGGAGAATAATGTGCCCTTTTTCCTCATCAGTTTCTTGGACCCAGACACACGGGAACCGGTATGCGCCTGCCCGCGAGGATTGATGAAGACTGCCGCCGCTAAAGCTGAAGCGGCGGGGTATCGGGCGATGGCAGGAGGTATGTCTGACCGCAGACCAGAGCGTGTGGGATTCAATAGCTGATCGGTCTGATTCTAACTTAGCGGAATATGAATTCTACCAATTTCGCACGCCGGGCAACTATGCCACCCCCGAACAAGGCGCATCCGCAACGGCCGCCTTCCTCCAGTCGAATCCAGCCGATGCCTTGCCATCGCTAACAGACGGCATGTTTGGTTATTCAATCACTCGGCCTCTCCACAACCAAGATTACTACTATGGCATTTTTGACGCCTGCGAGAAGTTCCGATGCGATATTGAAGGCTGGCATACTGAAAGTGGACCAGGAGTCTATGAAGCGGTTAGTGACTTGTGAGGTTGAACGGGTCGCATAGAGGCTAAAGATCGTGATAGGCTTTACAATTTGGCGAAGCAAAGGACATGGCTGATAAAGCGGGGTTGTTCAAGTATGATTGTTCTTTTGCCAGCCGTTCGGGTTGTTCTTGAATCATGGGCCATTGCTAACCTGGATGTTCGCATAGATACGTCGTCAAGGCATTCGGAATCAAGCACGGCATCACTCCCTGCTTCATGGCCAAACCCCGACAAGGCCTACCAGGAAACAGCGGACACATGCACATTTCGCTCGTCACGGCCGACGGAAAGAATGCCTTCAATCGCGATACCCCTGATCCCTCCCCGCTCTACCCTGATATCGCTCATCTGTCTGACTTGGGTCGGCACTTCCTGGCTGGCCTTCTCGTCGGCCTGCCAGACATCATGCCGATCCTGGCCCCGACGATCAATTCCTACAAACGTCTGGTGGAGAACTTCTGGGCGCCGGTCACAGTCTCTTGGGGACTGGAGCATCGGGCCGCGTCAATCCGTCTGATCACTCCACCGACAGCCAGTCCGAAAGCGACCCGATTCGAGGTGCGTGTTCCAGGTGCAGACACCAATGCGCACCTCGTCCTAGCGGCGATCCTGGCATTGGGATGGCGCGGAGTCGAAAAGAAGCTTGAAATCCCCGTGCCGCCTCTTGCCCGGGGCGAGGAAATGGGCGGTGCCAGTGATCAGGGTGTGCGTCTGGCCAAATCCTTGAAGGAGGCGATCGTTACATTTGCGCGACCGGAGAGTGTCGCACGGGAAGTCTTCGGGGATGCATTCGTCGAGCACTTTGCCGGAACTCGAGAACACGAGGTGCGCTTGTTTGAAGAGGCGGTAACTGATTGGTATGTAATATTATCTACTGCGATATCCATTTAGATGCTGACTTGACATTTTCACAGGGAGATGAAGCGGTACATCGAGACCGTGTAAATGCCGTGTTCCTTTTGTGTATGGGTTCTCCAATTTACAGGGAGAAGCAAGATCCAAAAGGTATCGGGGGAAGAATTGTACATAGTCGCATTGGCATAGTCGAATTGGCCTAGAAATGGGCGCGTAATGGCGCGTAAGGGCACGGCAGTAGCGTGGATACTGCCCCAGATATATACCAAATAACTTTCAACATTGAATCGGAGGTCGTCGATTCACCAGTGTTCGCATGTAATGCACAGTTAAGACATCCCGAGCAACATCACATGCGGTCACATGCCGGTGAAGACAGGGTGACGCAGAAAACCGCCGGGAATAGTCGGCTTCGGATATGACTCTTTTTAAACCCTGCGAGATATGGATGATCGGAGTGAGCCGCGGCTGATTGGAATTTCCGGGGCATGCGGAGGATATTCTACAGCCACTTTCGGGCGAAGCAGGGGTGAGTAACATGGATGAGAATTCTTCAAGGTTTTTGCATATTATATTCGCGAATTGGTCATTATCATTTTGAATACGAGACAAGCTATATAACTGTTATGACCTTCCTAAAGACGATAGTAGCCGATAAGACTCGGTGACTCGGTGTGCGGCGTAGACCGTTCTGGTTGAGCCAAACAGGAACAACTTAAAGCTCCAAAAGACGGGGAACGGGAAATATCGGCCGAGTGGAAGGAGTTTCCCGTGGAAAACTAACAAGAACATGTCTTTTTTACTATGAGAAGACAGAAAGAAAACGGTCAAATGGGAGTTCGGCTTATCATTGGGCGGGTCCAGAACAACCGCGGCAACTCTCCAAGTGGCTCTGACGTATTTGATACCCTCGGGCAGATGGCTATATAGAAATATAGTCTCTTCCTTCCTCCATTTTCTTTGAATTGTATTTGATACTTTTATACATGCACTCCTAGTCTGCATATATATATATATATAACACACATCATGTCTCACGTTGAAACACAGCTCAAGGATGTCGCTATCCTGGGCGCTATCAATAACGATACTCGCAAGATCCTAACTAAGGAAGCATGTGCCTTTTTGGCTCTGTTGCACCGTACCTTCAATCCCACTCGCAAAGCTCTTCTCCAGCGCCGCATCGATCGTCAGGCTGAGATTGATAAGGGCAACCTTCTCGACTTCCTCCCCCAGACTAAGCACATCCGTGAGAATGACGCCTGGAAGGGTGCTCCTCCCGCTCCTGGTCTCGTAGACCGCCGTGTCGAGATCACTGGTCCTACCGACCGGAAGATGGTGGTCAACGCGCTTAACTCCGATGTCTGGACTTATATGGCCGATTTCGAGGATTCAAGCGCCCCGACTTGGGACAACATGGTGAACGGCCAGGTTAATCTGTACGATGCTATCCGCCGTCAGGTCGACTTCAAGCAGGGCGAGAAGGAGTACAAGCTTCGCACTGATCGCAAACTGCCCACTCTGATTGCCCGTGCTCGTGGCTGGCACCTGGATGAGAAGCACTTCACCGTGAACGGCGAGCCCATCTCCGGTGGTCTGTTCGATTTCGGTCTGTACTTCTTCCACAATGCTAAGGAGCTCGTCGCCCGCGGTGCCGGTCCTTACTTCTACCTCCCCAAGATGGAGTCACACTTGGAGGCTCGTCTCTGGAACGACGTCTTCAACCTGTCCCAGGACTACATTGGTATGCCCCGCGGTACCATCCGTGGTACTGTCTTGATTGAGACCATCACTGCCGCATTCGAGATGGACGAGATTATCTACGAGCTCCGCGAACACAGCTCCGGTCTCAACTGCGGCCGCTGGGATTACATCTTCTCCTTCATTAAGAAGTTCCGCCAGCACCCCAACTTTGTCCTTCCCGATCGCTCCGACGTCACCATGACCGTGCCCTTCATGGATTCCTACGTGAAGCTTCTCATCAAGACCTGCCACCGTCGTGGTGTTCACGCCATGGGTGGTATGGCCGCACAGATCCCTATCAAGAACGACCCCGCCGCCAACGACAAGGCTATGGAGAGTGTTCGTGCCGACAAGCTGCGTGAAGTTCGCGCCGGCCACGACGGCACCTGGGTTGCCCACCCTGCCCTGGCATCTATTGCCTCCGACGTTTTCAACACCCACATGCCCACCCCCAACCAGCTGTTCGTCCGCCGCGAGGAAGTGAACATCACCGCCAACGATCTCCTCAACACCAACGTCCCCGGCAAGATCACCGAGGAGGGCATCCGCAAGAACCTGAACATCGGCCTCAGCTACATGGAAGGCTGGCTCCGCGGTGTCGGCTGCGTGCCTATCAACTTCCTCATGGAGGATGCCGCCACAGCCGAAGTTTCCCGCAGCCAGCTGTGGCAGTGGACCCGACACAATGTCACCACCGCCGAAGGCAAGCGTGTGGATAAGGCATTTGCGCTGCGTCTGCTGCAGGAGCAGGCTGATAGTCTGGCGGCTAAGAGTGGCAAGGGCAATAAGTACCAGCTTGCTGCTCGATACTTTGCTGGCCAGGTTACTGGTGAGGATTACGCTGATTTCTTGACCAGCTTGCTGTACAATGAGATCTCCTCTGCTGGTAGTGCTGCTAAGCTTTGAGTGCGTCTGTGACTTTTATGATGATGAATACCCTTTGTTTTTCTTTTTGCCTGTTCTACCATCTACCATCTACCATCTGGAGTTAGCATAGTACAAAATTATGTTCTTTCGATTACCCTTTTCGCAGTGTAGCATGTAGATGGATTATTTGAAATTTGAAATAGCACAAAATAGAGATTGGGAAGCATAGTTCTTTGGAAAATATGTTCACCGTAGTAATATGACTGCGAGAGAGCATTGTCATTTCACGTCCTGGAGGATCTGCCAGGTGATCACTTTCACTTGATAACTGAATAACCAAAGAATACCATATCTGCGGAAAAACTACATTATGTCTTCTATCCCTGCCATTTGCCATTGACGATACAGGTACTGTTTATACTCCTGGAGAATTCGTGGCTTAATCTGTGGAAGTTCATCCATGGATGCATAAACTCTATGCAGCCAGAGTGTAAACAAATCCAACTTCAGTTCAATGCCCCCAATGTAGTAGAAGAACGCTATGATTTGACGTATAGAGTGCAAAGGATATATATTGTACTTTAACTCCATACATCCATGGCACATACTGCAGTATCACTCCCAGCTTTTGATGAGAAATAGATCTGAAATTGATTCACTATTCTTTGTTCGACACATCATATCGGGATGCCGAAAAGCTGCAATCGTTGAGTACATAATGGCATTTGATAACTTTCATGGAACAAGGTATCGCAAATGATTTCTTCCACTTCCTTACCTCTTAGCTTAGGTTTGTTCGGAGCTCACACTACCCCAATTAACGGTAAACTGGCTGCTGGAAATGGCTACCTTGGCAGTGTATACTTTAAAGTGCTTCGGCGTATACATATCTTACGCTAATGACTTGGCGGAAACCTAGCTCCGGCTGAGGCGTTGGACAAGTTGGACAAAACCTACGCGATGCCTGAAGATCTGAAATCCGGATATGAACCCGAGACACGCTTCAATTTGGCCTACCTTCAGCTAACAGGGTGAAGTTGAGGACCTCAGTGTCTCAATCAAAGTTGTTTCGGACACTATTTCCCCCGACAGCGAAGATAAAATATATGGTGCTATAATCAAAAGAATACGAAATCAATGGTAGATATATTCAACTGCATCCTCTATATCCTTCTCAGGACCACATCTAAACAGTCATGTACAACCAAAATGCCAAACTCCAAGTTTAAAACACTTTAGATATACTCCCAAGTAACAGGGCTGGTGGTGTTGGAAGGAACGGCAAGAGCATTGAAGCCGAGGCAGTCACCAACCTTGCCGGAGGGAACAGTAGCGTTCTGCAGAGCAGCATAGACCTGCCACTTAGGGGCGGAAGCAACACCCCGACGGGAGCGGTGGGCAACGGTAGTGTTGGTAGTCGGGCAAGCCATGAAGCCAGATGCACCTTGGCCCTTGAAGGTCCAGTGGCCGAAAGAGCTACCAGGAGTGTAGATGAAGGGACCGTCGGAGGAGCCAGCGGGCTCGTAGGCGGAGTGGGGCGAGGTGAAGCGCAGTGCACCCTTGTCATCGACGTAGATGGCCTGGCCACCGGGAACCACGACGTCCTGAATATAAAGTTAATAAATGGGAACGTGGAAATGATACATGGGCTACTGACCAAGAAGTGGCTGTTGGCAATCACGGTCTGGTTGGTGTTGGGAACTTCGGGGACGGGGGAGTAGGTGTGGGCGTGTCCACCGAGCCAGAAGTAGGTTCCTGCGGCATTGAGGGGCAGCAGGTGGACAGGAGAACCGGAGCGAGCAGACATAACGCTGAAGGCAGCGTCGGAGCCCTTGGACTCCTTTGAGCCGGGGATAGCAGCCACAAGAGGGGCGAGAGCGAGGATGGCGGAGAACTTCATTTTGGGAAAGAATGGATGTAATTTCTATTGAGAGCGAGAGATAGAGAACTAGGGAAAGATTCAAGGATCGATCAGGGTCATATATAAGGCGGACACAGAAAGGGACGTGCTTGGGAAGCTATAAGCGGATTCAACGGCCCCGTTGGAGAAATCCTGTGATCGACATTAAAATCTGGCGCAGCTGAAACGAAGGAACCAGAAATAGAGCAGAAATGTCTGATCTACACTATGAACCCATGCGGGAGATAGGGAGAATGGAGGATATGGAGCCACGAGGCCTAAAATGGAAAGAAAACCGAGTTAGATAGCGATAATAACTCACCTACTCCGTATAATGCAATATAATGTCTCTACGCCGTGCCGAGTACCCACGGTAAATTTGGTCAATTGAGGGTTTCGTATTCAAAAACATGGCAGGATCCAGTTGGGGAATCTCCACTAAATATCGGAATAAATGGATCACACTGTTTCGGCTGTTTATGCCGTTATGTTCCTCTTTATTGTGTCGATTGTTAAGATATAATTAGCAGATGGCAGCCTAATTGATCTAACACACACATGGCAAGACTCTGAAGATCCTAATAGAAGAGGCCGAGGAGCTAGTTCAGGGAAGTCATGAAAGTGAGAAAAGATCGACAGGGCTCGGAAGTCCGACAGATTTTGGTAAGGAATAAACAAGAAGAAAATAGCAACCTCTTAACTGCGGCATATGGGGATCCACGATATCCACAGTGTCTCGGTACACATCGTGCTTGACATCATTGGCTTGTGCCGTTGGCGTGATTTGGTGCATATTGTCAGTTGTTTTGTTGTGGGAAGTTCTCGAATGGTCTCAAGTTAATATAGATGATATCAATCGTATAATTGTAACAGTTAATATAACGCCACCAACTTTAATTATGCTTATACATCGATGTACAAGTATTCTGGCGAGGACGTGTATAGTTCAACATTAGACGGAATTGGCACGGTCGTCATTCCTCGAATGCGGCTATCAGAATAAGTAAATCAGCAAAGTACAGAGTACAGAAGAAGACGACATGTTGCATGAATTTCACACTTTGATGTTGACATAAAGGGGCATTTGCTGGATATGATGTCAGGTGACCCGCCATTATCTCCGTGACGCGTTGGAGATATGACAAGAATCAACAGATTCAATCTACTTCTTACCAAACTTGTCTTTATTCATTTTCAGATTGTCTGCAAAATCATGGACATCGAAGATTAAATGGCTCCCCCACGTGCCAAGGCCGGAGCCTCGCGCTCGGTCAGATCCTCCAACCCTCCTACGCGTCGCGGCTATACGTCACTACAGAATCCACCGGTCGAACATTCAACGTCAGAGAGCAGTTGGAGACACAATGATGCCTTGGACACCCCTTCGAGTGGAAATGAATCCTCTGAGCAGGCCTACATTAAACTTCGACCTTTGAGACATGACAGAGCCCCAGATGCACAGCCCTCGAGCTCGAAAACAAATGACCAGAGCTCCGTTCCCATCGATGTCCCCCACGACGAGCGTGACGTTTCTAAACGCATAAAAGAGCTTCTCGACGCCGAACGAGCCGCGTTGTCACATTCATTCGCTACCGATTTGGAGGAAGGACATTCGGACAGAGACTCTCTGGTTCTCAGTGATCGATACAGTGATGACTATGGCATTCCACCTGACAAGGGCTTGCTGTTGAAAGGCAGAAAGAGCGAAGATGAGGAGAAAGGCTTTGACTGGAGGGCAATGTTCCGTCTGCATTCTTGGTGGAATGTGGCTGGCATGTTGACAATCGCCATACTGGTAGTATGGTTTTCGATCAGGGGTCTACCCTGGTCATCTTCCGGAGCTACCGCAGGTGAATTTGTATGTCTCCCTTGCTTTTCGATTGGTCATTTGAATATCTAGAAGCCAATCCCTAATATTCACAGCAAACGGTCCCCTGGTACCCTACTCCCCTCGGTGGAACAAGCGAACAATGGAAGGAAAGTTATGTCAAGGCTCAAGAGATCGTCAGAGAGATGACCCTCGCCGAAAAGGTGAACATCACCACTGGAACAGGTTGGCAAATGGGACTCTGTGTTGGCAATACGGGTATGCCGTTGCTATCTTCTCGATCCTATGGCTATGTATACGCTGACACGAACTGTGTTCTCTAGCACCTGCGGAACTCGTCAAATTTCCTTCCCTTTGCCTACAAGATGGCCCGCTTGGGCTTAGATTCGCACAGAACATTACAGCCTTTCCCGCAGGGATCACCACGGGCACGACATGGAACCGCGAGCTTATGCAAATGCGGGGATTTGCTATAGGCAATGAAGCGCGGCTGAAAGGCGTGAACATCATCCTCGGTCCATCTATGGGACCACTCGGTATGGTGCCTGCCGGTGGTCGTAATTGGGAAGCATTTGGTTCAGATCCAGTTTTGCAAGGCGTGGCTGCGGCAGAGACTATTCGCGGTATCCAGCAGAACGGGGTCATGGCCACAGCCAAACACTTTATTGGAAATGAACAGGAACACTTCCGGCAGACATCAGAATGGGGTACCCCAACTGCACTGTCGTCGAATATTGGTGATCGCGCATTGCACGAGGTCTTTGCCTGGCCCTTCGCTGAGAGTGTACGTGCCGACGTAGCTAGCGTCATGTGCTCCTACCAAATGGTCAACAACACCTATGCTTGCGAGAATAGTAAGATTATCAATGGAATTTTGAAAGACGAGCTCGGGTTCCAAGGGTTCGTGCAGTCAGACTGGCTGGCCCAGCGTTCAGGCGTTCACAGCGCCATTGCGGGCCTGGATATGAGCATGCCCGGTGATGGCATGAAGTGGGCCGACGGTGTCCCACTCTGGGGGAGTGAATTGACCCGGGCAGCATTGAACACATCTGTTCCTATGGAGCGCCTGAATGATATGGTCACCCGCATCGTGGCCGCCTGGTACCATTTCGGACAGGACTCATGGGAAATCCCTGCACCTGAGGGCGACGGCGGACCCAACTTCTCGTCCTGGACGAAGGAGCGAATTGGACGTTTACACGAGGGCTCACCGGATAATGATGCAACCGGTGTGGTCAACAAATTTGTCGACGCACAAGGAACAGGCGAGCACGCTCATTCTATTGTTGCTCGCCAGATCGCTGCAGAAGGCACCGTGCTTCTGAAAAATATGAACGATACCCTTCCACTCTCGCGGGAGATGTCCACAACGAATGGCAAATACACGGTTGGTGTATATGGCGAAGACGCTGGCCCCGGCCGAGGACCAAACGTTTGTGCTGATCGAGGATGTAATCAAGGAACCTTGGCATCTGGCTGGGGTAGTGGAGCGGTAGACTTTCCATACTTGGTCAGTCCATGGGAAGCACTGCAGCATGCATGGCCAAAAGACTTGGTCGATGTTAAAGCTTACTTGACGAACAATGTCGCGCCCCAAGACCTCACCGAGCAGGATCTCTGTTTGGTCTTTGTGAACGCAGATGGCGGCGAGGGTTTTATTCGCAGTGATGGCATTGATGCAGACCGGAGTGACCTGTTTCTACAAAAGAACGGCACTGCATTAGTGGAGGGTGTATCGACGCACTGCGGCGGCGGTCAAGGTAAAACTGTTGTCATTGTACACTCCATTGGCCCCGTTGTGATGGAGTCTTGGATTGACCTTCCTGGTGTACACGCTGTACTGTATGCCAACCTCCCAGGGCAAGAAAGCGGGAATGCATTGGTGGATGTTCTATTTGGAGATGTCGACGCCAGCGGACGACTACCATACACGATTGGACGAAGCCTAGAAGGCTATGGTCCAGGGGCACAAGTCCTGTATGAGCATTCGGACCCATCCGTTCCACAGGTCGACCTCGGCCAGGGCCTATATATTGATTACCGTTATTTCGACAAGTTCAACATCACTCCCCGGTTCGAGTTTGGCTTCGGTCTTTCATACACAACCTTCGACTACACTGCTCTTAGCATTGAAAAACTGCAGAAGAAATCTCAATGGCCCTCAAAACGGCCTACAAATGCAGTTGAACCCCCCACATACGACAACCAACAGAGCAACCCCACCAGCAATCTATTCCCTCCGGGTTTCCGTGCACTCCGCAAATACATCTATCCCTACCTCGCAACTCTGGAAGGAACAGAACCTGGTCCATATTCATACCCGGAAGGATATGACAAACCCCAAAACCCATCAGCTGCAGGTGGCGGACCAGGCGGGAATCCATCCCTCTACGAGCCCATCCTCGAGCTCACCGTCGAAGTGACAAATACCGGCACACGCACAGGCCAGGATGTGATCCAGGTGTACGTTTCCTTCCCTGATAATGTTGCCGAGCACCGTGGAATGGGCTGGTCCCGTGAGTCAATTGAGTTCCCGGAACGTGTCCTGCGGAATTTTTCCAAAGTCCTCCTGCAGCCAGGTGAGACTAAAAATGTTAAGATGAAGTTGACTCGAAAGGACCTCAGCTATTGGAGTGTTCGCGCACAGAACTGGGTGTTGCCTATAGAAGGCAAATTCCGTATTTGGGCAGGGCGGAGTTCTAGGAATTTACCTCTTGTGGTCGAGTTTTAATCCTTTGGATTGGAATACTACATATATGACTTCTATCTTGACCCTGACTGTTATTCCTTACAGTAATTAATACCTCTACTAATGCTTATATCTTGGGTATACGAGTAGTCAAAGGTTTTACTTGGAAAAAAAGTCCATCTCACGAAGACTTTTTCCGCCTTGTTTTGCCGTCGACCTATAAAACTAACAAGATATCTAAAGAAAACATTGAATGATATCTGAAAAGACCATTGAAAAGACCGTTGAAAAGACATCACAAGGCCGCTTGTACGACTATTCTTGTAGGTGGCAAATGGGTAAGTAACCTAAAGAGCTCAACAGATAAGCTCTATAGAAGTCCGATTTAGGTTTTGCTATCTTGGAACCAGCAGACCCTTCTCTTACTTCATCTCTTACTTCCTTTTCCTTTCTTGTATCTTCACTTGATTCTTTGTTTGACTCTCTTTAGATCTTTCTTGATTGGAACTTATCCCATTTTCTATCCCCCCTATGCTGTCTTGTACTCAGTGTCCTCTTATCGGTATCGTCACTCTGCTCTTACACATCACGTTACTTCATTCATTGCCTTGGTCCACCAAAACGCTTGGTCGAGATGGAAAGGCTGCAGGATGTCGTGTGGTACCGCCGCTGGGCTAAACGGGTGAAGGAAAAGTTCATGCAATATAACAGTGGTGAAGCAACATTGACGCAGCTCGATGCAACCATCAACCAGCTCCCTAGTGCCACCATGAGTGTGAGTTGCGAGACACTGGAGGTGCTTGAAGTTGAATTTGGGTTTGGACTGCGTCGTGCAACCCTCGGCAAAGAAGCGTGGATGAATCCACACCAATTCATCACCCTCCCACAAGCCTTCCGTGAGTTGAAAATGGTTATCTTTGCTACCTTTATGCAAGCTAATTATCTAAAGTTGATCATCTCGCAATGGAATCTGAGCTGCTAAAGAACTGGTGCGTCTCTACCGACAACGAGATACGAGCAAGGACCATAATCACAAAATTGTTAGAGGCTGTGTACAAAGAGCTTCGGCTTGAGGGCTTTGCTGGCCCCGAGGAGATCCGCATGCGCGAAGAAACGACGTTCTCATTCTACCCAATGAAATTTACGGATGGTCGGAAACCTTGCAAGGTTCGTTGTGTGGGGAGAACAGACCTCTCCTTCAATTTCGGCGATGAAGAAGCCCAGGCTATCAACCTGGTAGTTGTTGATGTAAATCACAGTAGAGCTTCACACGGCGGCCAGGGGCAGATACTGGCCTATATGGCTATGGTATGGGCGGAGAGGAAAAGAAGAAAGCAAATCGACTGCACTGTTTATGGTTGCCTCACAGACAGCGTGGACTTCTACTTTTTCCGAGTTGCTCATGACGGTACCTGGTCAAAGGTGCCAATATTCGTTCCTCTATATCCCAGTTTTCAGGATGGGATGAACGTTGTTGCGAACTTTTTCGCGAGCTTGCTCAAGCACACCCTCGAAACAACCTTGCATTCCTCAGTCCCCACCATGAGATAGTTATCCTCCATGGAAAGTGGGAGATGGTTCTTCGATACTGGCAGGAAATAACATTGGGCGGTCCTTCGCGAGAACTATTCGCAGTGAAATATCTTCATATTATCGGCCAGAGGTGCAAAGCTGAACCAACTGCACCTAGCCTTGAGATATCAATGGATGGGGACAAAAACCTCCTCCTTGACGCCTAGAGCTGGCAAATGCGTCCTATTCAAGCCGCGAATCGAGAATTCCCACCATATCAGAATAATATAGTAAGACACATTTTACTATAAACCTCGATACGTATATTATTTAGAGAATTATACTAACGAAACACTTTATTAGGTCCCTCAGATCCTTAGTTCCTACAATGACATCCACAATCCGAGTAAAACAGATTATAGAAAGTCCGCTTCCATCCCTCGAAATTGAGCCCTACCATACCGTTTCAAGTACACTTCAGCGTTTATCCTCCATAGGGACCCTTATCCCGTAGAGCAATTTCCTACAATCTATTGAGCATGCACACACAAATCAGAATTGGACAAGGTCAAGGACATCACCTTATTACCAATGGACCCCATTCCACAGAAGCTGATCGGGTACATACCGGGGATAAGCATAGCCTCCAGGGCCGTTTCTGACAGGCCATTAGGCAAGCATTTAGGGCGGTCCTAGAAGCTAAGGCAGTCAGCCTTTACTTCGCTGACTTTAAAAGCTCAGGGAACAACTGCAACAAAACCCCCGACGTTGTCGGTTATGCGTTCTTACAATCGCCGTGTGCCAACCGAAGGTATAAGATACGACCACAATGGGAATGCCATCAACCGACCAAACGAACCCCCTATGACCCTCCGCCGGCGCAGCAGAGTCTACCTGCTGCGCCGTCAACAGGTCACCCAGAAACACATTGCCATCAGTCGCGAAGATACACCAGAGAAGGGAAGTCCCCAGGGAACTGTCGATGTCGATCAAATATCCCCGTCATCCGCATCCCTAGAACACGCAAGCGCAAATGGACCAGTCCAACGGCAAACTTTAGGGAAGTACTTCGATTACGAGGATGTTATGCGTGACTACGATATCATCGACCAAATCTCAAAGAAAGCTCAAGCCGTTGACATTAGGCGGCGGCCATGAAACAATCCCGGGGCACAGTGTATCATTCGCGCCGGCCAGGATTTAGTGAGGGATTAGGCTAATTACGATACTGATATGAAGCCGATCAACGAACGCATTGCGAAAAGGGAAAAATGGGGGGATGCCTCTTTGTCGAAACCCTCGAAAAAGGACTTCTTGGAGTCTGCGAACCCGGCTCTGCATTTTAGCAAGATAATGCCTGGACTCTATAGCTTAACTGACGCAATCGTGGTTCGAACAACATGGCATTTTGGTTATGGAATGGCCTAGAAAACAAGATATTTCCCGATTAGGACTATAGTAGCTAGCACACTTTCACAGATAATTCACGAATATGCTGAATTCAATTGACCATAGTATATGCATAGCATACTAAGCAGGGCCATTTAGGGCCTGAGAAGTAAAACAAAATCAAACAACGTATAAAACTTTTGCCTTGACATGGCAGATACACTAAAGTATCTATCCGAAACATGTACAGTACTAGGATGGGCATATAACAAAATCTATGCCGGAAAAAAATAAAGATCACCGAACGCCGAAACACCGTCTATGGGATCCAATGCAGACCAAAACATTAACATGGTGCTCATGATGCGAGGATATAATCGGAATCATTCTCTCCGCGATTACGAATCATAATGTTGAAGCACGTGGAAACACGTCTATTCGTCGTCGGAGTCAGCGGGCTTGGGGGTACCCTTGGGGGAGTTCAACTATAAAACGGGTTAGCAAACTGCAGTAAGTAGAGATACGAACAAGAGAGACTCACCCATTCGATGTAGCGCAGGCGACGGCGAATCTCACGCTCCTTCTGCTGAGCACGAGTCATCTTCTTCTTCTTCTTAGCGCGGAACTTGAGGTCGCCTTCATCGCCGGAGTTGACGGCAGATGGGGCGGCGCTGGTAACGGCCGAGCCAGTAGCGGGGGTGCCAGGGCCGGAAGGCGAGTTGGTAGCGCTGTCCTCGAAACGGTCGAGACTGACGGCGTTGTTGGTGCGGCTGACAACACGGCCATCGGCAATGTGCAGCTGCTCGGGGCAGAGCGCACCAACGAACTCTTCGTTGTGAGAAATCATAACAACACCACCCTTAAAGTCACGGATGGCAACAGCCAGACCACCGAGGGAATCACGATCCAAGAAGTTAGTCGGCTCGTCCAGAACCAGCAGATGAGGGTTGTTCCACATGGCACCAGCAAGCACGACCTTGACCTTCTGACCACCGGAGAGACCGGAGATCTCGTTGTGGTTGGCGATCTCGGGGTCCATACCGATGTCCTCGAAGTGCTTGGTGATGGTCTTGGGGTCAAGAACACGGAAGCCCAGACCTTCACGGGAAGCCTCGTGATCGTCGAACTCCTGGATCAGCTTGAAGAAACCAAGATCGAGCAGGGTCTCACGAGAGATCATGGTGTTGTACTTGGGGAGAAGGCCAACCCACTTGACCTCGTACTGGAAGGACTTCTTGTACTTCTGGCGACCAATCAAGGCCTCGACGCGACGGGCACCGCGACCATCACCTAGGTCAACAGGCTTCTCTAGCTGCGCCTTGTCCTCCTCAGTCAGAATACGGGTCTGCTTCAAGAAAACTTCACGATCGTCACCGTTGGCGTAACGCCACTGGAGGTACTGGCTGGGGGTCTTCTCCAAATGCATCTCGACGTGCTCCAGAGCGTGCTGCTTGATGTAACCGATACGCAGGTTGGGGTGCTTCTCTACCTTTCCGCTTTGAGGAATGGTCTCACCAGTCAAGATCTTGATGAAAGTAGACTTTCCAGCACCATTTCCACCAATGATAGCGACACGGGAGGAGAGGGTAAGTGATAGCGAGGCATCGTGCAACGAAGGGCGGGGAGCGCCAGGGTAGGTGTATGAGACGTTGCTCATGCGCATAATGGCACGGGTCTGGGACTTGATACCAGACAAGATACCGGGAGGGGGGAACTTGAACTGCACATTGGATGCAGACAGAGTGTAGTAACTCTTACCCTCGGGCTTCTGCTTGACGAATTCGGCAAGGTTACCCTTGTAGCAGACAAGCTTCTTGCCCTCGTAGTGGTAGATATCTGTGCAGACTTCATCGAGGAAACCAGAGTCGTGACTGACGATCAGACTGGTGATCTCAGTGTGCGACTTGAGGTACTCCTGGAGCCACTTGACGTTTGCCACGTCCAAGTGGTTAGTAGGTTCGTCCAGCAGGAGCACATCAGCCTTCTGGAGCATAGCACGGGCCAAAGCCAGCTTCATCTTCCAACCACCGGACAGCGAGCCCACGGGCTGGGACTGGCGACCCTCGGGACCATCGGTGAAGCCGAACTCAAGAAGAACGTCGCGAATGTGATCCATGCCCTGAGAAACAATCTTGGGGTCCTTGGCAACATACTCAAGGATGGTGAGGTTGGCGTCTTCGCCTTGGTTGTGCTCCACGAAGCACGTGCGCACCTGATCCTGGGGAGGGAAGCCCTCCAGCTTCTCGTTGGCGATACTGCGCATCAGGGTAGATTTACCAGCACCGTTGCGACCGCAAAGACCGTAGCGGTGGCCCTTGAGGAGACGCAGGTTGGTGTGGGACAGCAGGAGCATACCTCCGTAAGCAAGAGAGAAGTCGGCGTTGACAATCTCAACATCATTAGGGTCTTCCGGAGCAGGCTTGCCGTACTTGATCTCATCCTCTGCAATGTAGTGGGACTTGACAGCAGTGGCAACAGCCTCTGTGTTGCCATCTGCAAGCAGACCGCGGAGGTATGGCTCAATGCGGCCGGGGATACGGTCGTGCATGCGGCAGTTGACATCCTCGCGGACCATACCGGCAATGTAGTTCTTAGCCAAATCCTGCAGCTTCGAGTCTCCAAAGCCGCCCAGACCACCGTGCTCCTGAACCTTCGCATTCAGCACGGCCAAGACCTCCTCGGGGGTGGTCTTAGAGATGGAACCAGAGGCCAGATGGCTATCTCCCATGGCAGTCTCAATAACATCGAGAGCACGGGTGGCAAGCTCACGAACCTCGGGTAGGGAGGCAGTATCCTTGACCGACTTCACACCAGGCTGAAGCTTGGGGAGGAAAGTACGGGCCTCAGCGGGATCGTGAACCAGCTTGGTCAAGTTCTCTACAACAACGACAGTCTGGCGAAGAGTCTCTTGGGGAGTAGCCGGGGTGTTGAGGGATCGGGCGAGCAGAGGGGTGAGCATGGCCAGCACGGGGGATGTGACGATGGCGACGAAGGTGGTCTGAGACAAGGCATGGATAGCCTTCTGGAGAGTCTGAGCGGAGGGGTTCTCCATAGTCTTAATCAGGAGAGGAATTCGGGGGGCAACGTCGTCGTTGGACAGAAGGGTGGTGAGGGCAGTCATGGTCTTGCAAGATTGCTTGCACACCTCGCTCTTGAGGTCGTGCATGCCGGACTCAACGATGGGAATGAGCTCCTTCAGGGTCTTGCCCATCGCCTCACGAAGCAAGTCCTTCTGGCGCTCCTCCTCCTTGGAACCGTTGCCCAACTGCGCCTTGACGGCCATCTTTTCGATAAGCGAGTAGGCGCCGACAAAGCCCTGCCACTTTCCAGAGCCCTTAGATAAGTAGCGCTCGAGGGCAGGGATCAGACCGTTAACCATGGCCTCGGGGGTGAGGCAGCCGAAGAGCGCATCGATGGCGTACTGGGCAGCATCACGCACAACGGCGCCCTTGTCAGACAAGGCGTCCAGAGCAATGTCAAAGATACCTCCGTCGTGTAAGAGGAAAACGGCTTCACTGAGAGGGAACTCTCGGGGGAAGCGCTCGAACAAAGCGCCAATAATGAGCATGGCACTCTCACGCTTGGCGCCATTCTTCTTATCGGCAGCGGCCTTGCGGGCAGTGGCGAGAACATTGTAGTTGAGCAGGCCTGCGCAGCCGGCGCCCTGCATGAGCAAGTTGGTCAAGGCATATGCGCCATCGAGAGATTGCTGGGATGACTCGGATGTGAAGATATTGTCGAGGAGGGAGGAAATCTCCTCGGATGTGGGGGGCACGCCGGAGGGGCCCTTTGCGACAATGGTGGGCATGGCGGGAGTCTCAGAGGGGGAGACAGTGTGTGGCATTTTCCAGAGAATCAAAGACTCGAAGATCAAGTAACGATATCAAGGAGAGATATCGGCAAAAAATGAGGGAAATAAGGCCCTTGGGGAGAGAGGGGCAATTCGAAACGGAAGATAAAGAAACTGTCCACAGCGCAACTCGCGCAGATAAACAGAATAAGTTAGGATCGGGTTGAATCGTCGAGTATATACACACGATTCTTAGAAACCCAGAAGACCCTGAAACACGACAAAAAAGAAACACAAAGAGGGGAGAGTGGTCTAAAAAGAAGAGTAAAAACAATCTTCGCCATCACCGATTGCTGACCCACTGGGACCGAAATTTTTTTTTTTGCTTACTCATCCAATCAGCGGCCCCCGCGGCGCCATGGGACAAAAAAAGCGACTAACCGGATTTGTCTGATTGGATTGACATTTAGTGCCTTGATGCCTTGATGCCTGACTGTCTGAATTTATGCCTCAGGCAGGAATGGGCATTTGTACTTTCTGCCTGAGGCCGTAACACGGTATTACAGTCTACGTCACGAGAATCACAGGGAGACGGACACTTTTTGACGGGTAAAAGGATGTTCCTTCTCACTGCAACCCCCGAGGATGAAGGAAGCTTCCCCCCTTTATCTCCATCAATCCGAGAAGTCCATACTCCAGCCTTGATCCAGCCTTCACCAAGTATGTTAGTAGATATTGTATAGGGAATTGCCATAACCAGTAGTACATATATGTACTTTGTAGTTTAATGATGATCCATAATTGACCGACGTTTACCGATTTCATCCCTGTCTCCTGAGCCGATATGACCGCGCATGGCCCCGGGCCTCGGTAGATAACTCTGTGCCCCGCGTCCAACCGACCTGCATTAGACCAAAGTCGATCATTCTCACTATTTTCTTTCCTTTTTTTTGCTATATCTATCATCACGGTCACAACATTCAATCAATTGCTGTTTGTTCAGATTGATTCCCCTTTCATCCCCTTTCTTCCCCTTTGGTCCCCGCAATTCAACTCCGCCCCCGCAAATCCACCCCCGGACTCCATCAGCACATAACACAAAATGGCCCTCAGCTGGAGATCAACCCGCCATGTCTCTAAGCTTGCCCAGGTGAGTGTTAATGTTAATTTTGTGATATTATTAGGCTTTTCAGGATCTCTAACCATTTCTAGGCAGCACGGCCTGTCCTTTCGGCGCGTCACTATGCGACCGCCGAGCCTGACCTGAAGGCCACCTTGAAGGAGGTCATCCCGGCTAAGCGGGAACTCCTCAAGAAGGTTAAGGCCCAGGGTGATGATGTAATTGGCGACGTGAAGGTTGCCAATGTTATTGGGGGCATGCGTGGCCTCAAGGCCATGCTCTGGGAAGGCTCCGTCCTGGATGCGGATGAGGGAATCCGCTTCCACGGCAAAACAATTAAAGACTGCCAGAAGGAGCTGCCCAAGGGAACAACTGGCACAGAAATGCTACCCGAGGCCATGTTCTGGCTCTTGCTGACGGGCCAGGTGCCCTCAACGGGACAAGTTCGTGCCTTTTCGCGCGAGTTGGCCGAGAAGTCCGAACTTCCCTCCTACATCCTAGACCTGGTCAAGTCTTTCCCCGCTACAATGCACCCTATGACCCAGTTGTCAATTGCTGTGGCAGCCCTCAACACCGAATCCAAATTTGCCAAGGCCTACGAGAAGGGCATCAACAAGGCCGACTACTGGGAGCCAACTTTTGACGACAGCATCTCCCTCCTTGCCAAGATTCCTCGCGTGGCGGCACTCGTCTTCCGTCCTAATGAAATTGATACCGTTGGCAACCAGAAGCTCGATGGTGCTCAGGATTGGTCGCACAATTTCGCGGAGCTGCTGGGCAAGGGTGGTTCAGAGCATGCCGACTTCCACGACCTCCTCCGTCTTTACCTAGCCCTGCACGGTGATCATGAGGGCGGTAACGTATCAGCTCACACAACCCACCTTGTCGGAAGCGCCCTGAGCGATCCCTTCCTGAGCTACAGCGCCGGTCTCCTGGGCCTGGCGGGTCCACTCCACGGCCTAGCCGCCCAGGAGGTCCTCCGCTGGGTGAATGCCATGCAGGAGAAGATTGGAACCAAGTTTACCGATGAGGATGTTCGCACCTATCTCTGGGATACCCTCAAGTCCGGTCGTGTGGTTCCTGGATATGGCCACGGTGTTCTGCGCAAGCCCGACCCTCGTTTTGAGGCTCTGATGGACTTTGCCGCCACCCGTCCTGACGTTCTGGCCAACCCGGTGTTCCAACTGGTCAAGAAGAACTCAGAGATTGCTCCTGGCGTGCTTACCGAGCACGGAAAGGTAAGTTCAATAGCAACCTAACATCATAAGTCACTTTCTAAACTAACGACTTGTTACTTTTGTACAGACTAAGAACCCATACCCCAACGTCGATGCCGCCAGCGGTGTCCTCTTCCATCACTTTGGCTTCCAGCAGCCTCTTTACTACACCGTCGCCTTCGGTGTCAGCCGTGCTCTTGGCCCTCTGTCCCAGTTGATTTGGGATCGCGTTCTTGGCATGCCCATTGAGCGCCCCAAGAGCATCAACCTCTTGGGCCTTCTCAAGAAATAGACGCCAATATTGTTGCCTGGTGCGACTAAAAACTCCTTGGCCTCGACGGTTCAAATGAATTTGATATGAAGCGAGTTTACATGCCTTTTTATTTTTGTTCAGCTCTGAAAGGACAAACCTGCTTTCAGTTTTGCTCTCTGTTTATCTCATTTGATTAGACAGAATTACATTCATAGACTACTTGCTTTTATGAAAGTATGATCGATTATTTCAATTATGACCCGGTCGTCTTTGCGTAACCCTCTGTACGGATCGACATTCGAACATTCGAACTTCCAGATTGCTTTGAGATCACTTTCACTTCTAGATCATGTTCAAATTTCAAACTGAGGTACAGGTAAGACATCTAGATCTTCATCGTATCACATGTAAAATGCCAAACCAAATACCTTTACGACATAAGAAATAGGAAGGCCATGATGAATAGAATGCTGATGTACGCATAATTCCGATGTATGGCCATAAAATAGAACTTGTGGCTATAACGCCTGGGAAATATTTAATCGTCAGAATTATATACTCACAACCGAACACTCCCAGTCGATAATTTCTCCCATTCTTCCTGTCCATATGGTGAATAGCTCTCATCACCAGGTGCAATCCACAAGAATTGGTCATTTTTGCCCTCGGGGGCTTTAGTGCCAATCAAGGTAGTATCGACACCCTCATCACGAAGTGGCACTTTGTTCTGCTTATGGTTGTGAATGTGAGTGGAATTCTCGACGATGCGAAGGAATAGCGGAACAGCATATTTGGGCAACTTGGATCGTACGAATCTCGCAAGTGCTGTGTAGTCAAATGTCTGACGGGTGTCCTGGCTAATTTGGATTGCTGCGCACCCGGCGCGTCCCTCGTGGTTGGGAAGACGGACGCCGTAGACGTTCGCTTCGGTGATGCCAGGGAATTGACCTAGAACCTCTGAAACCTCGGCGGTTGCTCTGTTACATTGACACTGTTATTAGTTGTGCTGTCAGGATTTCCAGACGCGGAGTGCTATGAAACTTACACGTTCTCGCTCTTCCAGCGGAAAGTATCACCAAGTCGGTCTAGGAAGTACCAACGGCCATCGCTCTGTCGCCGCAATGCATCTCCAGATCGATAATAGAGATCTCCCTTTTTGAAGACATCGCGCAAGAATTTCTTATTGGTCGCATCATCATTGCGCCAGTACCCCTGGAAAGCCTCTTCGCCGGGGACGTTGACGATAATTTCACCACCCTGGTCATAAGGCGAGCGAACCGCGAATCCAGTCTTGGGATCTCGCAAGATATCGCCCGTCTCCGGGTCAATAGCAACAGGAACAAAGACATTATGCAATAATCCACGCATAATTAAACCGTGGTGACCGACACTTCCAGCCGTGAAAGGACCACGGTTGTAGTTAAACAGACCGAAGACACCCTCTGTGCTATTAAAGAATTCTCCAACTTCAGCGACTCCAAACCGCTCCCGGAATCGCTCCCAGATATCCGGCCGTAAACCGTTGCCATACATACAGCGGACCTTGTGGTCCCGATCCTGTGGCGATGGAGGCGGCGCGAGCAAATATCGAGCAGTCTCTCCGACATACACAAAAATAGTCGACTCGGAGTCCCGGACATCTGGCCAGAATCTACTAACGCTAAACTTGGGTCCGATGGCGATGCTCACACCCATTACCAGACACGAAATCATGGCAATAGCCGCCGTGCCGTGGTACAAGGGCATACAGCTGTACCAGCGATCACCGCCTGGGCCGACCTTGTCATTCATCATGGCCCGGCGGGCGAAGAGAGTCGTGTAGAGCCTGGACATTGTAAATGCACAGCCTTTGGGCATGCCCGTCGTGCCAGAGGTGTATAGGAGAATTGCTGGGAAGTCGCCGGTGACATGTTTGCTCAGTTCCTTGGGTGGGAACGATGTTGGGAAAGTGTTGATGTGCGCCTTTAGGGAGGTATCCAGGGTCATCGGCTTCATTCCCAGATTGCTTGTGATAGCTTGTTGGCTTTCTTCGACGCGGGCACGACAGCTGGGATCCTCGTCGACGAGGAGAATAGTTGCGCCGCTGATCTTCAGGCAATGCAACAGTGCGGCACCGGTGAGGTTGTAATTGATTGCTGCGGGTGCACATCCAATGCTCCAGAGGGCGATCCAGGCGACGATGTACTCGTTGCTGTTCTGGAGGTATAGAGCCACGAGGTCACCTTTCTTCACGCCGTGCGATAGAAAGAAATGGGCATATTGGCAAGCTTGGTCTTGGACTTGTCGATAGGTATATGATCTCTCGCGAGTCCAGAGACAAATCATGTCGGGATATTGCTTCGCGGTTTGCAGTAGGACGAACCATGGGTTTCCCTTGTTTTGGCTAACTATAGGCTGGTCAGTATATGGCTTTGCAATTGCAGGAATAGTTTAACCATACTGGCATTGGCATACTGTCTTTCTGCATGCTTCATCGTGACTAACGTTGATACATCTTTCTGGATGTGGAACTTGGCATTCAAATATCCTGCGACTGTAGCTCCTCCGAAGAGGGCAGCGGCAGCGGTCCCTATCCTTTGTCAGTAAGATCAATTTCCCAGGTCAACATTTTACGCACCTATATCCATCATTCTTAGCGATGTTTTGGGTATACAGAGTAATCTAACCTTGGAACATTATAAGTATAGAAATGAGGGGATCTTGATTGCCGTTGACCTCGGCACATATCTCCGCATTTTTGGGCCATTTAGACTCTGAGAGCCAATAAAGTACATCACTAATCGTCGAAAGCAATGCGGGGAAAATTAATGGCCTCGGTCACATACATTATGTATGCATAAATCGCTTATTCATTCCCTTGAATATTCCTAAAATTGCTGAGAGATGTTGAGGTGGGACTCGATCCCAACATAAAAGAATCCACCAGGTCAACCCAACGTAGAAGTTCAATGTTGATCTGTTAATGCCTTGACTTTGGCAAGCTCAATTCATATGCCTGAGAATTAGACCAGATATCCATGGATGCGCAGCCCTGGAGGTGCACAAACGTAGCTTGTGTCATTTGCTTCCTTGGAACTACCCGTGGACGGTTGGAAGGTCGCACGAAGCAAACGAGAACATCAAAATGAAACACATCCTCATCGGCTACCTACTGCGGCTCCCCGGTTAAGCGCCTTAGGAACATCGCCTACAGCGTAGACATAGCTATGCTTCTAGCCTTAGAATATATCCTGAAATCGGATCCCGTTACTAATATAAAACAAGGAGAAGCCGCGTTGAAAACATCAAGAACTTGACCGTCAAGAAGATTATCTTAATATTATCGATCCGGTCGATATAGAGCCACTCGAAGATAAGCGCATATCGAGTGTAGTGAATTGGATCAAATGAGCCCGAGCTCCATTGCTATGCAGAGCCAACACAGCCAGCAAGCCGGTACGGCCACTATTCTCGACCCCCGAAAACATCCGGAAAATCGTAGGTCCGTTTCCGTTCAAACAGACTACCTTCTTACCGCCTTCCTGGCACGAAGTAAGCTCGGCTGTGAAGGGTACAGAACATTTGTCGAATAGTATGCAAGCTGTAAGCAAACTGCTTTCAGGTAAAAAATGACATTGTAAAAAATGACATTATCATTTTTTTTAGATTTCTAAAACTATTGCTTCTTTTTATACGCCATATAAGCAGAGATAATCGTAATACATGGAGTTATTCCCAGGTTCTGCAGAACATTATGTAATCTTTGGGGTTTGCAGCTAGGAGTGCAAATACATATGTCCACTGGCTGTACACCCATCACATTGTCATACTTCTTCTTGATCCTACAATGTGGAATGATGAGTCTCAATTCGGTCTCAATTTTTCCAGGGAATTTGGAAAAGGATAGGGTTGTGCATATACAACTTATATTGGTGTAAAAAAGTATAAGGTTGGAAGCGCTTATCGTAGGGATAGACGGGTACCTAAATATGTTGAGCTATCAAATTACTCATGCTAATATATGAGATATCATTGGTTGGGGAGAATGTGGATATGACACAGTTGTAAGAATATAAACTTTATAAGAAAATAAATAAAAAACAAGGAAACAAAGGGATCTAGACAATATGGAGTAACTAATAATAAAGAATGGAAGAGTTGGGTATATCACATGTTGGGGAAGATTCAACTCTTCACCGGTGGACTCGGGATATTATGACGTGAATCAATAAACACATTTTAACTTCAAACCCCTGCAACTTCAAAGTCCAATGAGTCGATTGCATTTGTCTTTCTCCACATTGTTCCGGTGAATCATCTTTGCCCCTCTTGACCTCGGGAGTCATACACTTTCCTCTTCTTCACCAATATCACCATGTCGCTTCCCATTCGGTTATCACGAACGTTGGTGCGGTCCTACGGCACTGTCCAGGGTTCCAGTGCTGCGTCGTTGACCAGCATCCCTCTCACTCTAACCGACGCTACGGGTGCTACCGCTCCCCGGACCACATGGACCCGAGATGAAGTCAAACAGATCTATGAAACCCCATTGAGCCAACTCACCTACGCGGCAGTAAGTAAAATTCATCATACTTGATTCAGACCTTCATGTAAACTGATTTACCTACAGGCTGCTGTCCACCGTCGCTTTCATGATCCTGCAGCTATTCAGATGTGCACCCTAATGAACATCAAGACCGGTGGATGCAGTGAAGATTGTTCATACTGTGCCCAGTCGTCCAAGCACAACACTGGTCTAAAGGCTACTAAAATGAGCCCCGTCGACGAGGTCCTCATTAAGGCCCGCAATGCCAAGGCCAATGGTAGCACTCGGTTCTGCATGGGCGCAGCGTGGCGCGACATGCGTGGCCGTAAAACGAGTCTTAAGAATGTGAAGCAAATGATCACCGGGATCCGCGAGATGAACATGGAGGTCTGTGTGACCCTAGGCATGATCGACGAACACCAAGCCAAGGAACTTAAGGAAGCCGGCCTAACTGCATACAACCACAACCTTGATACCTCACGTGAATTCTATCCTACCATCATCACTACCCGCTCTTACGACGAGCGCCTGAAGACGCTCTCGCACGTGCGTGATGCCGGCATCAACGTCTGCTCCGGTGGTATCCTCGGTCTGGGCGAGAGCGACGCCGACCGTATTGGTCTCCTGCACACGGTTTCTAGTCTGCCTGCCCACCCTGAATCCTTCCCCGTCAATGCCCTTGTCCCCATTCCTGGTACTCCTCTGGGCGACCGCAAGATGATCCCCTTCGATCGCCTGCTGCGCACCGTCGCCACCGCCCGTATCGTCATGCCCAGTACCATCGTCCGCCTGGCTGCCGGTCGCATCGCACTCACAGAAGAGCAGCAGGTTGCCTGTTTCCAAGCAGGTGCCAACGCTATCTTCACCGGTGAGAAGATGCTTACCACTGACTGCAATGGGTGGGATGAGGACCGTGCCATGTTCGATCGCTGGGGATACTACCCCATGAAGAGCTTCGAGAAGCCTGCCCCTAGGGCTGATTCCACTGCTCCTACCCCGCCTTCTGTGAATCCCGAGGCTACTTCTGCGCCGATCGCAGCGAGCATTTAGATTTATATTTAGATATGTTGCCTCTATAAGAGTACGTGAATAGTTTGAATTGAAATGCAAAGTACAATTCTCAACAATACCGTCCAATGAAGGTTACCCCTTTATAGAAATATGTCTAGGTGTCCAAGCCTTAGTTATATGAGAATGTATCAGTTCAACAGCCACCCGATGAGGTGGAAAAGCCAAACCCTAAACCGTTGCACTTTTTACACAGTTGGAAGCCACTGTGCATTTAATTGCGACAATTGTTGAATTCATAATCATTTGATGTACATAAGAGAAACACTAACCTAATCGAATCCGATCTACTCTCCTAAGGCTATACCGAGGAGCCGAACGCACAGTGTGAATATCTTGGCAAACGTCTTTCTCGCCTACTACTGGGTGGAGATCATTCTTCACACATCGGATCGCAATGGTTCCCCTTTTGGTTTAATGATCAGACCCCATAAACCCCATTTTAATGTCCACGCCAGGTTTAGCTTCCCAAATTTTGCGGAGAATTCACATGCAGACGATCATCGCCATATTAGCGTAGTCTACCATATTTTCATTCGACGTCTTGGTTCTGTTGGGGTAAACTGGTCCATATAGTCTCCACCGATGTCCGGGGAATGATATAAACAGAATCGCCGCCATAGATGTCCACAGAATCCAACTCACACATCATGGATTCTAAACCGCTAAACAAAGATTCTATGCAATCAACATGGCGCACAGCCCCTCGTAGCGAATGGAACATCAACCATTACATGCTAGATGTGCTCAACGCCCACCCCATCGACATAAACAAGGAGATACCAGTGCACAGCAAAGATGAGAAAGTGCCATACATGCCCCAGTGGTATCTCCACCGCTGGGTTGTCTTCTACTCCGCCCTCCCCCTCCTGCTCCACGAGACCTACATGGCATTCACTGGCCATACCATAGGCCCAATCACCGCCTTCAACTTCTACTTCTTCGCCTTCAACGCAACAGTGATCTACCAAGTGCACATCCTCCGCCGTCTCGGCCACAAATATGGCTTTCTAGACGGCGACAAGCACGAACGTGACGGCGTTCCCGACGTCGGTGTCGGCAAAGTAGTAGCCTCCCTATACAAAACTACCGGATCCCGATTGATCCTCTCCATCATCCTCTCCTACAACAAAACCCAAAAACCATCGCAGATGTCCTGGGCCTGGCTTCCTCTCGAAATCGGACTATACGGCATCGTCCTCGACTTCTGGTTCTACTGGTACCATCGACTGATGCACGACGTCAGCTATCTATGGAAATACCACCGAACCCACCACCTAACTAAACACCCGAATCCGCTCCTCGCCGCGTACGCAGACCACGAGCAGGAATTCTTCGATATGGTCGGTGTACCAATCATGACGTACTTTAGTTTGAAACTGATGGGTTTGCCGATGGGATTCTATGAATGGTGGATTTGCCATGAATACGTTGCGTTTGCAGAAGTGTTTGGCCATAGCGGACTGCGGATGCATTTAACTGTGCCGTCGACAATGAGCTGGTTGCTGCAGATGTTTAGTGCGGAGATTGTTATCGAAGACCATGACTTGCATCATCGGAAGGGGTGGCGGAAGAGTCATAACTATGGTAAGCAGACGAGGCTGTGGGATCGGATTTTTGGGACTTGCACAGAGCGCATTGAATCTTTGGAGGGGAATGTGGATTATGAAAATACGGCCGAGATGCCTTTGTTCTAGGGGTTGAGGTGGTTGTTGCGTGTGGATTGGGACACAATGATGCTTGGTGATTTTTGAAGAAATCCCCTCTCTGCTTAACATCCCTAGTATAGGATATACTGTGATGGATGCTTTGAACATTCTCGTTAAATTGTTTAATTTAGCATGACCATGTTTATATCATTTGCCTTTGTGGAATGGCCGTCACTATTAGAGTTGTATGAATGTCTTTTTCGTCTATTAGAGTAGTAACTAGCTTATTGTTGTGGAGAATCGTGTAAGGAGCTTACCAATATACTCATACATCATTAGGTACGACTCGTTTCCACTGAGGTCTTTGTAGGTCTAGTCAACTCTTGACGACACAATGGCTGAGCACTTCCAAGGTTGGTATGGATCTTCCAAGCTTGGCATACCCGCTGTCAGCACCGGGGATAACCTCGGACATTGCACGTATCTTGGCAAGCTTAATCGTTTCAAGTTTCTATTCCTATCTCAAATTCTCAACTGGAATCAGTTCAGGCATCACCAATAACATATCTTGGCATGACGACGACTTGGCTTTGTCTTAACGTTTGTATCAGTTCCATTCCCATCTATAAACTATAAAGGCGTAGACAAATCCTACCTGGTAGTACTCCATATCCTAGCAATTTCATTCTCTTTCTTGCACAGACATTAGCAGCAGACAGTAGCAACATGAAGATCGTGGGAGGCAGCGTGGCCGCATTTGGCATGGCAATTCTTCATACCATGTCAGCTACGGCACAGAACATGTCATACGGAGCGGACAATTTTTACCGCAGCGACAATGTGACCGTTCACAAGATCACCTTCCCAAGCCAATACCACACGACGATCGCGGGAAACCTCTTCACCCCCAACAATCTCAACCCCAGTGCCTCCGCCCCGGCCATTGTTGTCGGCCATCCAATGGGCGCAGTCAAGGAGCAGAGCGCTAATCTCTACGCCACAAAACTGGCCGAACAGGGCTTTGTTACGGTGTCACTTGACCTACCGTTCTGGGGTGGCAGCCAGGGTAGACCGCGTAATGCTGTGTCGGCCGAACTGTACGCAGAGGCATTTAGCGCAGCAGTTGACTACCTTGGCATACAGAACCACACAAGCGTGAATCGTGACCGAATCGGTGGTCTCGGTATCTGTGGCAGTGGCTCCTTTATGATCAGCGCAGCCAAGATCGACCCTCGCATCAAGGCTATTGCAACATCGTCAATGTATGACATGGGCGCTGTCAACAGAAACGGACTAGAGAAGTCGCAAGGCCTCCTTGAGCGCAAGGAAGTCATCGCTGCGGCTGCCGAGCAGCGTTGGATCGAGGCCGATGGTGGTAGAACCGAGTACACGGGAGGCACTCCGAATAGACTCACAGTAAATTCCACTGCCGTGGACCGTGAGTTCTATGACTACTACCGTACCTCCCGTGGTGAGTTTACGCCTAAGGGTACCACTTCGGATCTTACAACACACCCTACACTCTCGACAAACACCAAGTTCATGAATTTCTACCCGTTCAATGATATCGAAACGATCTCGCCGCGTCCGATGCTTTTCATTTCTGGTGACCAGGCACACTCGCGCGAGTTCAGTGAAGATGCCTTTGCGCGTGCGGGCGAGCCGAAGGAGTTGGTTTGGGTTCCTGGTGCTGGCCATGTTGATCTTTATGATCGCGTCAATCTGATTCCATTCGCTAAACTCACTCATTTCTTCCAAACGAACCTGGTTTAGGGAAGGTGCGTGGTAAGGCGAGATAAATGATCTGAAATACTCCTGGTTCGCAATCCTTGTTGTATATACGGATCATGATTTTCTTCTGCAATGTACTTAGGCCACAGAATCTGGATATTATGCTTACACTTCCAATTAAGAATGGATTACTCTGTACATAGTTAGGTGTTTATGCAGATCTAATTCCACTTTTTGATAGTAGTGTGACAAGGATGCGGAGGTGAATTGGTAAATTAGCATGCATAACTGGGCCCGAGGTGGACCTTAGATGTAAGCAACTCACATTAACACCGTACTTCGTATGTACCAATCACCGATGACGCAATAGACAGTATGTAAATGTTTGTGGTTATAAAGACTTCTTTGTGTCCCCATTCTCAAATTTACAAACTTCAACATTTATCAATCTATATATCATCGAGACAATGCCAGAATACACTCACACGGGGCCTATCGATTGCAACAAGCCAATCAACGTCGAGAACCTAAAGGGTAAAACGGCAATCGTCACTGGCGGTGCGTTATATTGAATTTTGAACTGAATATGGACTGTCCACTGATCATAGACCAGGTGCAAACGGCTTGGGAGAAGCCTACGTTCGGACTCTGGTCGCCGCAGGGTATGAAACAATGTCAGAGAAACGGAGCGCGTTACCTAACAACATGAATAGAGTCAAAGTATGTATCGGTGACCCTGACGTCCAAAGGGGAAGCAAATTGGAACAAGAACTGCCTGGGTATGTACATCACTCAATTTACATGTCTGTGCTTCACGCTCATGTATCCTGTCCAAAGGACGAAATTCATTCGCTGCGATGTCACCAAGTGGAGTGATCAGGTCGATCTCTTTCGTCAAGCTGCTCTTTCTTCTCCTACGGGGAGGATTTCCTACGTCGTAGCTAACGCGGGTATTCATCGCGAGGACGAAATCTTTTCGTACGCTGGTGACGACCAAGAGCCAGCGGAGCCAAATTTGAGCATCATCGATGTTAATATCAGGGGCGTGCTCTATACCGCGAAGTTGGCCGCACATTATTTCATTCGACAGAATGGCACAGAAGCATCGCAAAAGCAGGAGGATTCTTCCTTGGTTTTGATCGGGTCGGGTGCGGCCTTCCTAGACTGTCCACGAGCTCCTCAGTACAGTGCGAGCAAGTGGGCTATGCGCGGAATTATGCACTCATTAAGAAGGACCGCTCATTTCTACGGTAGTAGGGTGAACGTTATCTCTCCATGGTAAGCACCAATCTCATTCATTGTCGCATACTTCTATTTCTGACAAAGTATCACCAGGTACGTCAAAACAAACATTTTATCCGAAGATGCTTTCAACCATGTATCCAATGTTGGAGTCGAGTTTGCAAAGGCGGAAGATGCAGGCCAATGCCTACTCAGGATTCTTAGCGACACCAATATCAACGGTCACTCGCTGTTCGTTTCAGGAAGGAAGTGGGCTCCTAATGGATACCTTGATCTTGATTTGGAGGACTACCCGCAGAATGAACTGATCCAGGAGATGCAAGAAGATCAAATGAAATCAGCACCTGTCTCTCTGGGCTTGTTTGTGTGAACAAGTGAGAAATGAACCAGGGTGAAAGTCCAAAACTATCTTGGTCCAATGTCTTCTATAACGTGAAAACTAGCAACTTAAATGAATGTTCAAAAGTGCAGTATTTCATAGCCAGAGAGAATATCTCCCAGCTCAAGTCATGAGATATGGTGTAGTTGCCTACTCACTAGGCGATCGGTATATTGAAGCGAACGTTGTTTTCCAATCGAGAGGTTTCTCGCCCCTCTTCGCTCTCCAGCGATTAGTATTCATTATTAATTCCTCACAGCCTTTCAGCAAGAATCCCCACTTCAATAGGAACGCCGGCGTGACTTCCCAATTCTCCGGCTCCCAAGAAGGACCCCACACTAGTAAAGTAGCGCCGGTATTTCTCGTATCCCAGAACGCCATGAGATCATGACACAAGTCATCATCATCGATAAAGTCTTGAACGGCTATAAGATTATCACGCATGTTGTGAAAGGGAAAGAAATCAAGCCAGGGGTGATGAGGGACACGCCGTTGGCATTCTGTTGGTCGAAGACTCGCGGGTATTGAAGATTCCGAGAAGCCAGGTATTGGGGCATTGAAAATGGAGATCGCATCGTCATGCGCCATCCATTCCATTGTCATGCCAATGGAGCGTGTATTATCGATGATCGCACGTTGGATATTTAACTTGGAGAGGGAGAGGAGGTGGTCGATGTTAGGAGAATTGCGAATGTAGCTTTCTAATGCTAGCGACTCGAACTGACGCATCAATGAGTGCAACCCAGGGGGCGCGATACTGCATGTAAATCCCTTTTCGTCTGTGTCTATTCGAATAGAAGTGGAGTTCGGTGGTACAGCTACGGCTTTGTTGCTGTGGAGCTGCGCTTTGTCCTCAGCGTTTTTGATGATCTGGCGCATCCCTGACTATGTTAGTGGCTACGATATCATGTGGAGGAAGGAGTAAGCGTACGATATGTTCTTTGGTTGAGGCGATTCTGTAACTTTCTCCGTTCAGCCCGATCTGTAGTACCCGTCCAATCATCCTCAGGATTCCGTATAGCCGCCTGTTGCGACATTCGAATCAATTCAATCCGCTTATTGTCCGGCGCCATATTTGATGACATTGAGAATGGATGTACCGGGCGATCATGGGGGTGACATCGGATTTTAAAGATATCCTGCGCTTATGCCAAGCTGGAATATGATTGGCCTATGTTAAAACAAGGTTACGCTAATGCAGCCTGCTTACATGGTCTAACCTAATACCGACTAGGTAGGCTTGACAAACCCTTGGATCGGTTAATCCTTAAAGGGTTTGTTGCCACAGCCACACCAGCAATGAGGCAACGGAATTTCGGATGAAGTTCTCTTCCGTTTATAGCACTTCTAAATCTGTACTAACCCTAAACAATTCTACGTATTCAAGGAATACTTACATTATTTTTACGGCGCTTGCAGCCGCGACTTACAGAAGGCCGCTGAGAGTCAATATGTTACAATAGATCATGTGCACCATACTACGCCAACCCTGGAGGGTATCTCAGAATATTATAGAATGGGAAATCCATGAGTATTCTTAGTACGTAATAAGAGTATAGCCTGTCCTGATCACCTGTCAAAAGTCTTCTAGAATATATGCCCACGTTGTCCAACGTTAGTGTATTGGATATATTTGAAGACCGAGAAGCGCTATTTTGACGTCTGTGGGAAAAATGGTCGGTAATATGAAGTTTCCCGCTATCCTCTCTATGTTATATGATCATATTTGTCATATTTGCGGCAGTAGAACCTACGCAAGAAAATAGTCAAGCTGAAAATAAAGGCGCTTGACCCACTTACGCTTGAGATATCACTTTTGTATATATTTATAGGCTGGTATAGATGGGATGTGGGCCCCGTATGCTATAGTACGTATGTGCCTGGCCCTCCCGATGCACGGGATAGCTGATGCGATCGACTCCACTGTCTTTGCGCTAATATGCATGTCTCGGTAAACCGAGTCCTAGGGCTGGGAAAAGGGGGTCACTTAGAGACTAGTTTTACATACTTCGCACAGCTTAGCGACTTTTATAGTGCACATAAGGAAATTGATTATATTCGTGATGATGTATGCTAATCCAAACAAAGTCTATTCCTAAAACAATCCAAATTAAAAATGACTCCGGCCTAACTCCTTAGTGAGAGACCACTCATGTGCTCTCTCAAAATGTTCTCTTTCAAAGGTTGCCCATCATCTGATGTAACCGAAATCTCCACCTGCTTCGTGATACCGGGAGTAGAGAAAGTAGGAGAATCCGGTGCACCTCCTATAGATGTACTAGTATGCGTGCTCCGATTTTGATCCAGAATGCGGTCGACGCTATTGTTCTCAATATCTGACTTGAACTTGCGCGTTCGGCGTGACTGATTCGTTTCGTTTGGGGCACCAGATTTGCGACCACTGAAGGGCATACTGAGTTCGTAGGAGCGGGAATATTTGCCGCTGGATATCTTGCGCACGGATGAGATGATCAAGGGGCGGATGCAAGGGATCGAGGAGGTAATGATAATGATGACGTTTTCGATGTATCCCCAGCGAATTAGTTCGATGCCACCGCTGGCTCCAGTATTGGTGATGCTGGGGACGTCTTTCAGTTTGGTTGTTTTGATAATGGATGCGACCATTGCACTACATCGCTGGATTAGTATATTGTGGCTGCGCTTTTGCGCAGAGGTAGGCACTTACACGATACCCAAGCTGAGCAGAACGATCAAACTGATCTTGATGCGTAGTTTCAAATTCAGGTTCCAGAAAACCACAGTGGGGAAGACGGCCAGAAACAGATCAGTGGCCGAGTTGAACGTGTTGGAGTAGTAGGCGAATTTGATTACTGCATGTGAGTCGCCGCAGGTCGTCGCAACTGCGGCTGCTGGGTCCCATAGAGCGGCCACATCGCGACATATGCTAAGCGGTAGCACGGCCGATGTAATGTTCCCGGCCAACTGTATTGCCAAAACAGTCCATAGCGCAACCTGGTAGTATTTGTTGGTTCCGACTAGGGGGAGGATGTAGAGAATAAATGCGGAGCGGGCGAAGGTGGTGCTGAAGGTGACAAGAGGAACTTGGATTGCGATGTTCTTCAAGACCGCTTTCTTGTCATTTGGTAATAGTGTGCTAAGATTCTTGCCGAACCCATGCTTAACTGACAATGTCAAGAATACTGTTGATACGATTGCCAAAATCTGGAGAAAGGAGGGTCAGTCTATGAAATTAACCCTCAAACTAATTGGGAAGATCTACCTCGGCGAGGATCATCAGTCCATCATCGACGCCAAACCTTTTGATCTTGATTTTGGCAAAGACGCGTAAAATAACGATCACCGCAGCAATGACTACGGCGGCCCAAATCCCCCTCTCTAGGGCTGGACCAAGATCAGCTTGTGACATTGTGTAAATATCAATGGGCTAAAATGACAGCATTGTCAAAGAGGCGATCCGTCATATATATGGAGTTGGGATAGTCCTCCAGAGAGTCAGAATAAATGTTCTCGGTGATCAACCCCGGATGGACAACAATGGGTTTCTGGAGTCCAAGCTGATTCATAGCCAATGACCAACAATGTGCACATGCCCAGGTGAAAGCCCTAAAAACCGTATATGGTTGAGCCATGGATTGGCGGAAGAATAACTTTGGATGGAGTAAACTTTACTTTGCTTTTTGACGATCATTTCTGTTTTAAGTTAATTTGGTATGCAAGGTTCCATGGTTCCAATAACTTTGTGCATTCCAATTCTCCAATTGCCTCCAATTTTGAGTGATTTTTATATAAGGCTGACCTATGGGCACTATGCCTATATTGTTCCAAGGTTAATTACACCGAAGCTGTAAAATACTTCCAAACTGTTCAGATCACTTATTATCATTGTAAAGTACCTAAACCCTGAAATCCTAACATGTTTGAAGCTTAAGCCAAAGTAGGCAACTAGATATACTGTCTCTCTAATGTGGAGATTGGTGGCGCTGGAGTAAAAAGCGGATTGGATTCGACTGAAAAACTGGATCAGATCTCGGGTTTTCCTAACCCGTCGGACATCCGGGGAGTCCGAGATTGGATTGAAGATGGCGAAACAAAAAAAAAGAAAGAATCATATTACGGAGTAAAATGTTTGGAAATGCTAGTTATCCTGTCTGGAAATGCTATGCTGACCAAACTCCGGTAGACTACCTAGAACTGCCGTTATAGATCGCGCATGAACGTAACTCCAGGTCTCGGTCCAACCCCGGTGAAATCCTCATATCCACATTTGATCGGACTAGATTGTAGACTAGGGAACATCTCCGATATGGGATGTTCAATCGAAGAATGCGAAGTCCATACTTTGGATAAATAAAAGAAGGTGATCGACGCCCACGTCTCCTTTTTTTGACAACCTTATCCCTTCCATTTCCTCCACCATGAAGTGGGCATTGGCTTCCCTGGCTCTTGCCGCACCGGCCATTGCATCGGATTGTCATTGTCTGCCAACTGATAGCTGTTGGCCAGCTCCATCGGCTTGGGCTTCACTCAATAATACAGTTGGTGGTCGTCTGGTTGCGACCGTACCGATTGGAACTCCCTGCCATGCACCCAACTATGATGCTGCCGCTTGTGCGGCGCTCCAGGCCAACTGGAATATGCCTCAGCCTCAGTAAGTCTGCTAGCCAGGGAAAAATTGACATCGCTAATCGCCGCCAGCCTTGAGTCCTCTTCGTCGGTGATGCAGACGTACTTCGCCAACCAGACATGTGATCCGTTCACCGCCAAGTCTAAACCCTGCCTGCTCGGTAACTATGTGAATTACGCTGTGAACGTCTCCTCCAGCGACCAGGTCATTGCTGCTGTTAATTTCGCCCGCAATAACAATATTCGCTTCGTTATCCGCAACACCGGTCACGAGTAAATTCCCCCAACGGTTTCCATACATATCAATACTGATGTGATATCACTGAATGTAGTTATCTTGGCCGTTCAACTGGTGCCGGCGCCCTCTCCGTATGGACTCACCACTTGACTGATATCGAGTATAAGGACTGGTCGAGTCCGTCTTACCACGGCCCTGCGTTTAAGGTTGCTGCCGGTGTTGTTGGTTACCAAATCCTTGAGGCCGCATCTGCCAAGGGCCTCGTTGTCGTCACTGGTGAATGTCCCACGGTCGGTCTCGCCGGCGGCTACACCCAAGGCGGCGGTCACTCCGCTCTCAGCACTGAATTCGGCCTCGGAGCTGATAACACCCTGGAGTTTGAGGTTGTCACCGCGGCTGGTAAGCTAGTCAAGGCCTCGCGTTCCGAGAATGCCGATCTTTTCTGGGCGCTTAGCGGTGGTGGCGCCGGCAACTACGGCGTCGTCATGTCCATTGTTGTCAAGGCATACAAAGACGCGCCCATTGCCGGTGCCTCTCTTCAGCTCACCGCGGCCAATATCACCACCGATACCTTCTACAACGCCGTTGCGCAGTTCCACTCTCTATTGCCCGCCATGGTCGACCAGGGTGTTACTGTTATCTACCAGATGACTTCGAAGGTCTTCATTATCAATCCTGTTACAGCCTACAACCAGACCATCGATGACGTTAAAGCCATCCTCGGACCATTCACCTCGAAGCTCACTGAGCTCAACATCAAGTACAAAGCCAGTTTCAGCCAGTATGACTCGTACTATGACCACTACAACAAGTACATGGGACCTCTTCCTTGGGGTAACTTGGCTGTGGCCAACTACCAGTACGGCGGACGTCTGATTCCCCGCAAGACCCTAGAGCAGAACGCCAACGGAATGGCCTCAGCACTGCGCAACTTGAACCAGGCGGGCGTGATCGCTGTTGGAGTCGGGATGAACGTCTCTGCCCCGGTCAACGTCTCTAATGCAGTATTCCCGGCCCTGCGTAACGCAGCAGTGACGATGCAAATCGGTACAGTGTGGAACAAGACGGCCCCATGGTCCAAGATGATCGAGGAACAATATAAGATGACGACTGAATATGTGCCTCAGCTTGAGGCCGTCACGCCGAACAGCGGTTGCTACCAGAATGAAGCCAACTTCCGCCAGCCGAATTGGAAGCAGACCTTCTTTGGAAAGAACTATCCCGTTCTGCTCGCTATCAAGCGAAAGTGGGACCCTTCGTCCTTTTTCTATGCTCTCAAGGCTGTTGGCAGTGATGTCTGGTCTGTTTCTGAGTCCGGGCGGATGTGTCGTGCCTAAGCTTATTTGAGGTTAAGCCTGGGATCTATTTCATTTCATGGCGGATGCAGAAGCACGGTTCCTAATTTAGATGTCAACGATATATATTTTCTCTAGAGTAGACGATGAGTGTACCTTGGCATAATCAATTTTCTCAATACAATTTTCAAATCTAAGTCACTGAAAAATCTGAACGTTTTGGACATCTAGACCTCCAAGGTCCATGTGGCTCCACTTACGCTATGGCTTCCAGATCTTTCACATCTTGAGGGTGGGTCTCGCTTCTAAAGATATCCCTATTATGCTTGGCGCAAATAGTACTGTTCTCTGTCTTTTTATTCGAGGCTATAATGGATGTATTAGTACTTCATCAAAAATAATGGTATGCTGAAAGTATGCCCAATGCAGATCTATGTGCAGAATCTATATAGCCAATCAAATAATATCGCCCAGAAACACCCATGGAAAGTGTGCAGTATTCATCAAAACATTTCATAAAAACAACAAGCTTAAACCTCAGCATTACTAGCGCAGGAGAAGCTGTTGCTGGAGGCGTTGTCATGAATAGCCTTGCCGGAGACGTAAAGGCCAAGACCACACATGCAACCACCAACCAGAATAATGCACACGTTCACAATAGTGAGTGCAATCTTCTGAGGAGAAGAGAACCACTTGCCCTTGTTGATATGCAACCAGTACACACCACCAAGGCCGTAGCTGAACCAACTAGCAAACAACGAGCTAATCAGACTCAGCAGATCACTGAAGACAGGAACGGCATCAGCAATGATCCAGGCGATAACCCAGCATGTAAAGGCAATGGCAACCCAGGAGCCAATAGCAACCCAGTCACGCTTGTGCATGCGGTCAGTGCCGCGGAACAGGCGGACGTAGATGTACTTAAGACCGATGTGGCCGTTGACGACACCAGCACCGATGATCTGTGAGAATATCAGCAGCCGAATATAAGATAGAATGAGAGGGGAAAACATACGGTCGGGATGGCAATTCCGTAAGCGACCTTCTTCAGAATAGGACCCGCTGATCCAAGAGCGGGAGATGTGACCTCCTGGCCAACAAAGTAGTAGATCACCACAGCAGCAACGGTATAGAAGCAAATCTCGAAAGTCTGCAGTAAGACCAGAGCCTTGGGGAAATCCCTAGGTTCCTCCATCTCAGCGAGCAGACCGAAGAAGGCCACGTGGGCGCAGTAGGCAAAGACGATATTGGTAACGGCACTGAAGGCCTGGAACAGATCGGTGTCGATAGTAGCCCTGAGGTTCTCACCTCCCTTATTCTGAACGCCGACTGCGACCATAGTGATGATGACTGCAGTAACTATACTGGCGAAGGCTATACAGGAGACAATTAGCAATGGCTACAGGGCCGCGGCGGAGTTCGGCTGTACATACACATGCATGAGATATAGGTCATGTTCTTCATTGTACGGGGCAGAGAGCAGACGAAACAGATGACGAATCCAACAGCGGTGAAAACCATCGTGCAAGTTCCGTGCTCGGTAACGGTGTTCATCATGACACTGAAAGTCAGGATGTGAGAGCCCATAATGAAGATTGAGAAGAGCAGCTGGCCGATGCCGAATAGCTCGCGACCAAAAGTACCGAACAAGATCTCGCCGGCGTCGGCCAAGTTCTGAATGTGGGGGTATCGGGCGCGGAATTGGTGGATCGTGTATCCAGTATAGGTAGCGAGAATTCCCAGTCCGATAATGAGGACGAGGGCTGGGGCAAGGCCTAGCTGGGCGAGGGTCTTGGGTAGGGACAAGACACCTAGGGAGACGGATTCGGCGATCATGACTAGATAGGTCAGAATTGGTTCGTAACAATTGACCAAGTGATCAACAGGTTTGATTGATCGCGTGTGCTAAAACTTACACATTCCCGTTTGCCTGTCACAGAATTAGCCCATATTCTTTAAAGGTCGTGACTTCATTGCATCAACTTACCACCACTTCATAGTTTTATACTTAACATCGGCACCCTCTTCATTTCCAAAGGCATCCTGATACTCCGGCTTCTGATCCCCCAACATTTTCTTTTCATTATATCCCGACTCCGAGTCAGTCGGCTCCTGGTATTGTGTCACTCCGTCGAGAATCATGATGCCGACACGTATAGACCAAAAGGGAGGAGTCAAGGCGGGAATAGAGGAAGGACAGAAAGAAAGAGAACGGAGCGATATGTGTGGAAAGAAAAACTCATAAGCCAAGGTGGAGCTTTTAACGTCAACCGAGACAACCCCGGCTTCCCTTGTATGGAGAGTTGGGGAGCAGAATTCTGGGGCCCGTATGTTCCATAAGGGGTAAGCTTATCTCGGTGGCGATTTCCATTGCCTATTCCCATTATGTTAATGTGTATTGCGGCTCAGGTAAAAATAAAAAAAAGCTTTGATGCCGAGTTGTGATTATCCACATAAAATAAGCGTCTGCGGACCCACTTCTGGTCAGGCAAGTGGGGCTGCCCTGACCCGCCCTATTAAATATTAGCCAATCATGAACTCGGGTCGGAATTATATTATCTAACAAGAATTGCGGGACTCGCGTGGCTGACCGAGGGTAACCGTCATAGCCGCTTATTCCGATGCTAAGCCGATCCTTTGTCTCAATGCTATTAAGCTGTTACTAATTGCCAAGATATGTAGTTACTGGATTATTGCTCTATTCAGATGAATTCACTTGCAAACATGAGATGGTACCTGCATATTTTGTACCTGAGAGATGGCACATCAAGGATTTAGTAGCTAAAAGAATTCTATATGGAGACCGTGGGCCCAATTGAAGTGAAACTCTTTGCCACCAAGAAAATTCAAGCCTTGCTAATTTCCTGTGGGAAAATATTTATGCTTCGGCTACGTATTTTGTCAAAGCCGCATATACCCATGTCTGCTAATTCTCGGATTTCCCTTTCCGTGTTAATAATCACACCTCGCCATTTTCTTGCTCACTGAGTAGAATTGAGCATGCCCATGAGCGGCTTGAACTGCCGAGTGAGCATCATTGCAATAAGTACATAGTATATAATAGGAGGAAATCACTATGATTGAAATTTGATGGTACGAGAATGTATGGGTTACTTCAGTGGTGTGTATATAAACTCTCCAAAAAACACAAACCAATTTCAATGGACTGTTTCACCCCAGAAACAAAAAAGAAAAACACGTCCTTCATCCCACTTGGATCACATCCTATAGAGAGACATAGTTCGCGCAGCGGGCAATGCCAAGCTGCTGAACTAGGAATTCATTCACAAATTGGCACTTAGGATCCTGGCGTTGCTGGATGGCCAAGAATTCAGGCAGCTTCGGGAATTTCTCCAGAGTGTAGGTAACATTAGGAGGGCTCATCTTGTTCCAGTGGGACCGGGCGTTGTAAGTTTCACCGAATTGAGGGAGGAATTCATGAGCCAATTCTTGGTTCTGCCAGAGAGTGGTAAAGTTGTTGTATTCTTGGATCCAGTCAATCTCTATGACCGCAAAAACGCCGCTCAGCTCGGGGTCAAGGCCGTAGGTGTTGACAGGGGACAGATATGCATCGTCACCTTTGAGAGAACGATGCTGAATAACCATCTGCTTGTTATAGGGGGCCTTCATGCGAGGTGTCTGGTCCTGTTGGAAAATGGTGTAGTTGGTGGCGGCTTTCGCGTAATACTCCATAGGAAGGAAGTGCTCGATCTCGGCGTAGAAGCCTCGAGAACAGACACCTTGAGGAGAGCATGACGCGGCGTCAGTGACTTCATCGTAACATATGTACTCCTTCTTGCAGTCACCGCAGCCGTTGGCGCAGTAATTGAGAGTACAGTTGCGAACGCCGGTATAGTTGGTCGGCTCCCAGTAAGAAAGAAAGTAGGTAGGCTCGAGGGCCCAGGTCTGAGAGTCTGCATCCCAATCAAAGTGAGGACCCCAGACAGTCATACGGTCATGCTCCTTGTACAATTGAGCAAGCTCCTTGTACATCACCGAGTAGTCGGAGGTGGCATTTAAGACCTTCGTGGTCTTCTTCAGGAGTTGGGTAGGCTGAACCTTGATAGTCATTTCCGTGATTAAACCGAGGGCACCAAGGCTGATACGGAAAGCCTTCAGTTCTTCTGCACTCTCGTCGATGACACGGAGGTTTCCCTGTGAGTCCAACACACGCAACCCAATAATCTGGGATGCAATGTTACCGAGATTGGATCCAGAACCGTGGGTACCGGTGGAGGCAGCACCAACGAAGTTCTGAACACGCTCAACGCCAAGATTGCTGAAGGATAAATCGTTGGCCTTCAGCTCTTGGACAAGGTCATCGACATCCCACCCGGCACCAAAGGTGACGGTCAGGTTCTTCTTGTCGATGTTGAGCTTCTTCAAATTGGTGAGGGAAACGATATAGGTGGGCTTCTCAGTGAGAGAATTGTCGACACAGGTAGTGAGGTTACCAAATCCATGACCATTTCCGACAACTTTAATGTGGGAACCCTTAGGGTACTGTTCCTTGAGGAACTGGGCGGCGGCATGCTCATTGTGAGGAGCAATGTAGGCATCAGACTCGCAAGTGACCTCAAACTGCCAGTTGAACCAACGGTAGGCGGAGCCAAACACTGCGTGCAGCAGTAGCAGCAAGAAAGCCGGCTTAGGGCTAAGCATTTTGGAATCTATGAGTCTCCAACGTCAGCAGACTATCATGGAAGAAATCGACTAGAAAACTCACAGGAGTAGCAATGTTCCAACTATAAGCAAGCTCGTCTAACAGGAGGGATTCTCGCAGTAGTAATGATCGAAGGGGCTAGGTTCGCATTGAAAAGTCTTGATGTCCAAAGCAGAACGGAGGGGGAAGACAAGTTATCTAGCTCGAGTTCGCCCGTCTTTCAAATGAAAACCCACTTATAGTGAATGAATTGAGCGCATAATCCCATACTACAAGACAAACTTTGCGTTTCGACGGGGCATTTTGACCCGTGTCGCCTGTTACATATTAACTCACCGGCGATCAGGCGTGTAGATAGTGCAAGGGTTTACATAGCGGGAAGTTGAAAGTAAAGGCACGTGTAAAATATTCAATTTCTACCATTCATTGCAACTTGTTCTTTCTAGTATCTGTGTTTGACTTTTCCCAAGGGCATTATGTGTGAATGAAATGGAACCCTGACCTACCATCAAGATGAAGAACAATACTCAGGATCCTCTCGGGGGGTCATACGATACGGAGAGAATACTGATGCAGTAAATTGAAACCAGTGTATAGGACCGTACTGGGTGGAGACGGACGAGGAGATGAAGAGAGGGAAAGGAGGAGAGAGTGGAGCTATTAATCTATCTACTGCCAGAGCTAAACGTGGCTATCTAAAGTAGCCTAGATACCTAGGGTACCTAATATCCCCCTTGTAGATCTATAACCCTTAACCTATCCTATTGCTGGCGTACACTGTAAAAGCTTATATATTTAATATATTTTTTAAGCTTAGTCTATACTTAATTCGCGCTTAATCCTAGTTATCTAATAAATCCTATAAACTACCCCTTCGCTAGGGTCTTTATAAACCTATTCGTAATATTTATCTTGGGAATATATACTATAATATATATATATTAATATGTAAAAGAAAAAGGTTCTTCCAATCATGAAACGGGATTAGCTGATCTAGGCGTACCAGACGTCTACGGGTAGGTGATCGACCCTGTAACAGGGTCCCTGTTCCTTGGCACACGGTTTCTCCTAAAATCCCAGGAGCCCCCAGACCGCCCCTAGACCGCCCCTCCGGTTGACAGGCGTTACACCTACAGACTGCATATCTTTACATAGGTATAGGATATGCTTTAGATAGAAAAGTTGCTAGCAGTCCGAACTAGCGAATAAAAGGCTCATAACCTCTCAGAGGATCATGCGATACAGAGAGAATACTGATATAGTGAAGTGGAAACCAGTGCACAAAATTGTATTGGATGGAGACGGACGAGAGGAAGAAAGGGAAAGGTGGAGAGAGTGGCGCTATCTATCCGTCTACTGCTAGATCTGGACGTGGCTAACTAACGTATTTCACATACGAGCGGTGCGCACAAACGAGTGGCGCACCCCACCCAAAACGCGCCCATGAATTAGGACCTAATTAATTCAACCACCCACCATGCCACCAATTCGCTCCCGAAGCTCTCAAAAATCAACAGAGCAAGAGGGTAGGATCTTATTAGCTATCCAGGCTTTGAAGAATAAAGAAATTCCTTCAATTCGTGAAGCGGCGCGCCGTTTTAATGTGCCCGATACTACCCTCCGCCGACGCCTTAGTGGCATTGAAAGTCGCGCGAATTCTCGCGCAAATCTATATAAATTAACCCAAATTGAAGAGGAATCTCTTTAAAAATAGATACTCTCTATAGATTCTCGTAGAGTAGCCCCCCGGCCGTCTACTGTACGAGAAATGGCGAACCTTCTTCTTAAAAAGCGTAGAACTACCCTAGTCCTTTCTGTTAGCGAAAATTGGGTTACGAACTTTGTGAAACGATACCCTCTCCTTTCCTCCCGATTCTTAAGACGCTATAATTATAAACGTGCGAAATACGAAGACCTAAAGATTATTCAAGAGTAGTTTAATCTTATTTAAAAAACAATCCTTTAATTTAGAATCGACCCCGATAATATTTATAACTTCGACGAGACTAGTTTCGCGATAGGATTAATAGCTACTACGAAGGTTATTATAAGGAGTGAATACTACAGTCGGCGCTCACTTTTATAACCTAGAAATCGTAAATAGGTAACTGCTATTAAGTATATAAATACTTTAGGTTAGGCCCTCCCTCCGTATATTATTTTTAAAGGTAAAGTCTATATTAAATTATAGTTTAACGGCCTCCTAGAGGACTAGCGATTTAAGGTTAGTCCTAATAGTTAGACTTCTAATAAAATTAGACTTCGCTAGCTTAAAAAGCTCTTTATTCTAACTACTTCTTCGTATATAAAGGGTAGATATCGGCTTCTAATACTTAATAGATATAGAAGCTATTTAACTACATAATTTAATATAATTTATAAGTAAAATAAGGTAATACCGATCTATATACCTCCGCACTCCTCTTATCTTTTACAGCCTCTTAATATTAGCTATTTTACGGTTCTAAAACGTATATATAGCCAGCTAGTTAAATCAAAAATATAGGTTAGGATAAATTATATTAACAAACTTAACTTCCTTAAAGTATACCCTCTCGCTTAAATTAAAGCTTTTAAATCGGAGACTATTAAGAATAGCTTCAAGGTAGCTAGTTTAGTACTATTCTTACCTAATCGAGTTATTTTAAAGCTTAATATTCGACTTCGAACCCCAACCCCCCCTTCGAGTAGGGGGAGTGATTAGGACCTAAAAATACCCTCGAACTTTATACAACTACAAAAGTAAGCTTTGTCGATCAAAGCTTTACTTCGTACAAGATTAAGGAGCCTACCAAGCCTACTCAATTCCGCTATAAATTATATTTTAAAAGCCTGTCAGATCACGATATAATCTACCGCCTTACTAGAGAAAGAAGTAAGCGATTTACGCGCTACTAACAAGAAGCAGAAGCAAAAGCGGACTCGGTCTATAAGGACGATAGTCCACAAAGGGGATCTATTAGTTAAGGAGGTTCGTAAGCTACGTGCAGAACCATTTGAGGCTCAAGTTGCACGTATCAATACCTATCGTGAGCAGGTTTCCGAGGGTTTACAGCCAGCTCCATAGGCCGGGAGAGCGTGTGGAATATGCAGATTGCTAGGGCATAGAAAAGAAACATGTCCAGATAGATAAACCATTTTAGTTGAATCAATTTAATGGCGTTTTGGTTGAGAGAAATGGAATTGAATTTAATAGGTTGGGTGGGGTGCGCCACTCGTTTGTGCGCGCCGCTCGTATGTGAAATACGTTAACTAACTTTGGTAGCCTAGATGCCTGCGGCACCCAACAGTTCCTCGGATCAGATAAAGAAAAAATAGAATGAGATCAACATGCTATGATGATCATAATTACCTCGATCTTTATAATTCCAATTCCTAGTCCTTGGGTGAACATCAAATCGTATATCCAATTTTTGGGGTGCCAAAATCGATTCAAGGCCAATATTGTACTCAAAATATTTGAATCCCAGCACAGAGAGCGGATTTGGACTGATCTTTCCTGGTCGGCATTATCATTCGCCATATGGTGGAACCAAGATCTGCGAGGCTTTTTGGCTTTAAGTTTGCCTATCATGGCCGATCCTATCCTTATCGTTCAAGCCCAAGCTGCCGGTGAAGAAATCGGCAGGCGGCGAGGTTGTTTCCGTGCCTGGTGACAAGCACGAGTCCTTAACGAACCTTGGAACCCTGGATCTACAGATTATATGTATGCATCATTTGACAAGAATGGTCTGCAATGTATGTATGATTGACAATAGCTCCGCTTATTATGCTCCTCGCCCTTCAGTACGTACCTTGCGTATCTCAAGTAGTCCACAACTTTCATACCTCCGGCAAATGAAGCCGACAAATACACCCTTTACGCTCAAATTCAATTTCGGAACTTCGTGGAAGATCACTAATGGCTCTACATGACGAGGTACTGATGGAAGCTGTAGGAAGAAATATATAAATTCTCATTCTCTCAGTAGCCAGGAATCTTTTTTGTATAGCAATTGATTCAGGGCTTCTTTTCTCTTCTTCCTTTTTCTTTTGTCCCCTTCATTTGGGATTGTAACTCGAGATGAAGTGTTCAATCCTCCCAACCCTCTCGTGCTTCCTTATCTCTGCAACCGCGTCCAATACCTATCTCCCATCTGAGCAGATTGATGTCCAGTCCAGTCTTCTTTCGGATCCTAACCAGGTTGCCGGCAAGACTGTTGACTACATAATTGCAGGAGGTGGCTTGACAGGCCTGACCATTGCAGCCAAGCTGACTGAGGACCCCAATATCACGGTCTTGGTCATTGAAAACGGCTTTTATGAGTCAGACGACGGAACTATTATTGAGGATCTGAACGCCTACGGAGACATTTTTGGCACCACCCCCACAAAGCCCAAATCGATTCTTGGGAAATGGTGTTTGGCAACAAGGGTTGGAATTGGGACAGTCTGTTCCCATACATGCAGATGGTCGAGATCTCTCGCCCTCCGAATGAAGTCGAGATCGCTGCTGGTCACTACTATGATCCTGCCTGCCATGGAACGAACGGCACTGTTCATACTGGCCCCCGAAACGCCGGAACAGCCTATTTTCCAATACTCAAGACCTTTATGAATTCTTCCAAGGAACGTGGCATTCCTACCCAGTTAGACTTTCACTGCGGGGTCCCTCGCGGTGTTTCTATGATTCCTAACACGCTACACGCGGACCAGACTCGCTCGGATGCTGCGCGTGAATGGCTCCTGCCAAACTACAAGCGCCCGAATCTGCAGGTTTTGACGGGCCAGTTTGTTGGGAAAGTCCTTATCAACCAAACCCTCCTCATCAATCAAATCACTAATGCTGGTCACAAAGCCGTCGGCGTAAACTTTGGCACCAACAAGCATGTGAACTTCAATGTATACGCCAAGCACGAGGTGCTGCTGGCGGCCGGCTCTGCTGTTTCTCCTCGAATCCTGGAATATTCGGGTATTGGCTTGAAATCTGCACTGGATGCAGCCGGTATTCAGCAAGTTGCCGATCTCCCTGTCGGTCTCAATATGCAGGATCAAACCACCACTACTGTGTGCTCCCGTACCAAGCCCTCCGGTGATGGTCAAGGTCAGGCCATCTATTTTGCTACTTTCAACGAAACCTTCAAGGATAACGCTCCACGGGCTCACCAGCTACTCAACACCAAGTTGCAGCAGTGGGCTAATGAGACGGTCGCGCGGGGTGGTTTCCATAATGTTACTGCTCTTGAAATCCAGTATCAAAACTACCGTGACTGGTTGATCAATGAAGAAGTTGCCTATATGGAGCTGTTCCTCGATACATCCGGCAAGATCAACTTTGATTTATGGGATCTTATTCCATTCACTCGCGGTTCCGTGCATATTCAAGGGAACGACCCCTACCTACGACGCTTTTCCTACGATCCTAAGTTTTTCATGAACGAGTTAGACCTTCTTGCCCAAGCTGCTGGCTCGAAGCTTGCCCGTGAAATTTCCAACACTGGCGGTATGAAGACATATTTTGATGGCGAGACTACACCCGGATCCAAGTTGGCCTACGATGCCGACTTGGACCAGTGGGAGGAGTATGTGAAGCAGAATTTCCGCGCCAACTGGCATGCTGTCGGCACCTGCTCAATGATGACAAGGGAACTTGGTGGAGTGGTTGATTCTGATGCTAGAGTGTATGGTGTCGAAGGCCTTCGGGTGGTCGACGGGTCAATAGTGCCGACACAGGTGTCATCACATGTCATGACTGTCTTCTACGCTATGGCTTTGAAGATTTCGGATGCGATTTTGGCAGACTTTTATGCAAATTTCTAGAAGCGCAGTGTATTTATATAATAGAAGGAGCAAGGATATATAATATGATCTTTATGGTTTTAACTGAAGGAGGGTTCAGGCCATTGTATTGTGTTCCCAGGGAACAGAAGGAAAGGAGGCCGTGATCTGTCTATATTTTCAACATGAGTTGAGAATCCCTTCATTTATGATAGAGATCTGGCAGTCTCTCAAGACACATAAAAGGTGGCATTTCCAATAATATCCGTTGAGCTTTTTCCGATCAGCACGGTAAACTCGCCCGGCTCCACAACATACTTCATCTTCCTATTCCATAGTCCTATTTCTTGAATGGAGACTGGAAGCTTGATAGAAGCAGTCTCACCGGCTTTGATGCGAAGTTTCTTGAACCCCTTAAGCCTGCGATTAGGCACGTCGACACTGGCAATGGTATCGACAATGTAGAGTTGTACAACCTCTGTTCCATCCACGGGGCTAGTATTGGTGACATCCACACTCGCCGTAAGTGTGTCCTTGATGGTGGAATTTGTCTTATCCTGGGAGACAGAGGAATATTCAAAAGTCGAGTACGACTTTCCGTATCCGAAAGAATACCACGGTTGCGGCGTGCCGATCCGTAGCATTCACTCCAGCCCAGAGCTCATCCTGGTCCCTAGACCATGTCCCCACAGCAACTACAGCAACGTCCGCCTCCTTGGCTGCTTGGATGGCTTGTGGAAAGCCGCTCTGGTCGCTGCTCCACCTTTCACACCCTTGGGCATAGGTGACACTGGCCGAGTCGCCAACAGCAGCACGTATTCCATCAAGAGGCGTCACTCCGCGGCTCTGGCTTCCGCCTATAACGTAGTCTCCGTACTGCGATAGAAGCGTTAGTATACTGGTAAGTATGGTTCGTCCGTACTCACATTTACGAATCCATGAGCCATGGGACCTATCACAGCAACCTTGCTCGTCTTCTTGAGTGGAAGAGTGTTGTTGTGGTTCTCCAAGAGCACGATCGATTCTCGGTCTAAGGTACGAGCCAGTTCAACTGATTCATCGGTATGGATCAAGGAAGGCCACTGATGTTGCGGAACAGCGGGGAATGGGTTCTCAAACAGCCCATTTCGAACTTGGCGCGGAGGAGGCGTGACACCGCTTGATCCACAATCTTGATATCCAATCTTCCGTCCTCGACGAGACTGGGAATTTGTTTGAAGTTGCTTTGTACTCTGTTAGTCTAGCAGGTGTAGAATGAAGGAATGGAACATACAATGATCCACCTCCCATTTCCACGTCGGTGCCAGCGGGCAGGACCTCCAACGTTACTGCGTCTGAATCAATAGGGTTGCCTTGACACAGTTTGAAGTATGTGCAGACTCGGTCGGTGGCCCCAGCGTCGCTAACGACCCAGTACTTGTAGTCCAGCTCGCCGCGCAGGATGTCGGTTAGGGTATAGGCATCGGAGACTGAAGGAATTCCATCATACCTATAAGAGGTTAGCAAAATAGTAAGGGCAGCAGGAGAGAGAGAGAGGGAGAGAGAAGTGGGAGAAAAGAGGAAAAAGAAAGGAGGTCGTACGAGTGATAAGCTGACATGATACTCCACGCGCCAGCGTCCACAATTGCACGTTTGAAGGCTGGCATCTATCTATAAATCAAAGGAATATTAGTTCTGAGTTTGGCTAAGGGGGAAGATAGTATTACGTTGTGCGTAGTTCCCTTTCACCTCCATGGACCGGACCAGTGTTCAGACCCTGTTCCGGGTTACTGTAACCGATGAAGTGCTTGACAGTTGCTGAAACATTCCGGCTTTCAAGGCCAACAACAGTTGCGTATGAGAGTTCTCCGGAGAGATATGGATCTTCAGTGAAACCTTCCTCCACCTGTGTATTGTTATGTTAACATGAAAATGACATGATATTTTGGTAGTAGTTAATAACGTTGATTCCGGTCATCTGGGAGAAAACCTGCACCAAAGTTCCTTGCCTGGAAAATTTTAGAATCTGGATATCGAGAAAGGTGTGGACAACTTACAACAGCCGAGTGCGCCACTGCGGTACCTTAAACATGATTGTCCACCCAGGAGCCGTGATAGCCCGTTCAGTGTTTATGGTGGTTCTAATCTCGGTGAATTCGGTTTGAATCCATTCCATATTCGTGCCGTCATAGTGCAAGCGCTTTAGGATGCTCAAGGCTTTATCGTCATGGTCTTTTTCGATGAGATGGCGAGGAGACTCAGGAAGCCAAAACATTCCTGCAAACAACATGAATGCAGGAAGTGCCTGGAACGCGAGGGGGAATCGCCATTGCAAGGAGTTGGTGTCGGGGGCATGAAGGGAACCATATCCAATCCACCTAATATGCATAAGTATTACGGTCCAAAGGGGAGTAAAATAGAACAACGTACGTGCTAACGATGAAACAAACCCCAATCATTTGCTGTGAAAGTCCTACAATCCTAAACACGCCACATATTAGCCCGATATCATTTTTTCTTGTTCGAAGATACTTGAAAGCCGCGAGTTTTTGGATGCGCGCATTCTGCCTGATAAACCGGAACAGACATACTGAGCACACCCACTGCCCAGCCAGCGATGATTCGTCCAACTAGGATCATGACCAGATTCTGAGCAGCACATTGGAGAATATCACCAATAGTCGCCAGTAATGCACCCATCTGGATTGTCCTTCTACGTCCGAATCGGTCGATAGTCAGACCCGCCATAAGAGCACCAATGACCGCTACACCGCTGTCAGTTCTTGTTTGATAGTGCAACCATTTTATGAAACAAACCTCCGCGTGAGAATGTACTGTTGATTGCCCCGATAATGGTGGATGTTTTGGTCGTATTGAAGAATTTCAAGAAGTGATGCGAGGCGATAACATCGGTCATGACACCTATAATATCAGTTTCATATTTGATTGTAGTGAGTTTCTTGAAAATACCAGAATCATAACCGAACAGAAAGCTGCCAGTTGCAGCAAATGTTGCCAAACCTATTGTGTAGATTTTCCCCATGGTCGATCAAAGGTGGGTCGAATTGTATAATGGAATAATCTGGGGGATTGGAGGTCTTTTACGGTGGTATACATCCTTGCAACTTTATACAACAGAATAGCCGGCCGGCAAAAAAGGATAAAATCAAATAGCACATTTGGGTTAGAAGCCTCTGGTGGCGTCCGCTACCTGGAAAGAGAATAGTCAAGGCAAAGGACCTGTTCGCATAGTAGTTTACGGTCAGATCTCGTTTATTTTCGGCACTTTTTCCACGGATCCACAGGGAACTGATGATCATGGAGTACAAAACTAGAATAATATATTATTATTATAATAATATTTACCATAGCTACTAGTCCTAAACGGGAAAGAGGTCGTTTGTATATAATCCCTAAGGATCTACCTGCTTATTCTCTATTTCTTCTCTAGCCTTGATATTCTAGTTGGAATGCACTGTTCCTTTATTGATTGAACTGGCGCGTAGCAGCTTTATGGATTAGACAGAAGTACAATGGGAAGTTAGCTTGTAAGGCTACGCTTTTTGACTATTGGCATATATATATATAGCTTTCTAAGGGGAGTAGTTAACCTATGGTGTACTTTTTTTACTCTTTTTGTAATCCTCGGATCGAGAACAGTACCATTCGGGCCCTTCAAAATGTACTATCTGACTATCAGAGCAGTAAAAGATGGAAATACGAACGAAGCTTCCTTTTGCTAATTACCGACTCGTTCCTGGATCACCTAGGAACTTGAAAGTTATCGTTATTTCAAAATGATACTTCCGTTAACCAATTATCCTAAGCCTTCTAATTGAAAACGATAATGCTGGGGGCGCAATCTGCCGGTTTTGGCTCAACTTCATTTGCTTCTACAATCTCTAGACAACAAATGGGTTACATTGGATTGCCTTTCCTGGCCTGTATGGTTTAAGGATTTTATTATCCAATTCATTTGAACCTAACAGGGTAAATCCAAGCTAAATATAGTAAGTGAGTGAGTACCTTGGGGATGAGTGATGTTTCCGATACATTTATGTCTAAGACAACCCCATCTTATTATCAAGGCGATCTGCTATTGAAGGATTGCAAGAACTCTTGGCTCAGGACTGCGACATGTGAATTTCTCCCGAAGGTTTGGGATGAAACTGTCGATCATAGTTAATTAAACAACGGTCGGATTTCCGCGATCCCGTCGACTTGGAATAATTATCCAGCCGAGGGTACGTTCGCTTTCGGTGCTTTATGTTTCTATTATTGGTTGACAGGTTATGCTATATGCATGAAGAGCCAGAAAGAACAATATGGCTGATCCCACAATTCTCGTGCAAGCATTCATAGATTTGACAATATGTTTATCCAATTTTGATGTTGCATAAAATGCATACTATCCTCGCTTTTCTATCTTATAGGCACAGAGGATCCACTAATTTCGTACTCGGAGAAGTCTCGCAATTACTGAAGCTTATTCACCGAGGAATTCGACCAGAGCGGATACCTTCCAGGAGCATCGTCAGATTTTACAACGTTCTATTCGGGAACCTGCACGTCCGCCGTTGTCTCAAATCGCCTAACAGTTATCGCAGATCAATCCCAATTACAGGGAAAATGGGTAAAGTCTTGCATATGAGGGTCAAACGATGGCTGAAAAGGTGTACATAGTGGCTACGACGATCTCTCTCCCTGGACTTCGGATGTCCCTGCTTCATATATGATTTTTATCCTTTGATATTATCCGAATTTTGTGGATTCGCATTCACGATCTCGTTGGATAGAGAGCATCACGCCCAGTACCAAAACCACTCGGATCAAGTTATTCCCTATACGGATACGACAAGACGAAATCTATAAAGCAGACCAGAAACCCCGACTCAATCTTTCCACAACAAGTCCCATCTTCAATACACACAGCAACTCCTATCAATCCAGAACACCAGTCTCAACAGCCAAGATGAAGTCTTTTATCGCACCTGTGTCCCTTATCTCCCTGGCTCTGGCCAACATGGGCGACGCCGCTATTGTCCGCCGCGAAGCCGAAATCTGTGATCAGTACGGCACCACCAAGGCTGGCGACTACACCATCTTCAACAACCTCTGGAATCTAGCCAAAGACCCCAACGCCAAGCAGTGCACCGGTGTGGACTCGAGCCAGGGCAACACCGTCACCTGGCACACCAAGTTTTCGTGGGGTGGTGAGGCGAAGAACGAAGTCAAGAGCTTCGCTAATGCCGGGCTGAACTTCACCCCTAAGGTTCTGAGCACTGTTACCAGTATCAAGTCCGCCTGGGAATGGGAGTAAGTTTTAATCCTAGTGTCTAGGATTACATTGATTCAAAAAGATATCCCGCTAACCATCTCTGGAATAGCTACTCTACCACCGACATCATCGCTGATGTTGCGTACGACTTGTTCCTCAGTTCTACTCCTGACGGTAGTGAGGAGTACGAAATCATGGTTTGGCTTGCGGCAATGGGTGGTGCAGGCCCGATCTCGACCACTGGCCAACCTATCGCGACGGTCACTATCGGTGGCTCTGAGTGGGATGTGTCGGTCGGTCCTAACGGTCAGATGACTGTTTACAGCTTCGTCGCCAAGTCCACCGTTAAGAGCTACTCCGGTGACCTGTTGGACTTCTTCAAGTACCTTGTCAAGGACCAGGGTCTGGATAACAGCAAGTACTTGAAGACTGTACAGGCTGGCACTGAGCCTTTCATTGGTACTGCCGATTTCACTACCTCTTCTTACAGTGTTTCTGTTGTTTAAATCGGCATCCAAGTGACAGAAGAAGTGTGTGAAACTGGCCAAAGAGAAGACCACAGTGGATACTTGGAGACTGTGCTGGAGGACACTGAGCTTTTTTTGTTGGGTACATCGGCTTAAAGTATTTGAATGTAACTATCCGCGGACCCTGCCTTGGGGGTCTCGAGTTTGTGGGAGAAATAGTTAGTCAATCAATGTTTTGGAGAGTAACACCTGAGAGTGATGAGCCTAGATATAGGGTGCTTTAGCTGGAATATAAACGGACTGAGTGGTATGAAATACCACCCAAAACTCCATTTATCGATTAGATTGTCTGTTGAAATCCCCGCGTTCCGCATTTTATATTAAAGATTTTTATATCAGTGAGAATACCATACATTGCCATATAGACAGAGTTCCGTCACATACAATTATCCAAAAACCAAAAACAGAGACAAGAATTTTTAGTCTAATTCAAACCAACATCGGCAAACAGCGCTCTCAACCCCATCGTAGTCTCCTCACCATACAGGGTTCTCGTAAGATCAAAAGGTCCAAATTCAACAACTGACACCGGAGACGAGGGAGGTGTGTCATCTCTCTTACACATTGCCATGACCGGCTTCGCAGGGGTAGGGTCATCCAAGTATAAGTTTGATCCAGCCTTGTTGCTATTGATGAAAACCCGCCGGCTCATGTAAACCTCCATCAAAGCAGACGGCCGTTCCACACCAGGCAAGTTGCGAACCTTCTTCAGCAGTTTCTGGGATCTTGAGTAGATCCGCCGCTCTGTCCCATCGTCAATCCCGAGAATCAGTCTTCCATTCTTAGGTTTGCCGGCGCCGGTTCGCATGTTGTCAACCAGAGAAGGTCGGATGATTTCGTACACGTAGAACAGGTAGCCAAGATCGCGGAAGTCCTGGGGACGCTCCTTTGGAGAAAGAATGTTGTAGAAGTCATTCCAGACTTTGTCCTCGGTTCCCAGGCTCTCCAGTAGGACTTCTAGGGAGGGCATTTCAGACTGTTTCAGTGCCTGTCTGATGAAGTTTGCCACAAAATGGCCCCGCCGTGATACCTCGATGGTGATGTTAGATGGATTCACGTTTCGCTTCAGCAGCTCGACATGGAGATACCCCTGGAATACTTCAGAAATCTGGTCACTCCGTTGCTCGACTGCCTGCATCCACTGCAGAGCTTCCGCGATAGTGCAAGTCTCGTCCCGCAACTTCGAGTCGACAGACTGAAAGTAGTGGAAGTTGGGCACATCCAAGCCGATGTGCACTGGAATGTCTTCAAAATATGGGTCGCGCTCCTTGGCTTGCTCAATACTTTTGAGAGCCATGGCAGTGAAGTCAGCGAGAACCTGGCAGGTGCGGGCAATATAATCGGCTTCATAGAAGGTTGGTTTTGGATAATAAAGCTTGGTGCAATCGACTCGGCCTTCGTTGTCTAGACTTGCTTGAATGATGGGCATGGAGAAGAGACACATTCCAGATTGGATGTAGACACGATCGAACATTGCCTCGTTCTTGTTGTTGAACAGCCTGTCGTGGAAAGGCTGACCCTCTCCAGCAAAATGAAGGTAGTGGTACGAAGTAAAGGGGTCGTGACGGAATTGGGTCTTTTGGAAGCTAGTGATGCCCTCCAGGATTCGGGCATGACCCTCACAGGGGGGTCCACCAACTAGTGCCGTGTCGGTAATTTTCAGATTCATATCAGAGCCCTCTCCGCTGTTTAACAGCTTGGCAGCCTTGACTGCCATCTTGTGGCCCTTGACCATAGCTTTCTGGTCGTGCTTGGGTAAGTCACACCCAACACGAGCCTGCTCGTTTTCGGGAAGCACACCATGACGCATGTAGAAGCCCTCAATTTCAGAGTTCTTCTCACGAGTGCAACACTCAAAATCATGGAAGGAGACAGAGACAGGTCCATTATCTTGGGCCCGGAGATCAGCAAGCAGCATGGAGGAAGACATGACGGGATTGGAGAATATTGATAGCTTGAGAAAGAGCGGAGAGTAATTGACACTTTTTTCCTTGAACTGCGCTGTCTAATAATGCAAAGAGACATTTAAATAGCACGGGCCGGATTGGTCGAATGGCAATATTTGCCTTTAAAGGTAGTGCCGCCGTCGGTGCTAGATGCAAAGGATATATCACAATTCCACAACACCTTGATAGATGTACTTATTGAGAGAATTTTCAGCTGATGTGGATCTACACAAAGTAAGGATGATCTAGTGATTGATCTGTCGCGAACATCGGAATACTAAAGAGCCTTTTGGCTGATAATAACAATGTGCTAACCTCAGCTGGTTTATCATTAACCACTCGGGTTTGTCGCTGTCCAATATTCTCAGGTTCGAATCGTGTGAGATTGTTTGACTTGCAACATGCTTGCTTTGAGGTTCTTAATTCGTCCTTCGCCTCTACATCTTCTAGGTAAGAGCAAATCTGACCAAGCTGAGCCAAGTCTAACCAAGATATAGGGCTCAGAGGGCATCGGGCCTTTGGTAGCAGTGCTAGCACTTCTGCAGTTCCTCATTTATATGCCAATGAGCCAATGGAATCGCAGAATACTCAACATGTCCAACAAGTCGATCGTCATTTGAAGGATAGCGGCTTTCTCAAAATCAGCCTCAAATTTGACGATGATGAATGCAACTACCTGCAACAGCTGATCCTACAATTGCATAAGAATCATGCACATGGTCTCCCAATTACCCACAGTAGCTCCAAAGGCTGGCTGTGGGATGTGAGACCTTTACCAGCTGCATTAGCCAATGCCACCACCAACCAAGCGCGCTCAGAAACGATGAGCAATTTCCCCTGGCACACGGACTGCAGCTATGAGGATTCACCCCCTCGCTATTTTGCCCTGCAGGTGCTTCGCGAAGATCGATGTGGTGGCGGTACACTTTCAGTCTTGGACTCAGCCCGCCTTATGTCCTTGCTGTCTCCCCAAAACTCATCTCACCCTTGCCCAACCAGAGTTCCGCATTACGGTGCCACCCGAGTTCATCAAAGATGAAAATAAGACCCACATCACTGGAAACGTGGTCTGGGTGGATAAAAACATGGGCAAGGTCCACCTACGTCTCCGAAGTGATACTATTGAACCGCTGACGACGCGTGCCGAGTCAGCACTTGAGGAGCTACGGAAGGTGTTGGCTAGCACTGAGATCAATGCACAGGTGGTGTATCTTACGCCTGAGATCTCACCCCGTGGATCGATTGTCATGATAGACAATCGACGATGGCTCCATGCGCGGAATGTTGTTCGTGATCCCAGTCGACACCTGCGTCGTGTCCGATGGGACGTGCAGCCTTTTGGTGAAATGTGATTTGTAGGCGTGTATTCTTTGGATGTGTAACAGACTTTCACTATGATCTCCACGGCGATCTTAATATGAATCTTCATACTATATATGGTGTACGGAGTACTCCGTACTACCACATGAACTGTCATGGCATTGCCGAAAAGGGACGCTAATGCACGCCACGAACCTTGTTTCTAATTCTAGTATTGATTAGTAATTACTTTTTTTTCTGTATTTAATTGTATTGCTTTATTGTTGGCGGTTTGAGATGTATCAGTTATTCAGCTCGAGGATCAGCAATGTATTTGAATACAACATACGAGCTACTAAATACGACGGAAAAATGGCGGGAGTCATAAGTTATTGTACATCCTAGCTAGCGTCTTGTAAATTGTAACTGAGCTAGGCAGATAGGTAGACCTCGATACTGAATGAATTGAATTCTGTATAATAAATTTATCACCTCGAAGTAGTTACGCAGTCCGAAGTAGCGAATTGATCTGTAAGTGATAGCCGCCAGATATGTAGGTGGCTACCTGAGATTAAGGCCATGAAGCCCAACCATGCATATACTTCCTTTTCCGGTTTTTCTAGAGTTCAGCTTGTCTCAGTTCTTCAGCTCCTTGCACAGTGAAAATTGGGGATACCCACTTACTTGTTAGATGTAACACAAACCATGATGAGGATCTAATACCAGATCTCTCGAGATCTTCAGTCACACAATACATATGCACGCCCCACTGTTCGTGTTCAGATGTATTTACTGGGAAGCTTCAGCCAGTCCTTCACAAAATCTGAGCCCTTACGGTCTTATGCGCATAATTCATTGGATTTCCCGCCAAAATGGCACGGGAAAGCTGAGCACATGTATATTATTTTACGCTGAGCCCACGACCCCGCTCAGTGATGGTGTTGGATAGTGCATGGAATTAGAAAGAGCTAAAGCAATAAACCAGCAACCCCACATGCCCTTGCATCCGTCTATGATGTGATCCACAGCTACCGTGATATAGGCTGGGGTAGCGATAAAAAAGAAAAGGGCGCTATGGAAAACCAGCCGTGAAATAAAAATAAATCCCAATTCTAATACATCGTTCTCATCATACTGCATGACCCGCCATGCAGCTGATATACTTCTAATAAGTGTCAAAGCCACAGTCCACAACGATCTGTAGGTACTTACCTACCCAGTTGCATTAGGGCGCTCTGGATTCTTATTTAGAACGATTAAGCTGCAGACCGAGGCTGCTCAACTTTTGTTCGGGAAGCTACCCTGAAGAAGTATCCTCGAACTGACTTTGTTCAACATGTCCAAGATGCGTTCGCTGGTTGACTTGTCGGAGCAAGTGCCTTTATTATTGGCAACCACCAAACTGCGTCTTAGCAACCTCCACCTAGATGATTTGTACGACTTTTTCAATGTGCAACTATTCACCACCATTGCGTTAGGCTTTGTCGCCTATCGCATTGGACTTGTGATTTACCGCCTGTACTTCCATCCTTTGGCTCATTTCCCTGGTCCCAAACTGGCCGCCGCCACAACACTATACCGGGCATACTGGCAAGTCTGGCAAGATGGAGAGCACGTCGCGCAATTTACTAGACTTCATGACCAGTATGGTAGGTTGTCATTTATGACATGGGCTTTCAAATCCAGCTTGCTGACAGAAAAAATTAGGTCCGGTCGTTCGTGTCACCCCCCATACTGTATGAAAACCAGGATCAGAATTCTCTTTAGTCTCGCTAATGAAACTAGGTCCATTTCCGCAACCCTCAAGCTTTTGAGGATATCTTCAAGTTTAACAGCAAACTCACCAAGGCCGAAGATTTCTATGACCATCTTGGTCAAGGCGATGCCCTTTTCGGTCTAATCGACGAAGCTGCTCATAAGCAGCGATTCAAGCCCGCTGCCGATTTATTCTCTCGCAAAAAGGCTATGGAATTTGAGTCATTCATCGTTAAAGAAGTATGGGGTTTCCAAATTCTCTCAGGTTTCATTTGGTATACTGACAGCTACAGTCTGAGCGCTTCAGTAATTTGCTGATGAGCAGAATTGCCCGCGACCCACGACCTGTCAACATTGCCCGTGCCTACAGAGCTGTTGCATTGGACGTCATTCAAGACTTTACTTTCGATTTTGTACCACACCACCTGCGAGGCTTGCAAGATGACAGTTTCCACTCGATTTACACGCACACCACGTGGGATGTTATGGACTGGACAGCCTATTGCTTCAGAAACTGGCCTCTGGCACTTACTTTCTCCAACCAACTTCCCCAATGGCTCCGCAGGTACATGTTCCCTGGTGAGGCCGCTAACATTGAATCTTTTGACGTATGTTGATGCTTCTACCTGTACAGCTTTTCACTGCTAATATTGTTAGACCATTCAACAACTCGTAAAGGACAACAAAGCTGTAGGCCCAAATTGGTCCCGAGACAGTCTGCTCAGCCGTATGGCCGACAAGACCACCATCGAACAATTGACATCCGAGTGCCAAGGAACCATGTTTGGCGGTGTCATCAACATGGCCAATATGCTTCCTTATGGCGCTTTCTGTGTTAGTCAAGATCCCGCGCTGCAGGAAAGTTTGTTCCGCGAACTGGAAGCCATTTGGCCAGACCCGAATACCCCGGCCCCATCATTTGATGAGCTATCACAGCTTCCAATCCTCAAGGGGGTCATTCAGGAGAGCTTGCGCCTTATGCATGGTATCATCGTCGGCCCGCCCCGTCTGACCCCTGCTCAGGGGGCAGTTATTGATGGCTACCCCGTCCCTGGCAATGTAAGTTACCAATTTTATGCAAAATTTTCACTACATACTAATCCATTCCAGACGATCGTCGGCACCTCATCCCTTTACGTACACACGAACCCTGCAGTCTTCCCTGACCCTGAGAAGTTCAACCCGAGTCGCTGGAATAACCCAACTCCCGAAATGGAGAGATCAGTGGTTCCGTTCTCCAAAGGAAAAAGAATGTGCCCTGGAAAGCAGATTTCTATTATGGAGCTTTTCATCGTCCAGGCGTACACTTTCCGCAAGTTCCACCTCGTTCCATATAACACTACGTAAGTTCCATGAATCAGCCAATTTATGAAGATACTAACAAGAATGCAGGTTCGAGGACTTCAAGTGGAAAGTCTACGTATCATTGCATTTCAAAGGCCGCTTCTTCCGGGCTCACATGACTCCTCGTCCGGGTGTGAAAATGGGGGCTCTTTGAATCATTAAGGCAGTTGGGAGGTCGATTGTACAAAGCATCAATGAAGACATCAGGTTATATACAACGTAATGAAATGGGCCGGTAAGAGGAAACTCGGATACAATCAGCGGAACAGAATGATAAATGAATTGTTTTTTCAATGGGCATGTTTGACTCTCAATAGCCAATTCGTAAGTACGGCAGAACTCAATTGGATAAAGGTACCATTACTACATGTATTACTGCACTGCAGCCCTACGGATCTTAGTACTGCGTAAATCAGCTCTAGATAAGGGGTTTCTGAAGATCAAGGCCGAGATCCAGTCAGCCATTTTCTCCATTAGAGCTAACGTTCTAAGGTGCTGCGTATCCGAAAGAGATTAATATGTATTGCTTGTAGACCTTCTAGAGATAATATACATTATGAAATATATATTTCGCCCTCACCACTAGGGATTAATTGTTGCTGTCACCATTCTGCTCCCCGCTTTCCCTCTTGTTCGCTTTGAGTCCATAGTCTTCAATAAACAAACAAGCACAGAGATACACCGCTATCAATGCAGAATAGGAAAGGAACACTCCATGGATACCATCCATATAGCTGTTTGATATCATTTGTACCTGCTCCTCTGAAAGGTTCAGGTCTTTCAAGGCGAATACAGAGGAGGTTAGTTGTGCGATGAGGCCAGGACTGAGTTTAGTTGCTAGCTGGCTGGATAGTATGTTGCTAATAATAGCACCCGATACTTCAAGAAATTAGGAGTTTTACTAACTTAACAAGGGGCAACTTCTTACCTGTCGTGCCAACAGCCCCTCCCATGTCACGAATGAAGTTGCGCAACCCAGTCAACACAGCGCGGTCTTTGCTATCGGAGCCTGCGAATAGTCCAATGAGAACTAGGGTATGTCAGTTATGGTCAGAACATTGACGCAAGGACGAGAAAGTCATACCTGGTTGCAACGAGCATCCAACACCTACTCCATCAAAGACACAAACGATCATGAACAACCACATCGGAGTGTGTAGACTATAGTGCAGTTTGACTACAGCAGCGATAACCCATGACACCGCACCGGTGACGATGACGACCTTATAACGCCCACATGCTGAGATGATAATTCCCGTCAGAGCAGATGTCAAGCCATGAGCAACCACCATGGGCAGAATGAAAAGTCCAGCCTGACCTGGGCTATAAGAGCGAATGTTCTGTAGATACAGTGGCGTAATGAAGAGATTACCCCAGAAGATCCAACCGATAAGAATATTGCTCAGGATCAGAATGTTCGTAGAGCGACCGTATCCAAACAGATGCTTTGGCAACATAGGTAGCTTTGCCCAATGGAACTCAACGACGAAGAACATGCTGAATAGAACCGCACTAGCAACCAGCATAGCTATCAATATGGGCGAATCCCAGGCAAGGCCAGATCCTCCCTGCGAAACGGGAATCAGGAACAAACTAATCGCAGCCAGACTAAGCCATGCTCCGGGCCAGTCAACTAATTTCAACCTATCAAAGGTCTTCTCGGAAGAAGAGGTATTCTTCGAAGGAGGCCAGACGAGAAGAAGATAGATAACCGCGACCGCACACAGTGGACACACAAACCAAAACGACCATTGCCAACCCACTGCCTCGGTCAATATTCCACCGATCACAGGCCCAAGTCCATTTCCAAATGCAACAGCCATGCCAATTATACCAAAATAATAGCCGCGCTGCTCAAGAGTGGTAATATCCGCGATCGCGATTTGTACCAGGGCATTAATAGCACCAGCTCCAAGACCGGTAAAGGCACGAGAAGCAAACAATTGCACGGGCGTCTGACAGAAGCCTGAGAACAGGTTTCCAATGCCCATGATTGTCAACGCGGTCGCAAGACAGAGCTTTCGCCCAAAAATATCGGACAATCGGCCATTGATGAGTTGGATACTGGTGCTAGTGATGAGGAAGCTGGCTCCGACAAGAGAGATCGAGGCTCCGGTGTTAAGTGCTGATGAGATGGCCGGTAGACTTGTTGCAATTGCTGTTTGATCGAGGAATGAGGTGAATTGTATCAATGCCAAAGCTGGGAAAATGACCAATAGTCGATGTTGAGGTAGATGGTGGGTTTGGTTTTGAAGGAGGGGAGTGCTTTCGTCCATCTCGAATAGGATTCCCTAAACAATGAGGAAATTAGGAAATGGAAAAGAAAATAATACATCAATGATGGGATGCAGCTAATATGTTTTACAAAGATATATCGAATCTCAGCTCCACTTGGTGCAGATCGACACAGCCGCAGCTGCACGGAGTTGTGTCTTACCCCCCTTGGAATATGCAGCTTCTAAATAGCCATACAGAGTTTTCCATACTAGTCTCATGCAATGTCGATCGGCAATTTCTAGGTGACATTAAATGGGGGGCAATGGCGAACTTGCATCGGACTTTTCTTCCATATCTTGTCCATACTTCTCTACCACCATGACGAATGGTAGTGATGGCCTAGGTTACAAATGGCGTTCCTCGAAAATTTTCATCATCTCCACTGTGACAGTCGGTCTCTTTTGTGGTATGTCAACCTTGATTTTCTCCTGACCTTACTGACCCCAATCAAGAGGCCTTTCTGTATGCGTTCATCGTACCAATCCTGGCTTACATGGTCGAGACCCGCCTCAAACAAGATCCGTCTCGTATACAGGGTCTCACCGCGGAGCTTTTGTCTCTCCATGGGTTTGTTGCTATGATATCCGCTCCAGTCATTGCCCATCTTGCAGACAAAGTACCGAACAGAAAAGTTCCATTATTAATGGCGATTTCCGTGAGCCTCGTGGGAACACTTCTGGTTGCCTGGTGCCCATCTGGTGAGTACGGCTATATTTACAAAGAACGCATCACTGACATACAAACTGTTAGTTTACGTACTTTTTGCGGGACGGGTAATTCAGGGCATCTCCGGATCGGCAACATGGATTATCGGATTCACAACGTTGGCCGACAACATCGACAGGCAAAAGTTTGGGAGCGTCATGGGGACAGTCACATCATTTATCCAGGCCGGTATTACTACTGGGCCGGCCATATCTGGGGCACTACTTGAGCTGAGTGGCTATTGGCAAGCATGGTCCGTTCCTCTTACGTTGCTCAGCCTGGACTTCGGTGCCCGTCTGCTTATGATCGATTGCAATGAGATAGACACTTCTGACTCGACTGAACGATTGCTACCGTCAAAGAAAGATGATACTCTCACTCCGGATTCTCATTCCTCCAACTCCAAAACACAGACAGCAGAGTCCGAGCCCACAGTCGAGTACAAAGCATCTCGTAACTTTTATTCCACCATCTTAACTGACCCCCGAACTTTGACTGGGCTTCTCAACACATTGGTGTTCTCTCTTATTCTTTCTGCCTTTGACACCACTTTACCAACTCAACTCCGCACTGCCTTTGGATGGGGTAGCTTACGCGTAGGGTCCGCACTCCTCGCCTTGCAAATTCCTCCACTCTTCTTGAACCCCATCGCGGGGTGGATGCGTGACCGATTCGACTTGCGACATCTCACATTTGCTGGATGGTGTCTCCTTGGTATTTTGTTGTGGCTGCTTGGGGTCGTGGCATCAGACCACTCTCTATCTGTCAGCCCTAGAACAGATACATTACCGATTTTATTCGCCACCATTTTGGGTATCGGCGTTGCTTCCAGTTTTGTGCGTGGGGCAGATGCACTTCAGTTGGTTGGTAAGCTTATTTCCTGTTCGATCTTCCATTGTTCTCGTGCTAACTGATCATAGTTGTGACTGAGCAAATGCAGGCCGAGAATCCCAATGCTTTTGGACCCCATGGTTCCCAATCCAGGGTATTTTCCATAATTGAAATAGCATTCAATCTTGGCCTCATAATAGGTCCCTTGCTATCTGGCATGGTTGTGCAAATAATTGGATTTCATTACATGAATTGTATATTAGGTGAGTTTCAGTACTTCCTCCGTCTAGATGAAGCTTGGCATGGGAACTAATTAAGTCTAACAATTTCCCAGCATCTCTTTCTATTGTTCTTGGTGTTCTATCTCTATTCTATCTCGTCCCAAAACAAACAGATACCGCTGATTCCCCGCGAGTTTGAGCAAAAGATGGATATATTTTGGATTAATCATTAATCTTTTGCGAGCTAGTCGGCATCAGCAATTCAACATTCATTTACTACCTACCCACTTGAGCCCAAAAGTCCTTAAAATAGCATGTCTAAGCTCCCTATTGGAGATTAGTTGTGCGCAAGATGTGAAATCACGAGCAAATTCGGATGTGCCGGAGGTGGCGTTGAGCTTAAATATCATGGCCCGCAGCTTTCTGTAGGTATACTGTAGGTATACTTGCATGGCATTCCCCCTACGGAGTACTGTCAGTTCTAAGTATGAAATTGTGACGATCGCATATCACACTTTCTCTAGTCCAGCAATATGGATCCCGTGGGTCACAGTGCATAAAAGATTTCTCAGCTTTGACTCGTCTCCTGCATCTAGTGAGCTGAATCACTGGACAGGCGTCATATCAAGCCACACAAGATGACAATAACACCCTTGTATATGCATGCGCGAGTGCCTTTCAGCTCCGGCGGGGGCACTCTTATTGTACTCCGTACGGAGTAATATACTCAGCTTATGCCAAGAAATGTGTAACAGTGTGATTGGGAAGATGCTCTCTGATATGATACATCAGATTTATATGTCATGCTGCTATGCTCTAGAAACATACATGTCTTGAAACTGGCCTTGTGGCGAGTCAAACAATTTATACGCTACATGTTAACCTCGAACTTAAAGGAACCCATACTGTCCCAAAAGATTTCATACAAAAATCTTCTTTCTCAATTCTCAATTTTCAAGATGACTGTGGAAGGCCTTGAACCCGCCGATATTCCTGTGGTAGACATGTCTCTACTCCAGGGAACACCTGAAGAGGAGCGTGGCGCTCTTAAACTGTTAGACAGCGCTTTCCAATCATGCGGATTTGCCTATATCTCCAACCACGGGATATCTGAAGAGTTTTTGAACGAAGCCAGAAGCTATGTAAGTTCCCTTCATATATCTTGAAGCCCTCTTTTGATCAGCTCCCTTGCTTGGTTCACTACTAACAGCATTGCCGGTAGTGCAAGAAATTCTTTGACCTACCGATTGACGTGAAACTTTCCATCCTCCACCCACCTGATGGCGTCGAGGACCATCGTGGATTTGTGCCTGATGGCTTGACATACATCAGCCAACTTGTATTCGATGATGCAACTGTACAAGAACTCCGCAGGACCGCCCCCGAGAAAAAACAAGGTCTAGAAATAGGAAACCCACACACCGAAGAAGTCGGTGAAGATATACCCAAGAACCGTCTGCCCACAGAAGAAGAGCTTCCTGGTTTGCGCGCCTTTATCGAGAAATGGTGGGATGCCATGACCAACCTCAACCACACCATTCTCCGTTTCTGTAGCAAAGCCTTGGAGCTGCCAGACGAGAACTACCTTTCTCGTTCACAAACACGCAATCTTTGCCATATGTCTTGGAACCACTTTCCTCAAATGCCCATGAATCTGCTTGAAGACGGATCATTCCGCCGACTCAATGCACACACCGACTTTGGTCAAATTACCCTACTATTCCCCGATCCGGTAGGAGGCTTGCAAGTAAATGATGGAAAAGTGTTCCGTCCAGTTGCCTTTAAGCCAAATACGATGGTTATCAACGTCGGAGATTTGATGGAGCGTCAGACCAATGGCCGGTGGAAGAGTTCGTTACATCGAGTTGTCGCACCTGAAGAAAAGGTAGGGCGAATCGACGACGCCACCGGTGTGTATGCTGCGGAGCGATATTCAATGGTTTATTTCGGCTCACCAGACCCCGAGAGTATGGTGAAGACTTTACCCGGTTGTGATGTGAAGGGTCGGTGGGAGCCTAGTGTTGTCCAAGCTGGTATGCACGAGGTTACCTGCGAGGAATGGATCCGAAAGCGTGTGACAGCAGAGTTCCTTAATCCCGATGCCAAGGCTTAGGTGTGAGGACTATTAGCCTCCAGGATGTCGTGAATGGATGTTCGCTCATGAATTGTTGGGCACATGCACGCTCAGCCAGCCACAAAAAGGCAGCAATGCATGGTATGAGAAAGACCTACATCGTACTCTATATTTAGAATCAAACACCTATGGATTTATCACAACATGATCATAAGACTACCGTTTGTATTCTGTTGAAACTATACTTGAGAAAAAGATAACAGTATTTGTTCAGGCTATAGGTTGACACTGTCTACTAATCTACATAATGGTCGCTTTTCCTTGTTTCTACAATTTTTTTTTCCTTGTCTAGCAGCTGGTCTTTAGGTATGCCTTATTACATTACTAGTGGACAATGAGATCTAATAGACAAGCGTTCAAAATTATAAAAATAACTGCAATGAAGAACTGGTCACTAACTTACTATACAGGCTTCAACTTCCGATCGGAATTTCTAAAGTAGTTAGCATCCATCAAACTTTCTCTACTGACTCTGCAATATGCTCGCTGCATTGTCCACCTTATCAGCTAGAATTTCACACCACCGCTACTCAAGTCAGTAAAGGGCAAATGGAAATGGACGGGAATTATACTAACCTCGACATTTGTCCAATTCCCCGCGCTCAAACTATCGCCCAGTCCCGGAAATACTAGTGAATTTGCATACCACGCTCCAGGTCTATACAGCACATGATGAAAGTAAGGATTACCATCAATGAGAGCGGGTAGGTTGTCATCCTGATCAATATCGTAGTAGAAAGCCCTTTCGATCCCCATGTACTTCTTGTTCGCAGCACTGTAAGCGGCTTCAAGTCCACAATCAGACCAGAAATTCCACCAGGGACATTCATACGCTGTGAGGGATGCAGTATCGGTGTCAAATTGTTTTGCAGCTTGCGATAGTCGGCCAACAGCATCATACAGTACAGTTGAATCAATCTGGGGCAACGAATCGTTCGCAAACAGATTGTCCAACCATTCTCTCAAAGCCACAGCGTAATCAGAAGCATGCATCTGCAGTACGCGTGCTTCAGCTAGGCGGGCCGCCATGAGAGACCAGATCTTTGCCATGGTGACATGATGTTGCCAACCCGGATCTCCAATTCGATCCATCCAGTCATGAGTATCAAAACCAGAGTGGTAGGTAAATGGGCTATCACCTATGCCTGGTATAAATCCCATGTCCAGGGTCGATATACATGCAGATCCTGAGAAATAAATGGCATCGCCACCTCCTGGCGGGTTTATTTTTTTGTCCCAGACGTCGAACACGGTTTTACCTGGCTCGTCAGGAGATTCCACCCGCTGTGTTGCATCCTTTATCGCACCATGCAGTAGAGGGCTAGCATTTACGTGGAGAGTGCGGCCTCCAGCTGCAACCACGACGTTGAGGTAAGCTACTGCAGTCGCATTTACCCAGGGCATGTTCGCCTGTATCCAAGCTAAGGAGCCAACCTGCCCAAACTCCTCGCCTTCCCAGCTAGCCAACATAAGGGTGCGGTGTGGTCGCCAGCCTTTACGGACTGCGACGCCGAAGCTACGAATAACTTCGTTGAGGGCTGCTGATCCGCTTCCTGGATCCCCAGCGCCAGGGCCCCAGGCGTCACGATGATTGCCAAGGATAACAACTTCATCTGCGACTTCACCTGGAATGGTGGCGATCACATTATGCACTTGACCTGGGTTGATCTCTGCATGGGTGATAAGATTGATATAAACGTTGTCGGGCGATGGGCCAACGTTATAGTGCACACCGCGGTATTCTAAGCCACCACCATGCCATCGCTCGTCGAAATCGGAGGCCAATGGGCCGTGTCCATTCAAGGCAGTGAGGAGAGGAATAGCGTCGGCGTAGGATATTGGGATACACGGTATAGTTGGCAGATAGCCGTTTTTGAATGCATCTATGGAAGGTCAGAAACTGTTTTAAATCAACACATCCATACCTAGGTAAGATTGCACTTACAGATATCGCCAATAGTACCGCGCTCTATCAAAGTTGGCGGTCGGGCAGGGCCATTGGGAAAAGGCTCGTATCCATTTGAATCAGTGATTGGCCCATCGTTCTGGGGATCGGGATAGACGAGCACACCTGCCACGCCTCTTCTCGCACAGTTATTGATCTGCTCACCTCGGAAGATGTTAATTCCACGCTCACGTAGATATGGCGACACATCGGCAAGCTTTAAAACTGCGATCTTGCCCTCCACGCTAATATTAGCCCGTGCGAGAGCCTCAAAGTCTTCCTCGCCACCAAAGTTGGCGAACACGTAGGAAGCGCTAATATTGCCATTCGTGGAAAATGAGAAAAATGCGGGTGCGAAGTCTTGTTGGTCGTCGCCGTCGACCAAGGGGGCCTCATACAACACGTTTGAGTCTTGGAAAAGGGCCACGCGCTGCGGTCCGATCACAGTTGGCAACTCGGTATCAAATGAAAGAATTTGGGTGTCAGAAAGACCGAATTCTTTCCATTTTTCTTGGGTCCATTGCGCCTGTTGAAGGCCTTGCCCAGGAAGATGGGTGCCAGTAGTATAGAAAGCACTCCAATTGCGAGCGTGCTCGGCAGAGGGGACGGAAAGAAGTGTTTGATCCAAGTTAAAGTCAACTCCATCCTTAAATTGTTGGGAGGTATAATAAAGGACGGCCGGACCAAGGAAAAGAAGAGGCCATTTGGGAGACGGCCTTCGCCTTGGCTGTTCAGTGTGTAATTTCATAATAAGAAAGGAACATGACAAAGGCAAGTACAGAGAAGAAGGCAATTTTCTCTTTCAAATATAGGTAATGAAATAAATAAGTCCACTACATGGACGGCAGCAGTACAACATACTCCGTACGGAGTAGGGAGTAGTCCCTCGCAGATCGCGATCGGCTCTGCAAGCTGCGTTCACTAATATTTCAAGGGAGATGATCTATCTGATCTATCAACTGCTACCTCAGCCAGCCACGCTACAATGTATTCGGAATGACATTTGTATATTAACTTTATCCTATACAACATAGTGGATGTATATTTACTTTATGCTATAGTGGACGGCAATGAAAAACAGGAAGCCTTTCGATACATCACACGCCCCGAGACGGGAACGAGCTCTATTGTATAGGCCCTGCAATACTTTAATCCCTCCAAAAATGGCCAGATATATTTCTGTTAATATATGCCAAGGATACTCAGTACTAGTTGCAAATCCTGTGTACAAGATGCGCTGAAATATTCAATTGTCATGTTGCTACCAAAGTATTCTTATATATATTCTACCTACACTAATGCTGCTCGGAGGAGACGCTCCATCTCTCGGAGCGACTCAGGTTTAGAAGTGACACTAGACATCAGGTAAAGGACGTTTCCGAGGACGCGGGAGTGAACATTGAAGTTATCGCCGCCAACAGCCAACTTCTGCTGCAGTCCCTTCGCAGCATTGGAGTTGTAACCTGCGATATTGTTAGCTTGATCAATGCAGAAAATCAGGTCTCAAGCACATACCCCCACCAGCTGCATCACGCAGTGAAATACTAAGCACGGTTCCAATGGCAAACACGCTTTCCACCGAGTTCGTGGAAGACAAGTCCTGGAGCAGACCATGTGACCAGACACTCCACACATCAGGAGTTGAAGCTTCAGCAGTAGCAGGTGAGTTGCTACGCCAGTCAGCACGGTATGCATCCCACGATCCATCAGTATCAAGCTTGGCCATGGTCTTCAAGGAGTCCACAGCAACTGTGCATCCAACTGCATGGGCAGTGTAACTGTGGCCATGGAGGAGGGCATCGCTCTTCTCTGGACTCGAGAAAGCATTGAAAATTTCCTCGCTAGCGACAGTCGTGCAGAGAGGTACCAGCCCACCTGTGAGGAGTTTGGCGTTGACGGCGACATCAGGGTGTACGCCTAAGAAAGATGCGGATGTCCGACGACCGAGACGGTATAGTCCAGTGAAGACTTCGTCGAAGATAACTGGCAGCCCTGACCAGGACGGAGATTCTTTGGGAGCAGAAGCGCTGGTGGAGAACAACTCTGGGTGGTCGCGAACCACATCGGTCAGACATCTCTGGAAGAGGGGGTCACTAGAATGATATAGTAGTTAGTTCATCTGCAGATGAAAAATTTTGGTACTAGATTCCTACCAGAAAAGCATTCCACCCGCACCGAGGATGACAGGTTCCAGGATCAATGCTCCAAACTTCACTCCTTGTCGCTTGACGAGATCCTCAATAGTGCAATGGATGTAGTCCTTATAACGCTGAGCAGTGGCAGACTCAAGACGCTGGTTGAGGTCAAAGACCGATCCCAATGAAGCGAAATCAATATCCTCGCCGAGTTCTGCTTGTAGTTCGCCGGGGATCTCAACTTTCCAAGATCCGCCAACCATCTTGACAAGTGGGAAATCAAACCAGTGGCCACGGCCACGATACCACTCGACCTTCTTATTGAATATTGAAGGTTCCGAGCAGTCCATCACACCGATAGTGTCACCGTGGTAGCTACCCTTAAGTCCAAGGATACCAATTTGCTCCTGGCTGGCATCCCAGCCGTATCGGTCGCAAGAAGCGCGTAGGCCCATCTTCACGGCTACTTCCATCCCCGTGCTACCATTGTCTGTGTAGAAGACCTTGGTAAGCCTTGGGTTTTCAAGCGTTTTCAATAAATCATCCGCAAGCGCCAGTGCTGGCTCATGAACGGCCCCCGCAAACATGACATGTCCATACCGACCGGCGGCATAGGCAGCAGATAGTGACAGCTCAGGGTTACCATGGCCCAAGCCTTGAGTCCACCAGGACGCAGACCCATCGAATGTCGGGCGCAGTTCACTTTGAGTATCTTTGGATGTTTTTGAGCCGAATGTTTGGAAATAGTCATCATACGCTGAGTCGATGACGGTAATGTCCTTAGCCTGCATGCCTTGGTGCTGGGTAAAGGGGTACCATATGAGCTCTTTGGCACGGTCGGCCATCTCTTCGAGACGTTCGACGCGCTCATTATTGCGGATGGACATGTCTTCAAGCAGTCGAAGGACCTCTGACTCCTTCGCGGACTTTTGGTAATAGCTGAGCATGGCCTCCTCGTCCCTTAATTGGGAGTTGGCATCCACCTGCGATGGCCGGGCTGGAGGTGCTGGGAGCGATACCATAGGAATACTCTTTTTCTGGAAGTAATCACGCAGGTATTCATGATTTTGGTAGTACTCATCTCGGAACAAGAGAACCGATGAGACATCATAACCACGAAGGAGCAACGACTCGTAGGCAGAGATCGAAGAAGAGATTCCCCCTAAACGAGAGTCTGCCACCAACACGATTGGCAGCCGAAGTGGTCGATATAAATCTGCCTGGGAATTGCCATTGGGGCCAGGGGAGTGCACGCCCCCGGCAGTCTCAACAAGGGCGAAGTCAATGTCAGACCGCGCCCAGTCGGATAGTGTGTTATGTATGGATGCGAGGAGATCATCATCTCGCGGAACCTGCACAATGAGCTTTGTGTCTTTTGAATTAGGAGAGGCACATACAAATTTATCCTTTGCTGCCAAATGCGGGCTCACTGGATCATCGAATTGGTAGAGACATTTGGTGAGCGTCCCGGCGCCATAACGTTTCAAGTGCCTATGGCCGGTCAGCAATTGAATTAAATTTAAAAATGAAAATATTCTTTTACCGATCATCGGCGTCATTCAGTGCCCCTGTAGACACGGGCTTGAGAAATGCGGCCTGTTGTTTCTGGCGTTGGGCGGCATTACACAACACCGTGGAGACGATTGTTTTCCCCACGTCCGTGTTAGCTCCATATACTTGATGAGCTCGTAAACTGCGCCAGAGTGCTGCACCGACAGGCATGATGAAAGATGAAGTGAGTCACGATGAAGTCCAAAAGAGACCTCGGGACAAGTTGAGTTTTGACTCCACGCCAAAAATCTCCACATTTTCTGCAATTCACCGAATTATCCCTGTTGGGGTTTCTCAACGACTTGTATTTATTTGCTTTTGTGTCAATCTCACTAAAATGTATTGCGAATAACCAGGAACAGGAAGAAGAACAAGTGAATTGATATGAAAGTCGATATGGCTACTCCATCGACATTAAGGACCAAAACCCTCATTGACTCGCTTTCCGCCGCATTATCGCACCGGGAAGCCAAATCTGCCCGTCGGAGACTGACTGTTTTGCCCCAAACAGCGGTGGATTTCTCTTCTAATGATTTCTTATCTCTGTCAACATCTTCTGCCTACCGAGAACGTTTTCTGGGACTTTTAAACAATACACCACCATCATTCCCGCTTGCCAGCGGGGGATCTCGGCTATTAGACGGGAATTCGGCGTACGCGGAAGAGCTCGAGAACTTTGTCGCAACATTCCATCAAGCCCCGACAGCTCTTCTATTTAACTCCGGATATGACGCCAATGTCGGCGTATTATCTAGCCTCCCCCAACCAGGCGATGTGATTTTGTACGATGAGCTCATTCACGCCAGTGCCCATGAGGGCATGCGTTTGTCGCGGGCCGGTTCTCGGAAGATGTTTGCTCATAGTTCGCCAATTGGCCTGAGAGAGGTTTTACGATCGCAAATAGCTGAAGATCCAGCAATTGCTCAAGGCACGCGCAATGTATTCGTGCTCATTGAATCCATCTACAGCATGGATGGCGATGTTGCTCCCATCAAGGAGTTTATCGCGGTCGTTGATGAGCTGCTACCTCACGGTAATGGATATTTCTATGTCGATGAGGCGCATGCGACTGGTGTATTTGGCCCGCGAGGTGCTGGTGTGGTTCAAGAGCTTGGCGTTCAGGATCGCATCTTCATCCGAGTACACACATTCGGCAAGGCACTAGCGAGTCACGGAGGTATGTTGTCTTGGCTGGTCTGATCCCCCCCTGGAATTCCCGACTGACATTTATACAGCTATGGTTCTATGTGGACCGGAGACAAGGGATTACCTGATTAACTATGCCCGGAGTTTGATCTATACCACCGCTCTGGGATTCCCCTTCCTAGCATCGATTCGCGCAGCATATGAGCTCCTCTCATCAGGTGAAACTGAATCAGTGAGTAATCGTGTCTTTCCAACCCTCATACTCAATAGCTAACTAGATCTTAGTTACAATGCCGGCTTCAGGAGTTGATCCGCCATCTTCGACAACGGCTTGATGGCCTCCATACATATCAATCAGTCATGTTCGAAGTCGACCATTTCCCAACATCTCCCATTATCTCCCTTCGCACTTCACAGCCCCGACAGCTGGCGAGTGTCTGCCAGGAGAATGGGTTCATTGTTCGAGCGATCATGCCGCCGACAATTCCCGAAGGAAAGGAGCGAGTGCGAGTGTGTCTGCATGCTGGCAATACCGAGACAGAAATCGACGGTTTGACGCGGATGATTCAGTCATGGCTAGATCAAAGTCACAAAAATGCGTCCAAATTATAAAACTACGGGGATTTGATTTATGTCTGCATAGAGATCAGAGTACTCAAATTCAGGTAGGTTTCTATTTGACTCATTATATTTAGGTTCCATATATATATCGAACGGAGATGTCATTGAATAAATGTCATGAATTTCAAAATAAAATTGGTGGTATATGTCTAATGAACAAGTAATCTGTAACAAATGCAGCAGAGGATCTCAAATCATAGGTAGGCGCACGCTAGAGGATAAATGCTCATTAAAATCTAGACCACCTAGACCATAGATTGCTCCACCTTCATCTCACTGGCCTGAGTGTCAGAGCGGTCCATGGTAGTATAGCGGCTGAAATCTCTTAGAGCATGATGCTCACTACCAGGTTGGTCACCCCGAGCCGCGGCCTTTCGGTCCTGGCGACGGAAGTAAACACGCTTGCACCACTTCCAGCTCTCAATACCCAAGAAGAAAAGCACTGTCTCAACAAAGACAATACCCCACTCCCAGCTGATACTGCTATGCATGAAGACACTGTGGTTGATAACCGGGATGTAAAGGATGGGGAATGCAAGAACGAAACCAGTCATAATACCAAAGAAGAGGAACTTGTTGCGCCAAATATCATGCATCCACTGGGTATAGCGTTTCTTTGAGTTAGGCTGCATTTGGAAGAAGCTGCGACGCAAGTGCATCATCTCCCAGGCGAGGAAGAGGGCGAACCAGGTCATGCAAGTAAAGGTAGTGGCGCGAGCACGGAAAACTGTCTCGCAGTTGTAAGGCTTGTTGGGGTCGTTGTATTCTGTGTTGCAGCCCATGGCGAGATCGCCGTCTCCCCACTTGAACATAACGAGAGAGAATGCTGACAGACAGAGGCCGGCCATCCAGGCTCCGTAGACAAGGGTATCGATGATGATTTCCCAAGTGAAGATACCTTGTTTCTGTGATTTGTTAGTGAATTGAATTGTTAGGGGAGGAGGGCTTGGAAGAACTTACGCTTTGCGGTGGCCGGTCCATCACTTCTGGAGCGGCTATCTCCATTCCTAGGCCCATATCAGGAAGACCAGAGGTAACCATGATAATCCAGATGATCTCGACGGGAGAAATAGGGAAGACAGACTGGTTGCTCTCATCTTTGAAAGCCAATCCAATAAGCAGGGTGATAGCTAGAGCAACATTTTCCGCCAGAAGATGCAGAACGAATTTCTGGATGTTATCAAAAATGCGACGACCTTCTTCGATACCGTTGATGATGGAAGCAAAGTTATCATCGGACAACACTAGCTCGGAAGCATCCTTAGCCACATCAGAGCCATTCTGACCCATGGCAATACCGACATCAGCACGCTTAAGCGAGGGAGAGTCGTTAACTCCGTCACCAGTCATAGCAACAAAGCGACCACGACGATGTAAAGCATCGATCATGCGAACCTTCGTATTAGGTGCGCAGCGAGCAATAACTAACGGAAGGGTAGGGAGTTGATCAATCTCGTCTTCGGTCAGTTTATCAAACTGGGAAGCCGTCATCACCATAGCATCAGCAACGTCCTTAGCGATCATATCCATGTTCGCAGGAATGATTCCGACTTGGGCAGCAATCGCACGCGCAGTACCGGGATGGTCACCGGTAACCATATGCACAGAAATTCCAGCCTTATAGCACTGAGCAATAGCCCCGGCCGTCTCCGGGCGAGGAGGGTCGTAGAGACCGATCAACCCGTAGAAAGATAGGTCTTTCTCGACCTCCTCGCGGGGAAGAGGGTCGCCGCCTTCTTTTGCGGGGGTGGTGTTTTCGCGCCCGGCCAAAGCGAGCACACGGAGACCCTCTTTAGCCAAAGCCTCCATGTTATGCAAGATATCATCACGGATTTCATCGTCGATAGGAACAGGGTCGGAGTCAGGCTTCCACTTGATAGAAGTGCACGCCTCAAGAACACGTTCAACAGCGCCCTTAGTGAAAATCATTTCACGACTCTTCTCTGAGTTCTCATCGCGCTTCGAGAAAATAACAGACATTTTCTTCACGCTCGAGTCGAATGGATACTCGGCCTGTTGTTGCCAGACCGGCTTGTCGCCCTTGGTCCATCGATCCAGACCCCAGTTGAATCGTGAGGCGAATACCTGAATGGCAATATCGGTGGGTTCGCCGCGAGCCTGCCATCCCTCAGTTGGACTTTGGTGGAGATGAGCCAGGTTAGCCATGGCAGTGACGTTAAGGAAAGCCTTGAGTTCATCATTGTCTTTCAATAGGTCATCTGGCGACGCTACATCACCCATATCTTTTCCACCCAGCTTGATCGGAGGATCGGCCATCAGGCTCAAATCACCCTCGTGGGGGTTAAGAGGCTCATTCGAGGCACCGACTAAGTAAGTTCCCACAGATGGAATCCAAGCCCTCTTTACGACCATGCGGCCTTGGGTCAGAGTACCAGTCTTATCGGAGCAGATATTGGTGACAGCACCGAGTGCCTCCAAAGAATCCAGCTTCCGGACAATGACATGGCGCTTGACCATCTGCTTCGTTCCAACGGCCATAGTGATGGTCAGTACAACCACCAAACACGCCGGAATCATAGCCAGACCAGTCGCGACCGCATAAATGATAACCTCGCTATCACCGCGCCAGTTGTTTGAGGCAGCAACGACAATTGCAAAAACGACAGCAATAGCAAAGAGTAGAAGCGCCAGCTTAGATAGTTTCCGCTGCAAAGGTGTACCAACATTAGTACCCAGGAACCGGCCAATAGCATCAGTGGTAGTCAATGTCCAAGCCTGGATATACCATCTCTTCTTTGTTTCGCCTTCAGGTCCACGCTTAACAGGGCGACGCTTCGAGTCAGTCCCGCGAAGGGCTTGAGCGATAGCTCCAATCTCGGTTCTCATTCCGGTCCCCACGACGATACCGCGAGCACGTCCTCGTGTCACGGTTGAGGAACTGTAGGCAATGTTCAGTCTGTCGCCTGGGCCGGTGTCGACATCGAAAGTGGCATTTGCGTCTTTTTGGACTGGGAGGGACTCGCCGGTTAACAGTGCTTCATCGGTTTCGAAGTTAAATGCTTCAACGAGTCTATGAAAAGGTTAGATCGGGGTCTGTATGTGATATGCGGGGATTACGATACATACCTGACATCAGCAGGGACAGTGTCTCCAACTTTCAATTCGACCATGTCACCGGGGACGATCTCATTTGCTGGAACAGTTGCCGTCTTGCTATCACGAGTGACTACACCAGTGGGCGAGCTGAGCGAGCGCAGCGAGTCCATGGTCTTCTCTGCAGCGTAGTCCTGGTAAACACCGACGACGATGTTTAGACCGATGACAGCGGCGATGAAACCTCCTTCGATCCAGGACTTGATGCCGAAACTGACGGCCATGGCGATGATAAGGACCTATAACTTCTTAACAATAACCCCTTGGATTTTGGCTTCTGACTTACCAGCATCATGGCGTTGGCGATCTGTCGAATGACAATTTTCGCCAAGGAGACGCCTTCGTCTCCTTCGAGCATGTTCTCGCCATATTTCTCAAGGCGCTGCTTGACCTCTGCAGATGTCAAACCATCGTCGGAATTTGTTTGGAGCTCACCGATGACATCGTCAAAGGAGAGACTATGGGCGGGCTGGGAGAGAGGTTGTTGTGTAATGTCAGCAGGGCTCTGAGAGCCTGGGCCTTTTGGGGCTTCCTGTGACATCTGGCGAAGAATGAGGGTGTGGAGGTATCTCTAGTTGAGTGAATTGAGTAAATTGAATGAAAGATGTACTTCTATGAGGCTCTTAAGGTGGCATCATATGGAAGGAATCGGTAAGAGAATAAGAGTCCATACACCGGAATTACTTTTGAGTAACAGGTACACTTCTATGAAACAACCTTCTTTTTTCTTCTTCTGGGGGGATGTCTCAGAGTATAAATAAGATCAAGATCTCATCGATGGCGACCTCAGATATGACCGGCTGTTAACACCGGAAGTAATCTGATGGAAATGGCGTGCGACATCCTGGGAACCAGCATTCGTGATATTCTTAATCCAATCAGCTTCATCTACCAAATCTTAGTCTCTAGCGGGTATTTCTTGGCGCGTCATGCTCAGTTTCCCCATTGAGTTGATGACGCAAACGATTCTGGGCGCGTCTCAGCCCTCACCCACGCGACATTTCTCTGATGCTGATTGGTGCGGAGGGCTCTTGGCATTCTCTTGGCTAGACAGGTCGTCGCTGTTTGTTGCTCTGGTTTATTTCCTAATTCTTGGCATCTTGGCTCTTGGCTCTTGGTATTACTTGGCATTTCGGGGTGCGAGAGTTCCTCCGCTTCAAATCCACCCACTTCTCCAGGGCCATTTTTCTACTCTCATGAGGCGAAAACCAGATTAAATTTGATTTTTTGCCTCAAATAATGGGCCATCAATCATTATTGGAAGCACGGTGCCTGAATACATGATTGACCGATTGATCCGATCCAGGTTGCACACTGTCTCACACTGCGCTATTCCTCTATTTTCATTGGGTCTATTGGGCGATACTCCAATTCTTTATTTGTTTATCTTCTTCTCGTATCTTCTTCGCTTGGACCCAGAATCCATATGATCCTCCACTCATGGCGGACAATTCTATGCCCCGAGAGGAGATAATCGGGGTTGTGATTGGGGCCGTTGCCCTGTTTTCACTGATCAGCTTGATACCAGTGTTAGTACATCGTCCCGATAGTCTTGGCTCCCCCGCTTCATGCATGGGAATTGTTCTCGAAGTTCTAACGTGCCGATCACTGATTTGTACGATTTTCTAGAATGATCATGTGGCATCACCGACGACAGGCGGCCATGCGGGCAATGGCCCAAACCACTGTTCTCCCACCGGTCTATCAGGTACAGTTGCAGAACGTGTTGGGCCAACCTGTGTCTGTTGACCGATGGTTGGAAGAACAAAACGTCCCCACCAGTGCCCAGCAATACGGCCAAGATACTTGGTAAGTGTGATATCTCAGCATTCCACTGTTCTCCGATTCCGGCCCCCTCCCCAAACCTCTTGGCCCTGTGGCTCGATGATGTAGTGCGGGGACGCTAGGGCTAGGCTCTGGGTCCCCCCGCTCTATACGCCCTATAAGGATCGGCGAGCTATCTTCGAGCAGGGTTTATGTTTCTGGGCAAGGCACACTCGCCCGTGAATACGCCCCAATGCCAATTTACTTCGTTCCTGGATAAACACATGATACTAGATGCCCACATGATCCGGAACAAATTGTCCGAACCTTCTAGAATTAAACTAACCCTCGCTCAGTCCTATCTGTCTATCAGCACTGTCGTCATCCCCATACCTTGCCTGTCCCGATCCATCCGTTCCGGCCCATGACCAGCACCACAACCCGACTATACGGCCAGATGCCCGATGTGCCTGCGGGACACGGCATTCCCCACCAGGTGGCGAGATTCTCGTACTGAATCGCTGCAAGCATGCCTTCCACCAAGAATGTCTAAAATCATGGTTTGAATACCGTCGGTACAAGTGCCCGATCTGCCAAGCTTCGTATTCGCCGGAGGAAGAAGCACGAGCATAATTTCCGAAATGACTTCCTGCTGCATGCATAATCCTGTGGGGGCGCTTGGAATTTGCATTGATATCCTTGGCGGTTATACCCTCCGAGATTACCCCAGTGGACGAATTCTTGTCTTTTCTCGTTATTTTCCTCGCTTTGCTTTTGTATTACTTGTCCTTTTGTTGCGTTGTTTTTCTTTTATGATATCCCTCAACGTGGCACGAAGCATGTTCATCCAGCTCTTTTATTCACATTCATACATATGTCTTTTGTCCATTTGTCCAAATAGGTCTCATATTAAGACCTCACTTATGTACCTATATGCAATCATGATAAAAAGGAAACTATGATCACTGCTGCCCTGGTACAAAGGAGTATATTCCGATGGGCAATTTCATGGCGTAGTTTAACCTACCCCATCACTGGATAATCTACTCAACACGTTCCTCCTAATTATCTTTCCACGCCATCTTCTTACACCAGGAAGTAAACGAAATTATAAAGATCATATGTAGACACTCATCTTCACAAACAAGTCTGAACAATCGGGCACCGGAATAGGAAATTTATTTCGGAACCCCACTATGGAAACAACCTCTACATTGCTCCCCCTTTTTTCTACCAAAATATATACAAATTCTACTCATATTTGGACCCATACTCTCCTGATCGAAGACAACTCATTATACCACACATACCTCTATCAAAAACAAACATCGAATCCATCCGTCACCATGGACTTAACTCCCGAAGAAACCAATCTCGTCGAGATCGCCAGAACGACAATCAATGCGATTCCCAAGTCAGATATCTACAGCGTATCCAGCGCAGCCCTGTCAGAAAATGGCCAAATTTTCACCGGCGTGAACGTATTTCACTTCACAGGTGGACCATGTGCCGAGCTCGTGGTTCTCGGCGTAGCGGCAGCTGCCGGGGCTCCCCGTCTATCGCATATTGTTGCCATTGGGGAAGATGGCCATGATGGAGTTCTTCTCAATCCCTGCGGTCGGTGTCGACAGGTGCTGTATGATTTACACCCTGGGATTCGTGTTATTGTCCAAAAGGGTGTGGAGGTGAAATCTGTCTCTATTGACGAGTTGTTGCCTTATGTTTATGAGCAGAGGGATTAAAGACTATGTACAAAATATATATGCACAACACACTATTAAAGTACTATCAGTCAAGTCAATTTAAAATACATCTCCACAAAGTAGACCCTCAACTAATAACTTGAGTCAATCCAGTTACCATAGTCACTGCCCAAAACTGTCTTCTTCGTGACTGCCGCCGAGATGGGAGTCTCATACAGCCGCGCAGAAGTATCCGACCCATCTCCAGAGTTTTTGAACTCATAGTACAATGGTGTAGCATCCTTCGCCATTGTCGCCCATCCCTTGGGATTGATCAAACTACCCAGCTTCGAGTTCTGGTAGATAACGCGAGCAAGTCCTCGCCATGGGCGGCCAAGGTACACATCGCCATCGATGTTAGTTCCAGACGCAGCCTTGATGTTGCAGTTGTCGATTGCATACCAGGCCGTGTCGGTGGTTGTCTGGCGTGAGCTGGCGGTGATATAGCCAGGGCCGTTGGAAACGATGTCGCAGTTTCCGAACCAGGCAGAGGCGTCGCCGAAGATGTAATCCACAGTTCCTAGGAATGATTAATACATCGTGAGATGAATATATATTATAGAAATGACTTATCACTTACCCTGGATCTTGGAGTTGACATAGTACTGTGTTCCCGACTTGGCATACAGGGTATCCTGGTATCCAAGGAACTGGCATGCATAAAAGCCAAGTCTATTGGCATTGCCAACTAGTCTAGTATAGTTAGTAAATAATTCAAATATCAAGGCAAGGAATGAATACTCACGCAACAGCCTGCGCACCAGACCCGTACCCATTCACCACATTGATGTTGTACATCTTAAAACCATCGGCGACAACATTCACAGTAGCACTCTTATCCAGTGACCCAGCCTGAGGCGAGGAGATGGTATGGGTAATGGTAACAGTGTTCTGCTTATACGTCTGCGTATCAACAGTCTGACCATAGAAAGTCAGAGCACCGGGATATTTGATAGTAAGCTGTTCCTTGTACGTGCCACTTGCAATATAGATACAAGCGGCCGCCGAGGATGAGCCGAGAGCAGTCAGGGCATCGCCGATCTTCGAGTATTTTCCGCCCGAGCCGACTGTCAAGCAACCTGATGGGGCGCTAGATCTACTTGCGCGAGCAGCTAGCTCGGCGGGGGCGCCCAAAACACCCGTCCCAATGGAGAGGGCTGTGATGAGGACGTTGTATAGATGCATTTGGTAGGGATTGTTGTTTTACCACAAAGAAGGGAATGATTATCGGGCCATGTGGGCTTTCAAAGATATTATATGCAGTAGAAATGTCATACAAAATTCGTTTCAAGGGCGAAGCTCCATGTGAGTCCACCGGAGCTATAGCTAATGAGACATACTATTCTCCACTCCGAGGTATTTCCATAAATGGGATCCTTTCCTCGGCTATAGTTGTCGTTACGGAGTACTCGGATGTGGATTTACTTTGGCAATTTATCCACAGCATATCAATTGTCTCATTCACGTCAATTGGATACTTGTTAGAGTTCCTGACATTGCGGAACCCGATCAGGGGAAGTGTACGAAGTACACGCAGTGTAGATCATATATATACCCGGGGAAATCAAGACCGAAGGGTCACCGGATAACAATTTATTGGGTAATTGCTGCTGAAGAATGAAGAAATGATGTTCAGTACAGAGAAAAATATTCCTCGAATGACGGGGCTAACACCAAAGCGGAGGGAGCGGAGGTGTTTCAGGTTGTCTTATTTTCTCCGTTGCCAAAACGTTCGAGTCTCCCACGTGCAAAAGTGGAAAACAGATTGGGAGGAGAAAAGGGGAATACAGAAATTGGGAAAAGTTATAAATTTACTCGATACGCCGTTATTCCCAGGCTATAGCTGTGACACAATTGCACCATGTCGATAACAAAATCCCTCGCAGCCTTTGCGCTCTTCACTTCTCTCGCCCTATCAGACAGCATACCTCTTAATTCTCGTGCTACGCCTTGCACGCCAGCAGCAGGTGGATCTCCTTCAATTGATGATGTTCCTGCTATCAAATCGGCAATTGCTTCATGCGGCAAGGGAGGCACTATAGTCATTCCCGCTGGCAAAACCTACTACCTAAACAGCGTACTAGATTTTGCGGGATGTGTTGGCTGTGACTTCCAGATAGAAGGGCTCTTGAAATTCAGCTCGTCGACTGATTTCTGGGAGGGAAAGACAGCAATGATCGATATCAAGAATATTAATGGACTCAAGATCCGATCTTTGACTGGGAGTGGAGTGATTGACGGAAATGGGCAAAATGCGTACGTGCTTTCCTTTTATACTATAATTTCAGTTCACTAATATTATATATAGATGGGATCGTTTCGCTGGAGACAGCAGCTACGCCCGCCCAACCCTGCTGTACATTACTGGTGGCTCTAACATCGAGGTCTCAAACCTCCGCCAAAAGAACCCACCTAACGTCTTCAACTCCGTCAAGGGTGACACCAAGACCGTGATCTTTGCTGATCTCGAAATGGACGCCGTATCCAAGAGCAAGAGTGAGCCGAAGAACACAGACGGCTTCGACATCGGTGCCAGTACAGACGTCGTCATCAGCAACGTGCATGTGAAGAACGACGATGACTGCGTGGCATTCAAGCCCGGTGCAAATGGCGTTACAGTCACGGATATTACCTGCACTGGGAGCCACGGACTTTCCGTTGGGTCACTGGGGAAGAGTTCCGCCGACTCAGTTAAGAACGTGTACGTGTCTGGCGCGACAATGATTGACTCTACCAAGGCGGCCGGTATCAAGACATATCCCTCCGGTGGAAAGCATGGCATCTCAACTGTGAGCAATGTTACCTTCACAGGTGTTGTGGTTGATGGATGTGACTATGCGATTCAGATTCAAAGTTGCTATGGAGAAAAGGCTGATTACTGTGTGGATCATCCTGGAAATTCGGAGTTGACTGGTATCACTTTTGACAAGTTCAGTGGAACGACGAGTGGGAAGTATAAGGCTGTTACCGGCAGTCTTTCTTGCGGATCTGGCGGAAAATGTGATGTCAAGGTTGGTGCTTATACTGTTAAGGCGCCATTTGGGGGCAGTGAGGTGCTCTGTGCTAATACCCCGTCGAATTTGGGGGTGAAGTGCACACCAGGGGCTTCGGGGTGAGAATAAAGGAGATATACGTGTAGTTACGTTGTGGATGGACGAATATTGAAGAAACACTGAATAAGTTCTATACAATTTTGCGATATTTAAAAGGGTATGTTCGTCATAACGTGTGATATCCAGCAAGTACACCAGGTCACCCGTTCATTCAAATGATTACGAGGAGGCAATCATCTTATCCTTCACGTAGAGGTCGACATACTGGTCGACATCGTAGTTCTCCAGCTCAGAGCGGTTCCAGCCCAGCTCCAGTAGCTTATCAACGCGAGCCTGGTCGAAGTGCGCCTCGATGTGACGCTTATACTTGGCCAGAATCTCGGGCTTGGCCTCCTCGCGGCGGAGACGGTGGCCCAGGGGAGCCTCGACGACGATCTCCTCAAGGACGGTGCCATCGTTCAAAGTCACGGTCAGCGCATTGGGGATGGTGCGCTTGCTGGGGTCGTGGTAGTCGGTGGTAAACTTGGTGTCCTCGACACAGCGGATCTTCTTGCGGAGTTCCTCCAGTATAGGGGAGGTGGCGGCCTCCGAGCCGTCAGCATAGTCGCTAGCGGTCAGGCGGCCGAAGACGAGCATAGTGGCAACCATGTACTGCACGCAGTGATCACGGTCGGCAAAGTTATCCATCTCCTTGAACTGCTTGTCGATGATGCGGATGCATGCCTCGTGTGTGCGGTTGGTGATCTCCTTGATGTCCTTGGCACTCTTGCCCATGGACGCAAGCTTGGCGTTGACCTTTTCAGCGGCCTCAATGGCAGTCTGGGAGTGGAACTCGGCTATTGAAGATAAATTAGCTGTTGTGGATTCTTATATAGTGTCGATTTCTGCAAAATATTCTTGCACTCACCAGGATAGGAAACCTTGAACAGGACATTCTCCATGACGTAGCTGCCGTAGGGGCGCTGGAACTGGAACTTGTTGCCCTTGAACAGGACATCATAGAAGCCCCAGGTAGGAGCAGAGAGAACGGTGCGGAGACCGCCCTCGCCCTTCTGGACCTTGAGAACCAGGTTGACAGCGCGCTGACAGGCGTCACCGGCAGCCCACGACTTGCGCGACATGGTGTTAGGCGAGTGACGGTAGGTACGGAGAGACTGGCCATCCACCCAAGCCTGGGTAATAGCATCGGCAGTCTGCTTCTCGGTGAGACCCATCATCTTGGAGACGACAGCGGTGGTCGCAACCTTAACGAGAACAACGTGGTCAAGGCCGACCTTGTTGTAGGAGTTCTCCAGAGCCAGGACACCCTGGATCTCATGGGCCTTGATCATGGCCTCCAAGACATCATGGATCTTTAGGATCTTACCATTACCAAGGTTTCCACCGGCGCGGTTTGTGCGCGAGATCCAGTCGGCCACAGCCAAGATACCACCCAGGTTGTCCGAGGGGTGACCCCACTCGGCAGCGAGCCAGCAGTCATTGTAGTCGAGCCAGCGAATCATAGCACCAATGTTGAAAGCACCATTGACGGGGTCCAGCTGGTAAGGTGTGCCAAGAACACGGGTACCATTGGGGACAACAGTGCCTTCCACAACGGGGCCAAGGAGCTTTGCGCACTCCTTGAATTTCAGAGCCTCCAATCCACAGCCAAGGGTGTCCAAGAACACCAATCGGGCGGTGTCAAACTGTAGACGAATTTTAGAATTCACCAATGCTTCGTGTAACCGTGTCTAACTTACTGCCAAGTCGGAATCCACTTTGTAGTCGTGGATGTAACTAGCCATATCCTGAATTTCAGGGTCGTAGGACTTATCTGTATGAACCGCCGGAGCGGCAGACTGACGAGCGGCCATTGTAGAGAAGCGGGGAGTGCGAGGAACAGAGATACGGGGAGTAATGGAGAGAGAAGAAGCCAAAGTGGGCAATCTGGAGATGCGGGCCAAAGTGCGGGGAGACGTGTGGGTCAGGCGTCTCACTGCGGGCAGGGACATAATGAAAGAATTGGGAATATCGGAAATTGAAGGAACCAAAGACAATTGAGGAGGGGGGGGATGATTTATTTAAAAACAAATGGACGAAAGGAGGAATGTTGGGGAAAAAGGGAGAAAATGGCCGGGGTTGAGTTCCTAGCTGACTTCATCCTGCCGAGGGTCGGTTACAGTCGGGTATTACTTCATTCTCCTTTCGTACTTCTATTCCCTTATTTATGGGATTAATTACCTTCAGTGGGCTTGTCTAGAGCTTGACAGGCCAATAATTGCATTATTACTTTCAATTGGCCAAGTTTATTGCTACATTACCGTCTATTGAGCTCCCTAGCGGAAATCCGAGTATCGGATGTAAACAAGAGAGCAACAGACCATAGCTACAATATGTAGCGAAATCGGAGTATACGTGGTCCGAATGTGTAGGAAAGTACAAAGAGTAAAGAATAAAATCTTCGTTAGATGGGAACTCACACCGGGCTCAGAAGAACCCCTTCGCCCTCGGCTGATCTGCACGTGAGGACGCAGATCATCACCCAGAGGGCCATTCCTAATCCTAATCCCCAACTCCCCTATCTCATCCTATTTCACTCCCTTTCTCGTGTCATATCCCTCGCCATCGCTCTCACCGATAAATCAGTGAATGATTCCCCTGGCCTCCTCCGTATCAGTTTGACGCAGAGACTTGACAATCTCTCCGTAGATGGCTTTAGCGAAGAGCGGGGGCACGGCATTCCCAATCTGCTTACGCATGAATCTCCCAGTAAACTGGAAGTCTAGAGGGAACGTCTGCAAGAGCGCCATCTCACGATTCGTATAAGGCCGAGTGCCCGAAGGGTGGTAGTTGTATTCGCCGCCCCCGCAAGTGATGGTCCTGGCCAGAGAGTTGCGATCAAAAGAGGGCCGGTAGCTCAGAGCCCACCGCGCCAAGGCCCCTTCAACATTGTGGTCGTCGGCATCAGGAGGAATATTGTCAATGGTGGATGAAATGGTCGCACGGGGAAGTAAACCGTGACCAGGCATGCCATGAGTGGGCTGGGCATAATGGGGCAGAGCTTCACCGGGGCTATGAGTAGTTAGATACGTAGAATTGGAAACATGAAAAGCTTCGCCTTTTGCTTCACTTACCCAGCGGCAATGAGAAGCAGTCTCTTCCGCTCTTGAGGCACACCATATTCATCGCACCCCAGCACCGACCAGCGAACAGAATATCCAAATTCAACCATGTCCAGTACAACCCGATTAAAGATGATGGGAAATCGTTGCGGCAATCCCATAGTTTCCTCCATGGTTAACACACGGGGCCGTGACTCCTGAATCAAACTTCCAGCCGAAAATACGCACGCGGAGTTGGCATCATCGCGAGGACAGGGCACAGTATGAGCAGGAGACCAAGTCTGGCAGGGGGGCGAGCAGTGTGCAATATCGACTCGCAAGAATTCCGGACGGTTGGTAAGGAAACTGAAAAAATCGGAATGTTCGACATCTACGTCGTCGAAATTCAACTGGTATGTTTCCAGTGCATACTGGTCAATATCAACGGCCCATTGGAGCTTCACGCCGGCCTGTTTAGCGCCGCAAGACACACCACCAGCGCCACAGTACGCGTCACCAAAGGTGTATGCACGTTCAGGGGCAGTCAAATCGATCACACCCCGTCGTTCAAGATCCATGGCCAAGGACGACGAGCTAGCCTCGCCAAATGGCGCAGTCCGGCCTCTCCATTCGTAGCGTAGCACGTTCGCCGGCTTACCATATCCTGGGTCTGATTCAGCCAAGGTCAGCCATTCAATGGCACACTGCTCTGCGCTCAAAGGTGCATGGCCAGGCACGATAACGACTCCGGCCTGGCGAATGGTAAGCTTCAGCCGGCAAGTCAGATCTTCTCCCGGTGTGTTAAAATCGGTCCGAAAGTTGGTGAAGCGAATGGTCACAACCCGCCGAACTTTTCTGATGCTGACGTGATCGGTGTTCTGAGTGAGCCAGACCAATTCATCGTTCAGTTTAGGCAGATATGTCTTGGCTTCGGGGTGAGTGGTACGGTAAAGGCGACGGCCGAAAAAGCGCAGGTCGTGAGGCTGAGGAATCATGTCCTCGACACGCATAAAAGAGCCATCATCAAGCTCCAGAGATATTCCGGCTTTGAACGCAATGCCTCCAATGCGTATTTCTTGCTGTACCGTCTCTGGCGTTGGGCTGCGGCTCGCGGACTGGTTGCTAATGACAGATGAGTTGCCGGAAGATTGACCACTTGCTGAGTCGTCGCCAGGGGTAATGGCGGACGGAGCTGCAACGTGCGCCATGTCAGAGGTCAAGTCTTCAATGGCCTGGTTGGTCTCATCGTCGCAAGTAAGGTCGATGACGACCTGCATATTCTCGGAGGTATGGCTGGTCTCCCTCATGGGTGAAGGGTCAAAGATCGCCGACGGATCCGACATGATGATGTCGTCGTCAGGCATTGTTGGCTCATGAGTTACTGCGCGAAACTCTGCAGTGCTGACAGGGATTGGGTCTCCGAAGGGAGACACCGAAATACGGGATCGATCATTAACACCAGCCATTGGTGCCATGGTTGAGCGATGAAAGTCTTCCATACTCGGTGTGTGAGAGGATTCAAAGTCCAGGTTTGAAATCAAGGCGATGAAAGGAAAACAAGTGCCGATATCAAACCGATGGAGGGTGTTGGGATCTAACAGAGTCTCAGGTTAAGATGACTTCAAAAACACTTATATTGCTATAGTCAGGTGTTCGATATCAGCTTATCGCAAATAAACATAACTTGCCTCAGATAACAATCTGATTTGAAGAGAAGTAGCGGAAGGCTTTGCCAGATCTTCTATACATAACAACTTCCAACTGAAGCAATAAGGATGTCTACGTATTTCTATTTGGTCAACAAAGCAGAGGGTATTTTGTTATGTGAAGCATGAAAGACTGATATAAAGGCATGGTATTCATCTTTTTATCTCATTGAAGGTCAGCATGTCCCTTCCAAGTTGGTGTATACTTACATCCAGGTAACTATATGGTTGTATGCATCAACATCAGAGCGCTTAGCCTGTTCGGGAAGTACTTAGGGCAAAGTCAGGTGGTCAGTGCTTACTCAGGATATGAGTCAGCTCCCCTCCCCCCGGGGCGTCCCCCCGAAGTCGGCCCGGGCGAGAAATTTTCATTCTGTGGGGCACAACCACAGAAGAAACACAACTGCCATGGAATATTTCTCTCCCTCTTTCTGTCTTCTTGGGGTGGTGTTCATTTCTAGTGATGACCATTCTCTGAACTTCCCTCATTCTTTTACGTGATCTGGTTTTGGTAAGTGGCATGGTTTTCTTGTTTTTGGCTTTCAGCTTTATTCAAGCTTCCCCCCAATGTCTCTCATGATGATCTATGGTTTTTTATAGATGTTAGACTTCCTAAACAATTGTTGCGGATAAACACCTTAACTGATTTGAGACACTGCAATCTTGCTATGCACTGTGAATTCACAATGGATGAACACTGGTACTAATTCTCCTCGTCCAGAAAGCCTACCCTCCGTCAGGATGTGTGGTATCATTGCGTTGATCCAGGCGAACCCCTCGTCTGCGGCCGCCGTGGATCTCCACGAGGCACTTTACCTTCTCCAACGTGAGTTCCGGCCAGAATATATACACCTGCGACCGCGAGACTAAAGGTTTTGTATCACAGATCGTGGTCAGGATGCCGCCGGTATTGCAACATGCGCCTCTGGTGGTCGAATCTACCAACTCAAGGCCAACGGCATGGCTGCCAAGGTCTTCCAGGAAGGTGCTAAGGTGACCAACCTGCCCGGTTCCATGGGTATTGGTCACCTGCGGTATCCGACCGCAGGATCCAGTGCCAACGCCGAAGCCCAGCCGTTCTACGTGAACAGTCCCTACGGTATCTGCTTTGCACACAACGGTAACCTGATCAATGCCGGGGATCTCAAGAAGCACCTTGACCTTGAAGCCCACCGTCACATCAACACCGATAGTGACAGCGAACTGATGCTGAACGTCTTCGCCGATGAGCTGAGCGAGACCAAGAAGGCTCGTGTCAACCACGAGGACCTCTTTGCCAGTTTGAGTCGCATGTACAAACGTTGCGAGGGTGGATGGGCCTGTACTGCTATGCTTGCTGGTAAGTTATCAATCATTTGTGGTGTCCTCTAGTCCACAGTACTAACTCGCCATCTAGGGTTTGGTATCTTGGGTTTCCGTGACTCATACGGTATCCGCCCCCTCATTCTGGGCTCTCGTCAGTCCTTGGATGGACCTGGCATGGATTACATGATGTCTTCTGAATCAGTGGCTCTGGACCAACTGGGCTTCAGCAACCACCGTGACATCCAACCTGGCGAGGCCGTCATTATCGCCAAGGGTGGTGAGCCGGTTTTCCGTCAGGTGGCCCCCAAAAAGGCCTACGCCCCTGATATTTTCGAGTTTGTCTACTTCGCTCGTCCTGACTCTGTTATGGATGGCATCAGTGTGTACCGTAGCCGGCAACGCATGGGTGACCGTCTCGGTGCACGTGTCCTCGATGTTCTGGGTCCCGATGTTGTCAAGGACATTGACGTGGTCATTCCCATTCCTGAAACGGCGACTACGTCCGCGACTAATGTCGCACTATACCTCAACAAGCCTTACTGTCACGGTTTCGTCAAGAACCGTTACGTCTTCCGCACCTTTATCATGCCGGAGCAAAAGACACGGCAAAGAGGTGTCCGCCGCAAGCTCAATGCCATGAAGGCCGAGTTCAAGGACCGCAACGTCTTGCTGGTTGATGACAGTATTGTGCGTGGTACTACTAGTCGTGAAATTGTCAACATGGCCCGGGAAGCCGGCGCCAAGAAGGTCTACCTTGCCAGCTGCGCACCGGAGATCACACATGCTCATATCTATGGTATCGATCTTGCGTCTCCTCAAGAGCTGGTTGCTCACAATCGAAACTCGGAGGCCATCGCCAAGCACATTGGCGCAGAGGCGGTTGTCTTCCAAACCCTGCCTGACCTCAAGGACGCCTGCGCCGAGGTTGCCCGTGAGAATGGTCAGCAAGAGCCCACAAACTTCGAGGTTGGTGTGTTCTGCGGTAGTTACATTACCCCCGTTTCATCCGGGTACTTCGAACATCTAGAGTCCGTCCGTGGCGAAGGCCGCAAGGTCAAGGCTCTTAACAAGGCCAAGGAGGCTGTCACCAATGGCTTTGCCAACATGACCGACTTCCAGATTGCTGCCCATGGAGTCACTATGGACACCAATGGCAAGATCATCCCTGCCATAGAAAACGAGTCGTCGGCGATTGGTGCCGCCAAGAAGGCTGACCACGCCGAAGACCAAACGAATCCGAAGGTCTCTGACCGCATGGATATCAGCATCCACAACCAGGCTGACCATGAGGCATGATTACGAGCAAATGTGAATTTTTTTAAAATTTTTTTTCTCCACCGTTTGGCAATTTGCATTGGGTGTCCGGGCGTTTGTTTGAGGGAGCATATATGCTAAGTGGCTGATTTGCCGCTAAATGATGTGGAAATGATGTGGAAATGCATTAAACCAATACCCGGTGTCTTGAGATATACACTTGTCAATAATGCCTAATGAAGCTATAAAATAAATACAATGTTCCCATGTTGTTGAAGTGCTGTTTTTTCTCATTAATTTTAAGTTTGAGATCCCCAAATAGGCAAGTCACGTGTATGTGCCATTACCCAGTAACATCATCTCATTCCCTCCACATCTTCGACAGACCCATTGATTTAAAATTAAAATTGATATACCTCGAGATATATCTTGTATCTATTTTCAGTTCTCGTGCACGTTGCTACCTGTGCAACATTGAAATCGATACTTGCGGCCTTCTGACTGGATCTTCTCAACCATGGATCGCCGCATTACTCGCTCTGCAGCACGGGCTGCTGCATTAATTGCAGAGGGAAACAGCACTTCCATCACTCAAGAGTCAGGCACTAAAGTGAACAAACGAAAGCGTCTCAATCAAACTGACACTTCCAATGCCCCCAATACTCTAAATACGCCCAAAACAAACACAATCACTGAGTTGAAATCCTCCAATGATCCCAATCTAGAAATCAAGCAAGAGAAGCCAGTGTCACGCCCAGCCTTGTTTGGTGAACTCCCTCACAACCTAGGATCTGCGCCAGTCCCATTATCTGTAACAGTGCAGCCTACAGTCCCAATTGCTAAGTCTGACAAGGAAAACCAAACTTTAGAGGGCAAACAAGTTCACAATCTCGCTACTGAGCTCCAAGATACTGTGGACAAAGCTACAACCAAGTTGGAAAAAAAACCTAAGTGTCCAACTACCCCAACCGGCCGGAAGCCCAAGAAGAATACTTATGGCTTGACGCCCGGTATCTCTCCTTTTCCCGAGCTAGTTCGGCCAACCGCCGAGGAGTGTGAAGATGTCAATCAGCTGTTATCCAGCATTCATGGGGTATTCACTGCACCAGCAACCATCCCTGAACCCTCCCTGACAGTCACTGGATGTGGTGAGGTCCCATCTGTTCTGGATGCCCTAATCCGTACCCTTCTCAGCGGGGCCACCACTGGTACCAATGCCGCTAAGGCCTTCGGTGGACTTGTCCAACGGTTCGGCATTCTTTCAGAAGGCATTGGCAAGGGCAGTGTGAATTGGGATGCCGTACGACAGGCTACCGTGAGAGATGTGTTCGAAGCAATTAAAAGTGGTGGCTTAGCCGACATCAAAAGCAAGAACCTCAAGACGATTCTTGACATGGTCCACAAGGACAATCAGGCGCGCCGAGCTACATTGTTAAACTCTGAGTCCAAGAATGACTCAATGTCTAAGCTGGTACCTGAGAAGGCTGAAAAGGACAAGCAATATGAGATTGCCTGTGCAGATCAGAACTTCCTCTCTCTAAATCACCTCCACAATCTCTCCACTGAAGAAGCCATGACCGAACTGATCAAGTACCCCGGAATCGGACCCAAGACAGCCGCCTGTGTGATCCTGTTCTGCCTCCAGCGGCCGTGTTTCGCCGTCGATACCCACATCTTCCGGCTCTGCCGTTGGCTCGGGTGGATTCCTGCGCGTGCAAACGAAGTAAGCGCCTTCAGCCACCTGGAAGTACGCATCCCCGACCACTTGAAGTATTCGCTTCACCAACTGTTCATCCGGCATGGGAAGACCTGCCCCCGGTGCCGAGCTGCTACAGGCGAGTCCAGTGCTGGCTGGGATGACGGCTGTGTTATTGATCACCTCTTAACTCGCGATGGGAAGCGCAAAGGCAATGGTCCGGCTGTTGTTTCTAAGAAGAAAGCAGCTGCCATCAGCTCGGCTGGTAAGCGTAAGAGAACGAACAAGGACTCCGAGGAGGAGACTGAGGAAAGCGAGTGTTCGATTTCCGACGAAACAAGTGATGAGTGAACGCATTTATGACAACGAAATTATGTGAAATGAAGGTGGAATCTTTACGAAATGAGGAGGATAAACCGCTTTAAGTCCTATATATGTACTTTATATTATTATCTATCTATCATCTTGATGTTGCTCTCAATACAAATGTATTATTATTGCTGGACACAAGTATCAACTTCCTAAATTAAGTCTAATGATACTTCTAGATGATCAGTTTAATGTTGTATGGCACGACTGGACACTTAGTGCGGTTATCGCCTTATCGCAAACACAAAAGCCCCGGGGTCTCCAGGAACTCGCGCTACTCTCCCTGCACTTTCCAGTTGCCCAATTGCACCGATTCCCGCCATGGATTGTCTGGCCTCCCACATTCCGCCAGCACTGTGCAGTCTTCTGGAGGCCTACGCGCCTCCCGGGTCGGCAGAGTACGCCCCGTACATCGGAGTCGCGTTCACCTCCCTTGTCGCCGTGTACGTGGGGTACCTCTACCTCCAAAGCCGGAAAGAGGCAGCAGTCGTTTTCAATGTTCCTATCCCATCCGAAGTGCGCAACAGCGGGTCGATCAAAACGTGGGATGAGGTTCAGGGGCAGCAGAAAATGGTGTTGCAGGACCAGGCTCGGGGGGTGAGTGGACAAGCCTTGTATTTGGCTCAGAATTCTTTCCTTGTGGCTTCATTTTCTTGTCCCTAGGCTAACTTCTGATCTACTACACAGAAATGGAACCATCAATTGATTATGAGCTACTGCCCTGCCGATGGGAGGGTGCTTGGTAACGGAATCAAGCCCGCCACTGTCGAAGATGTCAACAGAGTCATTCGGGCGGCGGGAGATGCTCAGCTGGAGTGGGCTAATACTACATTTGCGGAGCGCAGAAAGGTTCTCCGGACGCTGTTGAAGTATGTGGATTGGCAAATTTGCCCGGCCCTATGAAGCCATTGCGCTTTGCCCACGGCACCATAAGGCTTGTCCAACTGACATCTTGCAGATATATCCTAGACCACCAAGATGACCTCATTACTGCATGCTGCCTCGATTCGGGTAAAACAAAAGTTGACGGCTCATTCGGCGAGATCCTCGTAACGGTGGAGAAGCTCAAGTGGACAATCGATCATGGCGAAAAGGCACTGCTTCCATCGCGACGGCCGACGAACCTCCTGATGATGTACAAGAAAAACACGGTCACATACGAACCCCTGGGCGTGGTGGGTGCCTGTGTGTCTTGGAACTACCCGTTACATAACTTCATTGGTCCGATCATCAGCGCGCTGTTTACCGGTAATGCCATCGTTGTTAAACCGTCTGAGCAAACTGCATGGTCTGCAATCTACTTCCTCGAGATGGTGCGCGGCGCGCTCTCTAGCTGTGGCCACTCGCGCGATCTGGTCCACACGCTAGTCTGTCTACCTGGTGTTGCCAATGCATTCACTTCGCACCCTGATATCGCACATATGACCTTCATTGGATCCCGGCCCGTCGCCCACCACGTCTGCGCATCAGCAGCCAAATCACTTATCCCCGTATGTGTCGAGCTAGGCGGCAAAGACCCTGCCGTGATCCTGGACGACTCTCGCACTCTCCGCAATTTGTCCTCCATCGCGTCTCTCCTCATGCGCGGTGTCTTCCAATCATCTGGCCAGAACTGCATCGGCATCGAACGTGTCATCGCCCTCCCGACCGCATACGACCGACTCATCGAAATTGTAACGCCACGCATTCAAAATCTCCACCTCGGCTCGATCCTCCTCGACACCGCAACCCCAGACGTCGGTGCGATGATTTCACCTGCTTCCTTCGCCAACCTCGAGACACTCATTAAGGAAGCTGTGCAGCAAGGCGCACGCCTTCTCGTTGGCGGCACCGAATACAAACACCCAGTCCACCAACACGGCCACTACTTCACACCAACTCTCCTAGTAGACGTGACACGCGACATGCGAATCGCGCAAACAGAGCTCTTCGCCCCCGTCTTCCTCATGATGCGCGCCGAATCCGTATCCGACGCAATCGCCATCTCAAACTCAACACCGTACGCACTAGGTGCTAGCGTCTTCGGGCACCGACAAGCAGACGTACAAGCCTGCGTGTCGAAAATATCCGCCGGAATGGTAGCGGTCAACGACTTCGGCACCTTTTACGCTGTGCAAATGCCCTTTGGCGGCGTCCGTGGATCTGGATATGGCCGCTTTGCGGGCGAGGAGGGACTGCGCGGTCTGTGCAATATCAAGGCTATTTGCGTTGATCGATTCCCTACTTTGATTGGCACTGGTATCCCGCCACGCTTGGATTATCCTATTCAGAACCGAGAGGACGCTTCGGGCGCCAAGGGAGGGATTGCGGCTTGGGAGATGTGTAAGGGTATTGTTGAGACAGGATATCAGTTGACGCTGGGTGGGCGCATTGCTGGTATTTTGAGATTGTTGAGGAATATGTAATGGGTTTGTTCTTCAACAAATCATTTCAATCTTGTTTCATATCGATGGTTTGTACTATACATAGTTCATCTTGCTATGGATGATACCTGCGGCCGTGGGAATATATAATTCAAAGTAAATTATGCTTTCAGATCTATATTATTCTATATTATATCAAGAGATCTAGAACCAGGGTATAGCGCTAACGTCCTCATAAGACTACTCAAGATGGAGGAAGAGGAGGGCCGAACTTCTTCAGCCAGTAATCCTCGGTCCGGAACGAACTCTCCATCAGCCAATTTCCCAATGGTTCACGGGATGGTTTAAGGACCTCATCAAGGAAGCGGCCTCCCTCAAGGTCAAAAATATCCAAATGACCACAACAGAACAGCTGACCACTCGGGTAACTACTAGCATAATCAACCTGCGCAGGGAGACGCAGCAGGAAATCCGACAACCAGCGCGCAAACTTACCATTAATCTGGTTATATACACTCGGGTTCTGCTTCGCGAGTTCCATATTATCGACGGTCCACTTCGTGATCTCCGACGACCAGCTAGGCAAAGACTCCGCACTGGCACGGAAGAGAGTCTCGAAGAAAGCCAAGTTTAGATGTGGCTTGTCGCGGCCAGTGCGGGTAACAGCGAGGAAGTGTTCAGGCGGGATTGTATAGAAGACCCCACGACCTTGGTTCTCTGCTTTGTAGCGGAAGATGAACTCGTCGATTTTAAGGAGGGAGAGCATGGCATTGAAGTTCTGGTGACGGATTGCATTCTGGATTCCTTCGTTCAGGGCTTTGCGGTCGAGCTTGGTCAGGGTCGAAGGTGTCAAGGAGCTCTTTTCAGGCATCCAATTGCACGAGGTCATGCGCAGCATCTCCAGGAAAGCAACGTCTTCTGGAAGGAAACCATTGCTGCGGCCTCGCAGGAGATGGGGTGGGAATTCGCACAGGTCCAATGCGGGGAGATTGACGGTCAATCTCACGTCCAGATTTTTGAGCTCGGTGGTAACCATTGGCATTATATTGAGCTTGTATTCGTGGGGGCCTTTCAACGCGTTCGGGGCCATCTGGAAGAACTCCGGGGGCATGCTAGCGAGTTCCTTCATTGGTTTACCCCTGCCATGAAAGACGCGGACGCTGTCATCCTTGCGTGCTAGGAACTTTTCAAAAGCGGCCTGCTCTTCTTCATTCGTCACGATACCCGCGTTGATCCAGCGACGGTGAAGAGTCAGGATCTGCATTGTCGGGACCTGCTCGCGCACGCGATCCACGGTACACCACCTGCACTTGAAGACGGCTGCCTGTAAGCGAGCGCGTTCATCTAGTTTGATAGGAACATAGTCGAGCGGAACCATCATGCGCTCGACGGCCTTGCTACGGGGGTAGTCGAGCGAATCTTTCCAGAATGCAAGGAGGATGAGAGCGCGATAGATATGTTCGCCGGATAGGGCGCGGGATAAGAACGGCGAAGCGCGAGGGAAGTTTAGGTTGAGGGAGTGCAGGAATATCTGCTCGATAATCTCGACGGGGAGGGCCTCGAGGAGGGACATCATTCTATGGGGAGTATGCGGGCGCGAGAGTCCGGATCTGGGCGAATTAGAAGGACGGTCGTAGGGGCCAGACCTCGATCGAGTGGATCGAGAGGACCGAGAGGACCGAGAGGACCGAGATGAACTGCTCCGAATCGGGTTCTTGAAGGTGCGACCTGGTCGACGCTTCAATTTGGCTGTAGCGGAAGGATTCAAACTGCTTGCCGGCTCACGCGGAGCAAGCTTTGTCCCCGTCACGGTTTCATCTTCGCGTTTTGGTGGGCTCATGGAGCAATTGCACTTTCTCAGGAATAAATCAATCTGTGGATCTCAATCATTTCAGAATTGTGTATGATGACTATTCAGTAGTATGTTGTAAGTAGCATATGAAGTATACAACGTTATAAGCAAGGTCCGAGGCTTAGTCCCCATCTGATTGGCGGAAAAGAACCCGACAGACAAAGTCTTGGCGTTAGGGCTTGGCACTGGAGGGCTGGAAAGTCACATGGTATCACATGATATACCCCGCTCTGTTGCTGAATTTGGTTTAGCCTATTATAAAATGACGTCAGGGTCATAAAAAAAGTTATCGGGCAGAAACAACCAGAAACAGAAAACATTCGAACATTCTCAAGGGTCCACGGGTTCAACATGGATAGGTTTAGAATTAGAAAAGCTATCCTTACAGCTAGATAAACTTAGTCAAAATCCATTATCCCAATCCTACAATGTAAATAGATTTGCTTTTGAAATTCCAAAATCAAGGAATGGGCCTACTCAAAATGACGGAATGACCAGTTGGACAGACCCCTGGTACCTTTGGACCTTTTAAGACATAAAATAAATCCATAAATCCTCTCTCATTCTTCAAATCTTGGAAATTCTGTCATAGCTCCTCCATCGACGTCACTTTTGCATTTTATGATTGCAAGATAAAAGCTTCACTAACACGAACTTGTCTATCAATAGCCTCATTTGGACACCACTTACGTATCTGAACAAGAAATAAGAAATTTCCATCTTAAAAGATAATCGTCATTGCCATTCTTTATTTAAACAACCTCCCCATCTACTTTTTATCTTCAATATGCACCCTTTCAGTGATCCAACTATCCATACCCACGCTTCATCCAGCTCGGAGTCTACTCTCAACAAACCGAAATAAACAAACTCCCTTGATACAAAACAACCCCAAGAACACCTCTTCATCTTCAATATGGGTGCCGTCGTCTCTTGCGTATGTGAACTACCATCTACTTGAAAGAACTCAACTAATACCTTCCTCCAGATCCAAAGCGTCTTCCGCGCCATCGGTAGCTGCCTCATGGCCATTGTCAACGCTGTCGGCTCCATCTGTCACGCCATCATCAGCGGTGTGGTCACAGTCATCGATGTTATTATCTCCTGTCTGACTTGCGGCACCTGTGGAAAACGCAGACGGGGTCGTCGATCAGCAGTTTAACGCGAAACGCGAAACCAACCATGTCTGCACACACCTATCGACCCCGGGGATAGAAGGGCTGGCTATGGGTTCTACGATTGTTATGCCAGCGCGAATTTTCTTTTGTCATATCTGCTTGGAGTTTATACCCCGCGGCGCAGCTTTTAATTTCGAATCATGAATCAAACTTTGCGATACAATGTGTATTGGTTCTCTTCTGTAGATGATAGATATAAATTGTAGAGGATTGTATATACACACAGTAGGTGTTTGGGGTAACGGACATGAAGTCGTAGATATATAACCGTCTTAGAAACCATATCAATGCCCATCTTTCGGCGAGGGCGACTCAACGTATCGCAACAAATCCTGCTTTGCATCTGTAGGGATATCATCCCAACGCTCATTCAAAATCACATTTGCAAACGGATCCCCAGGTCCACTCCCATAGCGCCGGATGAGGGAATAATGTGAATGCTGTAGCGGCCAGCGAGCAAGGACACGACAATTTCCAGCGCGAACCGGTAAACTCAGCAATCGACGAAAAGGCTCGATCTTGCGCGTTCGAATGAGACGATATGTGATCTCAGAAGAGCGGTCTGGTCTAGCCTCATCCTCATCCAGGTAGAAGTCCGCAGAGAGCAGCTGCAAGAACTCAAACTGCGAATCTGACCAAGGCGAGCGCAAGACTTTATCCGGAATGCGGCCAGGTCCAATGGACACTGAGCATGGCAGCCGGAAGATGTCGTTCTCATGGTATATCTCGTTTGGTTTACGGATTTGGAGAGCGCCAAAATGAAACCATATTGCGACTTTGCGGTCGACAGTATGGCGCGAGGTGTCTTTTAACTGCGCCGGAATGATCAGATCTCCTTTACCACGCCGTCCGAGTACGGCCTTGTCACAGAATTCTAGATTTTCAAAACGTGGGTCCAGATTTGACAGCACTGCTTGGTCGTCCGGATGGAAGACCAAACCGACACATTTGCGTCGGATAGCATGGGCAATGTACTCCCGCTGGCATCTCCGGAACAGGGGAAATGTGCACCACCGGCATGCCAGCAGGTTAGTCTGTAATTGTTGGCGGTCTTTCCAGGATAGAGCCCAGAAGTCCAAAGGTGGGGGTAGGAAATCCGGGGTAAAGAAGCCCTCTCGCGAGCCAGAATTGGGACTGCTGAATGCAAGCCGAATGAGCCAGGTATAGAGTAATGGAGTGGACAATGCTTGGCCGAGACGTGGCGAGGCGCGAGGGAGGTTCACTTCAAGGCTGTGAAGAAATATCAACTGCAGGATTTCCACGGGCAGTGACTCAAGGCGCGAGCACGGGTGGTCGGCCAACGGATCGGAAGGGCCTGGGCCCATTTGCAGCAGTGCGTCTAGTGGTGATGTGGTTTTGTATAGCTCGAAGCAAGATGTTCACTTGTGCATGACACGGTGTGCTTATATTTGTAAATGTCCAGGGAGGAGCAGATACGGGTATTGTTGATCTCAATGGAAACGCAGTCCATACGATATTGACTGCACACTTCGCATAATGTCCTCGTGTCTCCTCGTGACTTGTAGGAAAGGCACTTGACACCGCTTCGAGTGCAGTCTCCAATGAAAAGAATTGAAAGGAAAATTGCCCGGCCTATTACTGAGGGGTAGAAGAGAAGTGGGTAAATTGAGGTGAGCTGCGTGTCTTGGCAAGACCAGCTAGAGAGCTCCTCATCAAGATTATGTATGATGCCTTGATCGTCTGTTATATCTGAACTGGAATATGTGTATTGCCATCTAGTTCTTGTCGGAATTTCAAAAAGGACCGAATTTCGCGTGATACTCCGCAATATATCCTCACTCGATCCACATGGAGAGAGCTTGCTTGGATATATATCAGACGTCTCGAGTGTCTATTAATCGTAGGTATTTTCTTTTTTAGACCTACCCCCGTTTCTTGATTACCTGAAGATAGAGCTAGTTGCGAGAGTATAGGTTTACAGTAGAATTCATTAATGAACGCAGAAACGAAGAATGTATTGTTTCTATACACATCCCAACCTCCCCACCACA